CAGCAACACATGTTGCTGGCGCCACAACAGCAGCAGCAGCAGCAGCAACAGCAGTGGAGAGTATAGGCTTACCTTCAACCTGGCCATAATCGATCACTTAATCGGTTTATTTTCCTTTATTTTTGGTTTGAACCTCAAGTTGGGGGTGTCTTCAAAAAGGAAATCATAACAGCAAACCTGCTTGGCTGCTACCGTTGTGTTTTGCTACCAATTGCGAAATTTTTGCCTGCAATTAAAAAAATTACAGGTACGTGCTGCAGCAGACAACAAAGTTGCAGCAGCAACCAGGTTGCTGATAGCATTGATTAGAATTTTTTCCGCCTTTCCAGGCTTCTTCACTTCACTTTTCGTTTTATGTAAGCGCAGTATACCTAGGAGGTGGTGTGCAGTGTGTGTGTGCCAGCAATTTTCTGCAGAAGAGACACAAAATATTTAATCATCAAAGGCACAGTGGTTGGAAATAGGGAAAATGTGGGGAAAAACACCTTGCAGCCTACCTGCAACCTGCAACTGTTGTGCTTCCTCTAAAACCTTTTCTTGTGATCAGAATATGTTTAAAAATTAAGGGAAAAATCAGAATATACTATTGTCCATCTATTAAAATTTTCATTTAATTTTCCTTGGAATTTCCCAACCTTGCAAACCCACAACTCGAACACCCAGCAGCAACCTGCAACTGCAACCTGCAACTATTGCTGCTTCTGCTGCTGGGCTGCCGCATTGCAGCTATTTTGATAAAGCGCGTAATCGTAAAAACGCTAATGATACGATTTTTGCAGCAATGTGATGATTAAATGTTGCAAACCGCCGTGGGGCAACCTCCCCTTCCTGCAATTGCCAGCCCATCTTCATTTTCATCTTTGGCGGAGAGATGGCAATCGCCGGGGCCTTGGCCTTGGACTAAGACTGGCTACGAGTCCGAGTCCGAGTCGGCAGCTTAATTAGCGTAGAAAAGGGCGCAGCCAGGTAGATGCATCAAACTAAGAGGGGGGAGGAGCATCAGCAGCAGAAGCAGCAGCAGGTTTTTCTCTCCCCCAGTGATCTGTCATTGCCGAAGCACTAAAAATAGTTACCTGCACACGTGCATGAATTTCGGACTATTAGACGTAATAGCTGAATGCATCATAATTTACCTTGACATTTAGACCAATGTCTGCGCGCATGCCAAAGTTAATTGCCAGCAGCAGCAGAAGCAGCAGCAGCAACATGCAACATGCAGCACAACAACATGAACAACTATGCAAATGGTTTGCTTACACGCCTGCATTTTGATTAGGTTAACTATTTATAGCCATGCGATGCGGCAACATTCCAACTGCCGCAGCAGCAGCAGCAGCAGCAAGTTCTCTGATGACTCACAGCCAGAGCAACGCAACACTTGCTGCGGCTGCCGCAGCAGGATAATCATATTGATATGCCTAATTAGCTGGAACAGCGACTTCTGATAATCCTCTCCTGCACACTGGGCAAACAGGTGCCGGCTGAAGGTCAGCCACTTTTCAGTCGGATGGAGCAGCATCAGGCAACACGAGCAGCAGCAACAGCAGCAACTGGCTTACTTCTAGCTGCAATATGGCTTTGATTTTGATTTTGATTTCGCTGCTCAGCAATTAAGAGGCCTAATAAATGTTGAAAAAATGTTGTATTAAACACAGGGAGAAAAAGGGGGTGTTGAATACTTAAGGTATAAAGGTAAACAAGAATTTATAAGAATTTAAATTGTAGCTGGAAATTGCAATAAGTACAAGAAATTGGTAGTACCAAGTTGGTCTTAAATCTAAAGAATGTATTTTAATTCTACTTTTAATAATTCAAAAGCACTTATCTTTAAATTTATAAAACTAGATACTTGGTTTTCCTCAAGTGCATTTTTGATTTGGAATTTCTGTTTACCTTTTTTTTGGGGGGCAACCAAGAACACTTTGAAAACGAAAATGAAAACTGAACGCATGCGCCAAAGCTGCTGCTGCTGCTGCTGCCGCTGGGCAAATGTTATTTTTTTCGGTTTTTGGTTTTGGTTTTCGGTTTGCGTTTCATTCTCCGAGGTTCGAACTGGTCTTGGGCCCAAAAACTCGGACTCTTGTGTCTGCTGCGGCTCCATTTCTGTTTCTTTTTTGGGCCTCGGCTTCGGCGTCGGCATCGGCCCCGGCCAAGTTGGCAACCTTTAAAAGAATGCGGACTTGCCAGTAGTAGACACACACATGTAGGCGCAGGGTAGATAGGCCATATCGAAAATATATATATATGTGTATATAGCCGGCCCCTGTATGTAAGGCATGCACAGAAAAAATAACTCAAAAAGCTTTGTGCCAACAAAAGGTAACAACTCTTGCGGCTGCCTTGCCCCGTGATAAAGCCAGCAAGGAGAAGGTGGCTTCAAAAGTTTGTGACAGAATTGAGGAACCTATAAAACACCCTACGAAATATCTATAAGATTTTCAAATATTTTATAAGTATTTAGGGAATTTTTTTAAGGTACTAACTATAGAATAAAACTAACTTTTCTGTTCACATTTTAAGTCATCAAAAAATAATATAAAATCTTTGAAAAGCTTGTTTATTTAATTACTGATTGCATGTTTATTTTTAAGAATTTTATTATTAAAATGAAACTTAGTGTAGGCTTCTTATAAATATTATACTATATTGTTTCCTTGACTAACTTTTGTTGCACCCCTTGGAGCAATCCATTGCCGCAATTGTTGGCGGGAGATCATCTGAATCAGTGTGTGTGTGTGTGTTGGCCAGTATGTTCCTTGTGTGTGTTGCCAGTTGCAGTTGCCACATGCCGCATGCTGCATGCCACAGCTGTGGCAGCCCCGGCTTGTTTACAGGAATTTTACAACTATGCGACGGCGATTGCCGAGGCAGCCGGCTTCTCCTGCGGATCGAGGCGAAAATGTTGTTATTACTTATTAAGAAAAAATAAAAGGCCAGATGGAGGGGCAAATTAAAATAAAATTAAGTATAGAGAGAGGGGGTATAAAGCAGGATGCCAACTTAGCTAAGCCTTGTCCTTGTCCGACTGAAAGGCAGTTTAAAAAATAGTTTAGCAATCGTCAGAGAGTCACGTTTATGGCTGCCCACTCCTAGAGGAGCTCCGTCTCCGACTTGAGCTGCATCTCCTCCGCTTCGTCATGTGGTAATGAGCCAAGTGAGGTTCTTGGAATTGCGCCAGCGGCGCGTCCTTGAAACTGGTTTCGCCCCATAAACAAGGCGGCCATTTGCCTGGATCTCTTGCGGTTCTCTCTTTCGGTCTCTGGGAACCCCAACTGGGCAGTGAAGCCATCTCCTGGCCATTAAAATTTTGCACTATTAATTAGACAAGGAACCCTGGCAATTTATGGCAATGACCTCTCTCTTTGGCCAATTAAATGCACATTACGACTACATATTGTTCAGTTCTAAGCCGCACAGGCTAAAAGCGTCTATAAAAATCAGGCAAAGGCTTTTGATAAAATAAGCAAAATTATTACTGACCAGTAGTCAAGACCAGGATAAAGTCAAGAAGAGCCATTAAATATGGCTAAAGAAACCCATGAAGCGCCAGCAAAGTAGGGAAACAGTGGTTTAAAGTGTATTTATTGCCTGAAATAAGCTTTATTTGAAATCCTAAAATTGTCTACTTATCTGGCTGTTTGTTTTGAGCCAATAAATTAATGTTAGTTTGATTTTAAGCCTTTGATTATTTGAGACTTTTATGGCTACAATGCAAGCTTACATTCACTTTTTATTGGGCCACCAAAAAGAGCAAACAAATCATTTCCACTTAAATTGGTCAAGCTTAGAATTTATTTTATATATATTTTTTTAAGCCTATGCTAAAAGATTTGCCAAATGCTTAGCCAACTCAAATAAATTTGTTCTTTAGCTAAGGAGCACTTATGTTTTATGGTTGAAACATTTAAATCTTAGCGGGCAGAGAGTGGTTTATGGAGGATTATTAAGGAAATGGTTCTTGGAACATGAAGGAAAAAGGAAGGAGTATTATTTTAATGTTTGTATTTGTATTTTCTTTAAATAAATATTATTTAAATAACTTCAATTTATGAAATGATTGACAGGTATGATAGTTTTCCAATAAAATCCTCTTTTAATTGTTTACATTAATTAAAAATTAATAATTTGCCGTGCACTCTCTACTTCTCTACATTCTCCCTATGATGCACACGCAAATGTCACATCAATTAGCCGTTACTGAGGGCCACTTTTGATGTCTGTGGCGATTGCAGCTGGCCAAGTGACTGCCACTCCGCTCCAGCGAATCTACGGCTAGCTGGTTACCTGGTTAGCAGGCTCGTAAAACTTCAAATTAGCTTTGACTACACACGGCTGGGCCATTGGGCAACTTGAAAAGTAAAAGGCAGTTGGCTAAATTAGCCATCTCCATCTCCGCTCGCTTACAGCCATGGTTCAATGCCCCCGCCCAAGCCACCCACTCGAGCGGCAGCTGTTGGCTGACCTTCGTGCCCAGCTCTTTGCCTTTCCTTGATTTCTACACGAGTGTTTTTTTTTTTTTCTATATAGCAAATATTGTGACACCACCCAGAGATAAATAATACTAAAACAAATATATGCCCAGCATGTTTTCGGCTGTTTTTCTACCGATTATGTGCGATAATCACCTTTGATGCGTTTATTGAACCATAGATAATGTATGGGGAAGTGCCCCGGCGCTGATAAGCGGCGAGTGCGTGTTATTTATAGGCCAGACATTACTCTATAAATACAGCCATAGCTCGGCAAATAAAGCTGGGAATTATCGGGTGGGAATTATCGGGTGTGGTAGCTGCAATCCCCAGAAAGTAGGAAATCAATAGTTGCCCAAAGCCTGGCTTGGCAAACACTGGATAAATTTGCTGCAATTGCCGTTAATTATATGCTCCGTTGGACGAAAAAAGCAAAAGCAAATAGGGAATGAAAATTAGACTAGGGTGAAATTATTTTGTTTGCTTTTTCCGCTAAAAATTAACCCACTATTTTTGGTTTACTCATTGCAGCCAGAGCCACGGAGCATGCGTCTCTTTAAAACCCGAAAAACCACGGACACCTACAGCACCTTGGCCGCTCAGCAACATCAGCAGCAGCAGCATCAGTTGGAGCAGCATTTGCCTCAGCCACAAACGCCACAGCAAGTTTATACCGAACATAACAAATCCCGCGCGCCGGCAACATGCGGCCAGCGACTCAACAAGAGCATCGTGAGCAGCGCCAGCATCTCCTCCTCGCTGCCTGATCTCCACGACCGCCACCAGTCGCCCGTCATGATCCTCAGCTGCACCACGCTGGCCAGCAATGGAGCTGGCTCGGGAGCCACTGCAGCCACAGTCACGGCAACGGCCACGGCCACCACGGCGTCCACATCTGCAGTCGGTCATCATCAGCAGCAGCAGCAACAGCAGCAGCCGTTACGCACGGCCACGCCCACTTGTCTGCTAAGTGGCCGGCAGACGCCATCGGCCATATCGGTGATGTCGCTCCAAGAGGCCACCACTTTGCACAGGCAGCAGCAGCAGCAGCATCCCACAATCTATGTGCCCATGCCCACCAAACTGGGGAGTCAGCACGCTGCCCAGTACCAGCAGTATGTGGCTCAGCGCCTGCACGCCGCCTCCAGCAGCTGCCTGTACGAGAAGGGAGCGAATCCGCAGAACTCCAATCCCAGCAGTCGATCCCTGACGCCAAATGGTAAGGACAAGCTGTCAAGAATTTAGTATAACAAAAAAGGCTACCAATAAAAAGGGGAAATTAAAACTAGGGAATTAATGTTTAATTTAATAATGTAATATTTTGCACTTATAATATTTAATATTCTTTTTACCAGAAGAAATTCTAGAAAACATTTAAAATATGAAAAGTGTTCTGCATTTTCTCTTTTGTTGAGCTTCTTAGGGAGTCCCCCTAAAATCATTATTAACAACTGATTATTATTTATATTAATATTTATCGACATTTGTACAATTTTAAAAAATATTACAATATGTAACAAAACCAAAAACTAAGTCAAAAAAGTATTTTTTTCAATTTGGAAAGCATTTTTATACCTTTTAAGGGGATTATAATCTTAGTCAGAAGCTTGAAAAACATTGAAGGAGTCATTTCCGACCCCATAAATCACATATATTCTTGATCAGCATTAACAGGCGAATCTTTCTAGACATTTTGAAAAGAAAAAAAAAATTTTCAAAAATTTCAAAATTTTATAAGGGGTTACATCGTTAAAATTGTCAAAAAATTTGATTTTTAAAAATTTAAAACTCGGTATGCAGATTTGTTAACCTAGAAAAAACTAGCACAGAAAAGCTTTCCGATTTGAATTTGAGACATTTTTGGCTTAGTTATGATCGATTTTTAATGCCATTTCATGATCCTATGGCAAACTGCAAGGGTGTACAAATTTCGGCTTCCAAAAGTTAATTTTCTTTAAGGAATTAAAAAGTCTTCCCTCTGCTAACTTCAGAATAGAAACCCCACAGAATATTTGTATTAACTAACACATTTTCAGCTATATTTTAGTTAATTCTCCCCACTCACTTAACTCCTAATAACCGACTAGGCAAATAGCTGCAATCATTTAGCTGCCACCTGCAACCCATATCCCCTTCGGAGACTTGAGAGATTTCCCTAAAATAAGCCACACCTTTTGATACACAAAAGGTATTGTTCATGTAGCTAGTGGGTCGCAGCAACTGGTAGGATCCTTGGTAATCCTCCAGTATATTGATGAAGAAGTACCGCTCTTCATTACAAGAATTAACGAGCAGCAGTAGGTAATCCTGCTTTACCTCCTCAACACGCCACAAGCTGCAGTCGCCATTGGCTCCCAATTCCAGATGGTAACCCGACGTAACGTAGAACATCTCCTTTTTGTGCTGCAGGCACAGCCACCGACTTTGGGTTAGAATCCTTAGAGGTCGCGGCAGAGCCTGGAGCATGTTTTGCAGGTAATAGCTCCACTTTTCCGGTTGACTCCTTCGAAGTTCTTTCAATTCCAGGGCAAAGTTGGCTAGCAATATGTTATTCAATGACCGAGAACGTCTCAAGTGAAAGTAGAAGCTCAGCCAGAGTCGCAATTTCAGAGAATTATTCGGTTTGAGTTGGTTTTGTAGCTTCACTAAGCCCACTCTCTCTTTCTGCAAGACTTTCAGCCAGGGTACATTCCAGGCCAATTGCTTCTGCTGCTCCTCCTCTAGCTCCCGGCTCATCTTCTCCGTCCAAATATCCAAATCCACAGGATTACCACTCAGATGTGTCGCCATCGAAGCAACTAGTGTTCCATTAATATCGGTTCTATTAACCGCCTGAAGTGACTTCGAACACCAAGTTAAACTAAGTAAAATTATAACTAGGAGTTGAGCGACCATTGCGATGGAAAATTGTAATTAAACTGACCTGCAGCTTATTTCTGGTAAGCTTTATAGGTGGGAAACACCCTTATCGCTGTGAAAATAAATTGCAGCTCCCTCTCCACGATAATCTCTTGAAATTCAGAAAGTCAATGACTGTTCTTTCATTTCCTGAATTGATATTTCCCCTCCTGTGGGTGACTCAGGCGGAACAGGAAGCGATTGAAAATATTTCTCAATTTATTTTCCTATTAGTAAAACATTTATTTTAAACAAATACATGATTCATGGTATTTAAAATCCGTTTTTTTATTACAGGTCATCTGCCCGACTACAAGCTGGTGACTGCGGTGCCCGTTGTGGTCCTGGACGATGAGCACAAGTCCAATTCTTTGCCAGCCAACGAACTGAGGAGCAGCAACAGCCACAATCCCAGTCATGACGTCAGTCACAGCAGCTCCACCAGCAGCTCCACTTCCTTGGCCAGCACCACGAGAAATGGTGAGTACCACCAAGAGCAACCCCTCTGTGAGACAAAAATAGAAACAAAATCCGAGCAAATGCCGGGAAATTGATTTTGCCATCAAGTAGGAGGCGGGCGGGCGGCGCCTCGAGTGCTCCTCTTTCCACCCGATTTCATTTTCATTTAGATTTTATTTTTGGACACACAAAGGTGTCCATAAATTACCAAGGGAGCTATAGAGAGAGGGCGTTTTAAAGCGCTTTTTAATTGAAACAATTAATTTTCGGAAGCTAAACTTAGGCGGAGCGGAGCGCCACTCCCAGTGGCTTCCGTGGGGCATCCCAGTTGCCAATTGTCATCATCCCATTCGATGCTTGTTTTGCCCGTACGAAATACCGTATTGACCCGATTTCGCATCAATGAACGCCGATGACAACGCAGCAGCGACTGTAATGTGGCTGTAATGCGATCCGAATCCGCCGTCTGCAACTGGAATTTGTATTGTTTTCAGCCCTCGGGCACGAGTGGAGCAGCCTGTGGTTCCCTCTTGCTTTTGAGGAGGAGCCACTGCAACGACCCACCCCAAAAAAGGTTATGCTGTGCACTGGGCTAAGAGAAACTCAGTAAAGTATTAATATGCGTATTCAACAGATCCTTATGGATTCCTATTATCTCTTCTTAATAATAATAATAAAACATTCTAATGTTATAAGACATTTAACAAGAATTGAATTGTATTCCAAAATTTATTTGAAATACATTTCTTACTGTGTATTTTAGCTGCCGACATCAACAGCCGACGAAGTGTGACAAAGCCGGGCATTAAATGCCGCCATTCAGTGCAGTTCAGTTCAGTTCACTTTACTCTCGTTGAGTTCAGTTTAGTTTCAATGGGTATTTGATTTTATTTTATATTTTTTGCCACTCGTTATGTGATACGTGATTGAGGTTTCGACTCGAGTCAATCATCACAAAGCGGAGTTGTAGGAAAAAATGAGCCTACATAAGAGCACCCAGTTAGGTAAGCCCATTAATGAGGGCAGGAAGTGGCTGCGATCAGGCCAGAAATTAGTATTAAATATGGGAAAAAATAAATAGAAAAGATACCATCCAACTATTTACCTATTTTCACTTTTTTGTTTACCTCTCCGGATTTTCCACAGAGAGATTTTCCAATTGTTCTGCCAACCGCAGAGCAAGCGTCATTATGAAGCCGAGTTCTGGCCAAATGGCAATTCAAATAATGCCTTTTTTCCCCCTGTTCCGCAGCAACCGCAAAGCGTTTGATGATTGCTCTAACTTGGAGCCAAGTTAAGCCAAGTTTCTACCCGACAAAACAGCTGCAGAAGTCGGTGCACAGATAGATATGGCGGCCGGTTTTATCAGGTGGCGCGGGAATCGCAAAAGAGAATCTGCAGCTGCTTTCATTCATCTTCCAAAGCCATCGTCATCGCCATCGCCATCTCCAGCTCCATCCACATTGCATGCCAAAGTCACATATTCTGGGTTCGTTGAGCTTTTGCCGCCTCTAATGCCGCAACTTAATTGGCTTTAATTAAGGTTTTGCCCCAAGGTCAATTCTCGGGCTTAAATAAAGCTAAAAAGCTATGTGGCATGTCTAAATAAATATTTATATCTGTTAAGGCTTTCGACACTTTGACAGATAACAAGTAGTCGCGTGCTATGGCTATCATTATACCCAGTAGTTTTCCACAAATTTCAAGTTAATATTTGAAATTTTAAATATAATATCGTAAACATAAATATCTTAAGACTCTACATACCAAATTGCATATCTGCAGCTCTTATAGATCCCGAGATCTACCCCTACAGATATTATAAGAACTCTATATTATCGCCACGATGAGAAATCAATAAGCATTTTGCGCCGCACTCTCTCATCTCGCAAAAGGCCATAATTTTCGAACCAGTTAATGTTTGAAGATCGGTTTTCGCCCCAGAAGACACTGAAGAGAGTCTTCAGCACCTCCTCCCACTCCTCCAGAAACCTCCTCCATTTCTCAATATTTTTACTGGCGCTGCAAGCATGCGCATTTATTGTGGATTATCGCTTATTACACGTTCCTCTTGACTTGATTCTCCCGCTGCCAAGGCGATTATCGATCTCTCATTGGAGCTGGGAGCTCGCAAGTTGGCCAAATTCTTGGCGAGCAATTCGAGCATTGGTACGTGAGATATTATATGGCATGCCATGTGCACTGGCGACTTCCACAAACTGATTTCGATTGCGATTCCGATCTTGATGCTGATTCCGTTTGATCTGAAAGTGGCACAAAATCGGCAACTTTAGCATGCACATTTACATAAAAGTATACTTAAGTATTTGCCTTTCCCATGGCCTTTGGTTATTGAACTTCTTTTCGGGGCTGATTTTGTATTTTCGATTTTTTGGGCGTTTCTGATGCATATCAATTTGATGTTAAGTAAAATAATCTTTTTTTCTTTTTGAATTTGGGTTGCTTTTGGTTGGAGAACTATTTAGTATTTTTATCGTAAAAAATAAGGGTTTTACGATATTTATAATTTGTATTTTTTATGTTTTAAAGAATGCAATCATCAGGAATGTCAGGAAAATAATAAATATACCTCCTAAAATGAATAGGCAGTTTTTACAACTTTCTTTATTTTTTAATAATTGAACTCATGCCATAAAACGAGTTTATAATAATTTCTTTAATAATTAAAGCAATTTTAATAGCTTAAATATTTTTAAATTCTTATTTATTCATTTCGCTTGTTAAAAACTATAAGAAAACATGTAAAATATTCCTTAAAACTAGCAGAGATTTAGAATTATTTGCCCTGGCAACTCTAAACTCCATTTCCCCCTCTGGTTCTTCGCCTTTCTCAATGGCCCGGGCCTCCTCTGCAGCACTTGAGATGCTCAGTTCTAAGATTCAGATGCCAGGCCAGGCGACTCAAATGGTTTTGCTTCAACATCGCTTGCATGTCAGCCGGCAAAATGGCAACAAAGCCATCTTTCCAAGACAGCAAGACGGCAGAGGAGGAGGCAGTGGAGGCCACAGAGGAACGGGCCCGACTTGGGCTGGCGGGCATTTGACACCGTCTTGAAAGTTAAGTGGGTGTAGAATTTGTGGCATGTGGCCGGCGGTGACTGCAGATGGAGATGGGACTACAGGGGGAAGTCCCTCTCACTCTGTGGAGTGTGGAGTGTGGCTGAGGTTGTCATATAATTGATGCCCGCGCGCCGTTTCCTATTATTGTTTAACACTCTGCTGCAGCTCCTCCTCCTGATCCTCCAGCTCCTCCTCCTGCTCCTCCTCTCCCACTGTGATTGCATTGGTGAAAACTTTAATCAAAGGCGAACTCGGTCAGGCCTTGGGTGGAGTTCGGTGCCGTTGTGGAGCGCCTGTCAACCTGCATTGGCTCTGAATCCGGCCGCCAAGCTCTGTAGCGGGAGCAGCGCCCACACATGGCCTCATGGCCAGGGCAATTTGAACGGACCAAGGCCTGCGGCTGGGCTGCGGCTATTAAACAACTTTGGCACGAGTCAGGCCAAGGAAGCCAAAGAAGAAAGAGCCAGAGATGGCCAAGGAAGATCACCAGGTGGTAGCAGTGACTCAACGGGAACAAAGGAGGGATTATTAGTAAGGGAAAAGGAATTTGTTCAACTAAATTAATTAATTAATAATTATTTACTGCTTGTATTTGCAATACTTACTTAATATTAGACCTTAAATTGTTGGCTTTTAAAGTGGGTTACTTGAGTCACTGCCTCGCATCACTGGTCACGGGCTAGGCCCTGCTCCTCCGACTCCTCCCCTCTTCCCGCTTTGCGTTTTGGAAATTTTATTGGCCAAACCAAGGTAATGCCAAACTCCTCCTTGATCATCGCATCTTTGGGGTCTTTGCATGTTTTATGCTAATTGTTCCGAAGCCACCTCATCTGCTGGCCATGCGCCACCACCTCCTCCTCCTCCTCCTGCGTTGGCCCAGGCGATAAATATGGAACAAGCGCATAAATTTGTTTATTAACCAGATCCAACGAGGATCGTTCTGAGAGCTCCATTGCACCATTTGCTCTTTTCCAAGTGCCCGAGCTGGGCGATCGTTAAGCTATTTTACGACGTTATTAGATATCCGTCGGGTGATGGGCAATACGAGTCGTCCATTTAATGATTGGTTATGCTCTATTAGTAATTGAGGTGTGTTTATTGCTCAATAACTGTGCAGAATCACCATCATCCGATGGCTGGGCAGATGGCCTGCTAATGCTAAGAGAATCAATAGCTTTCCAAATGGGTTTACTTACTTAAATGTACACAGAAAAAATTCTGGTGGGTTAAATGAACAATTTCTTTTGGTTGAATAACAGTAAACCTACTGTCCATGTATTTTGTTGTTGGATTTGGTGACTGCACGACAGTTTATATGACAGTCAATTACAGTCACCCTTACGTACAAGACTCGGTGTGTTTTTTGTTGTTGGCTTTGCGAACTGTCGTGACTGTCAGCTGCAGTGAAAATACTGTAGGTTTTTCGTAATAACTTTTATGTATTTTTTGTTCTTTTTTGGTCTCGGCTATGTATTTTTGCATTCCCAAGCTAAGTAGCAAATAAATTATAAGCTTTATCGACAATTTTTTTTAATTTTATTAAATTTTTTATTAAAATCCAGAACCTTCTTTGCCCACTAAAATACTTTCTGGTATAATTCTGGTATATATTTCTAAACTTCTAGTATTATGCAAGCGTTTCTTGAGAAAACGATTTCGGGCACACTTAAATAGGTTTTACGAAAAAAAAAATCTATTTTTAGCTCAGAGAGAGAGAGAGATAGATATATTTTTGCTTTTCCCTTGGTATTGTATGTATTTGCGTGGCCCAGTTGGTAAGCGGGCGGTCTGTGAATTCTGAGACATGGGTTCGAATCTCGGCCGGGGATCAGGAAATGTAAGTTTAATTGGCTTTTAATAGGATTTATACACTAATTTATATAATTTAATAACCATTGGTAGCTCTATAATTACAGATTTCAATAAAAAATTCTTTCACAACAATGGGTGCAGTTTCTACAGTAAAATTAGTGTATTTCACTATTTTCGTGGTTTGGCGCTTTTTAACCGCAAAATCGTGGTTCCATTTACTGTAGAGCAGTACATGTTACGTAACGCGTTACGTCGTTATACTGCAGCGTACAGTCCATGGAACCCAAGATTTAGGTTGTTGCCTTTTAACCCACGAAATGGTTGGATTTACCCACGATAATTTTTTCTGTGTAGTGATTATTCGCTGGGGAATTACATAAGTTAGCAGGAAGTGCTATTTAAATGTTTTTATACTCTTAAAAGGGTATTAAAATCTTAGTCAGAAGCCTGAAAAGCAATGAAAAAGCCATTTCCGACCCCATAAATCATATATATTCTTGATCAGCATCAACAGGCGAGTATTTCTAGACATATATATTCTTGATCAGCATCAACAGGCGAGTATTTCTAGACATTTAGGAAAGAAAGACAAATTTTTGAATTTTTTCAAAATTTTACAAGGGGTTACATCGTCAAAATTTTTAAAAATTCGCAAAAATTTTCATCTCTTAAAATACAAATTTCACTAAGCAGATTTGTAAACCCAGAAAAAACTAGCACAATAAAGCTTTCCAAATTGAATTTGATGCATTTTTGGCTTAGATGTGAAAGATTTTCGATGCCATGTCTTGAGCCTATGGGAAACTGCAGGGATATACAAATTTCGGCTTCTAGAATGGGTTTAAGATAGGGATATGTATGGAAAATATTAAAGAGAGTTATTTAGGGGAATTTGAGTTTCAGGAAATATATTCTAAGAATCTTAGAAACATTGAGAATCTCTGAAAACCTTCTAAATGTTAAAGAGTTCTGTTGTGAATCTGTTAACAAGGCCAAAAGCTTAAATATAAAATTAGGCTACACAAGAGGCCACTTTATGCCCTCTGGAAAACATTAATACCTACAAAAAATAAATAAAAATATATAAAATACTTCCCTTAAAAATTCAATCCAGAAAATAATAATTTGTAGTCTTTAAAATCTTAGAAAACCCCCTCAACTCCCACTTTCTACCAACCTCACTTGTCAGAAGGCCTCAACGTCAGTTTAGGGTCCAAAGATCTTCAAAGCCGACCCTCACTTTTTGTGAACTTTTTATCAAGGGAAAACCGCGACCACAAATGCCTTGAAATTGGATGCCCTGTCACAAGCACGTGGCACTGGGCGGCTGGCCACAATGCAGCTGGGGAGCTGCAGACCCGCAGAGCTGTGGGGCAACAGAGCTGACTAGTCATTGGCCGTGTCCAAGATCAAGTCTCTTGGCGGAGCCCTGGACATTTCTCAGCTTTCACTGCGTCACTGCGGCGAGGCGTTGGGATTTATTGAAGTGTTATAATTAAGTTAGAAATCGCTTTCTGATTGCAAATCCCTCTTCTTGCTCCCCTCTTCCGCCAGTTTTTACCTGGGGCAAGCGCATGAGCCGCAAACTGGATCTGCTGAAGCGCACCGACTCGCCCGCCGCCGCCCACAAGTCGCACTCGGACCTGAGGAGTCTCTTCCACTCGCCAACGCACCACAAGAGTGCGTCCAGCGGGTCTACGGCCAAGTCCTCGGCCTCGCCCTCACCCACTGGCGGCGGCCATCATCAGAGCAACACGCTCAAGAAGTGCAAGTCGGGCCCCATTGAGACCATCAAGCAGCGTCACCAGACCCAGACCCAACAGCAGTCGGGCCAGGATGTGGGCCAGAGCCAGAGTGCCCAGTCGACGCCCACGCATCAGTTTCAGGCGGCTGCCCGCCCACAGAAGGCGCTGAAGAACTTCTTCCATCGGATCGGATCCACAGGCATGCTGAACCATCGCTCCCACAACCTGCTCAAGGCCTCGGAGGCGGCACAGCAGGCTGCGCCGGCTGCCACCACGCTGTACAGGAGCAGCTCCACTAGCCAGCTGTCCAGCTGCTCCTACGTCAAGTGCGATGATCCCACCGAGGGCCTGAATCTCCAGCGCGAGCAGCGGGAGCAACGTCTGCCGAGGATCGCCAGCCTCAAGTCCAGTAGCTGCGATGACATAGCCAAGGTGAGCAGTTGCCTGACGGCCAGCACGAGTAGTGGCAGTGCAGCCACCACGAGTCTGGGATCCCCACCCAGCGGAGGAGGAGCAGGAGGTGGAGGAGCAGCAGCATCTGCAGGGGGCTCTGCTTCCCAGCATGATCCCTCGCGCCGTGGAGCCTTCCCCTATGCCTTCCTCCGCTCGCGGCTGTCCGTGCTGCCCGAGGAGAACCATGGTCAGGGACAGGGTCACCTGAAGCAGCAGAGAGAGCAGCAGCAGCACCAGCGGGATCTTTTGCAGCAGCAGCAACAGGAGCAGATGCAGGCCGCGTCGCCGCTTCCCCAGCGCCGCTCCCCCGAACAGGCGATGCTAGGCAATGTCTCCCGCAACGACAGCATCACCTCCAAGGACTGGGAACCACTTTACCAAAGATTAAGTAGTTGTCTGAGTTCGAACGAGTCCGGCTACGACAGCGACGGCGGCGTCACGGGTGGAGCCCGGATGGGCAATAATCTGAGCATCTCCGGCGGAGATACCGAATCTATTGCCTCGGGCACGCTCAAGCGCAACTCGCTTATCTCCCTCAGCTCCTCCGAGGGCGTGGGCATGGGCCTGGGTCTGGGCCTGGGACTAGGACCCGCCTCATCGGCGAGGAACAGCAGCATCTGCAGTGCCCCCGTCTCGCTGGGTGGCTACAACTACGACTACGAGACGGAGACGATTCGGCGGCGGTTCAGACAACTGAAGCTGGAGCGCAAGTGTCAGGAGGATTACATAGGGATCGTGCTCTCGCCCAAGACAGTGATGACCAACAGCAATGAACAGCAGTTCCGGTATCTCATCGTGGAGCTGGAGCCCTATGGCATGGCGCAGAAGTGGGTATTCCTTTGGGTCAAGAAGACCTTAATCTTTAATCTGTATATCCTTGTTATCCTTCCAGGGACGGTCGCCTGCGCCTGGGCGATGAGATCGTCAACGTGAATGGCAAGCATTTGCGCGGCATCCAGTCCTTTGCTGAGGTCCAGCGCCTGCTCAGCAGCTTCGTGGACAACTGCATCGACCTCGTGATAGCCCACGACGAGGTGACCACCGTCACAGACTTCTACACCAAAATCCGGATCGACGGGATGAGCGGGCAGCGCCACAGGCTGAGCTATGTGCAGCGCACCCAGAGCACCGACAGTCTGACCAGCATGCAGAGCCTCCAGCTGCGAGGCCAGGCGGAGCAGGAGCAGGAACAAGGCGAGGATCAGTGCGATGCCCGGTCCATGGCCAGTGTCAGCACCCTGCCCACGCCCATGCCGCTGATGCAGCATCGTCGCAGCTCCACGCCCCGCCACTCGCTGGACGTGAGTGCGCCCGAGCACGAGCTCCTGCGCCGGCGGGCACGCAGCTCCTCAGGTCAGCGCAGCAGCTTGGCTCTAACACCGACCCCGCTCTTTGCCAGCAGCAGCAGCAGCAGCAGTTGCTCCTCCTCCCCTAACCACCAGCAACACCAAAGGTTTTTGGATAACGACAGTGACCCTTCTAACAACGACTCCTACACGCCGGTCTATACCAATCGGGCGGCGAGCGTGTGCGTGGCCGCCTCGCTGGCGGACGACGAGAAGTGGCAGCTGCTGGCCCGCAAGCGCTGCTCCGAGGGCTCCGCTCTCGCCGGGTCCCCCAATCCCCAGCAGTTTGGCCAGCGCACCCACTATGCCAGGAACTCCATTAACCTGACCAACTCGCACTATCGCTCGCTCCGGTTTGCCCACTCGCGTCTGAGCTCGTCGCGGCTCAGCCTGTTCATGCAGGCGCCGCCTAACAGTCTAACCGCGGGCGAGGCAGCCCCTAATACCCCATCCTCTCCAGTTACCGTCGCCGCCAACACAACTGATCTCACTAACAGCCAGCAGCCGCAGCAGCCGCAGCAGCCAGCGACACCACAACACACTTCACTCTACATCAAGCACTCGCCAAAGAGCGTCTCATTGTTCTCGCCTAATCCGTATGTTAATGCCTCCTCATCCTCACCAGCATCAGCATCCACATCAGCGGGCGCTTCATCGCTGGCGCCTCCAGCCGCTGCCCTCATGCATCATCGTCCATCGTTGCCGGTGGCGAAGCTAACCATACGCGACGAGGAAATGGCGGAGGTCATACGGGCCTCCATGAGCGAGGGTGAGAATTAATCCCCAAATAACCCCAAAGATAAAGCAGTAAAGCGAGAGATAGCTAATGAATTAATTCCTATTTGTAACAGTATATCAAATTTTGATTTAAATTTTAAGAGACAAAAAAAACTTAAAAAAGAGCCCTTGAAAGTTCTAGATAAAACCGGAAATACTAATTTATATAAATTTTTACAGGCAGTGGTCGCTGCACGCCCAAGACCATCACCTTCTTCAAGGGACCTGGGCTAAAATCTCTGGGCTTTAGCATTGTGGGTGGAAGGGATTCGCCCAAGGGTAACATGGGTATTTTTGTCAAGACCGTGTTTCCCACGGGCCAGGCCGCTGACGATGGCACTCTGCAAGCGGGTAAGCTAAGCTCTAAGCTAGGGTTATATAGATACCATCCCTACTTTAAGCCTTTATTAAATTATATAATTAAAAAATAATATCTTTAACAGGGGACGAGATCGTGGAGATCAATGGCAACTCGGTGCAGGGCATGAGCCATGCCGAAACCATAGGACTCTTTAAGAATGTGCGAGAGGGCACCATTGTGCTCAAGATTTTGAGAAGAAAGTGAGTTGGAAAATACATTTAGACTGATTTTACTTTATTTTAATTCCAAATTTATTCCCGCAGATTGCAAAAAGCCAAGTCGATGGGCACATAACTAACGTATCCAAGTCGGAACCCTTTCATAAGCACCTGAATATGGACACACCTGCTTCGTTTATTGTTTGGCTTTCCTAGAAGAAGCCTCTTGTTTAGTTGTAATCGTACAAAGACCCCTGAAAAAATAACTATATATATAGCTATATCTAGAATCCCAAATAGTCATGTAAGCGATTGTATGAAGTTACAATTTTAAATTATTTACCCCAATATAAAGACCAGGCTAAGCTTCGAAACAAGTTGTACAAGATCTATATTACAAATATATATTAACCTTAATTAAAACACTTGAAATTATGGTTATTGTTTATAGAATCGATCTAATTCAGGGGATTTCCAGTGCCAGGACAAAGTAGAGTTTAAATTTCGATCTAGCCATATTTGTTACTTAATTTTTATAATTTTTAAAAGGCTTCTTACAAGTTTTATAAGAACATCGGCTTACCGAACTTATCTTTATTTCTTGTTCAAACTTAAATCCAAAGTCACGCTGTTTTCTGGTCATCTTCCTTGACAATCAGTCGTTGCTTCTTTACAAAATGCTCTATACGGTTCTCCAGGCTCTCTGTAGAAAGGTAAATAATTCAAATTAGAATAAACTTCCCAAATAAAACCCCCAAGAACTTACCGCATCGCTTGCGTTCCAGCAGAGGCTGATATTGACGCGGCTTCACTGAATCCTGTAGGAGAATTACTTGCTCCTGAACCTTCTCTTTCGTCTGGAAGTTCTCCTCCAGGAGATTCTCTAGCTGCTGGAGAACATTCCGTATCATGGTGCTCTTTACGCTGAACTGCGTCCACTCGCATTGCGTGTTCTCAATGAGCTTCTGCAGGTTCTCCTCGCTGTAAATCCATTCGGTGAGGTCGCTAGACTCACTGGGGGGTTCATTTTCTGTGGCAGATATGTCCATGGCATCGTCTTCCGCCTCTGTTGCGCCACCAGCTGCCGGATGGTTGGCACTCCTTGTGGTTGTAGGCCGAAAATCGCAGCGAAATAGATTCAGGGGCAAACCAATGGCGGGCGTGTATTGCGGCTTGCAGGGATTTGAGTCCACATCGAGAAGTTCAGTGATTACGCTGGGTTGCTCCTTCCGCTGGCCAACTAGTAGCAGGACAGCCATGATGCAGCGTATCTGGTGCCAGAGGAAGGCATTGGCTTGGATTTCCAGGTAGTACATGTCATAGCCTGAATTGGTTAGATGCCTCTCGGAGTCAGCAGCTGCCACCCTGGCGGATTGCAGGTTCCGCATGTAGTTTGTGACCCCGTTGTGCACATCCATCTTGCAGAAATTCCTGAAATCCGCATGGCGAACGAGGAGATCGCAAGCCGCCTGCATGGCCACCAGGTCCAGGTCACCCCTGGGAAAGTAGTAACGATAGCAGCGCGAAACGCAGTCAAAGCGAGCACTATAAACTGGACTACGAAGTGGCATCCAAGCCACGCACTGGATATTCTTGGGCAGCACGCGATTCAGCAGTCCACAATAGTCGATTTCGGATGCGAGTGCTGCGGCTTCGAGTTGGCTTTCCGGTGAGTGCTTGCTCCTCAGGTCAATGGAGATGACCTGGCAGAAGGCACTCACCTCCTTGTCGGTGCGTCCGCAACGGTGATAGTTGGCACTGCTTCTTGACTCGATGAGACACGTGCGTGTCAGAGCCCGAAACAAGTGGGATTCTGTGGTGAAAAGGGGAAAATATAAGTTAGCTTTCACCTAGGGATAAGTAGGAACCCACCTATGGTATCGTTAGAGTCCTCCTGGCAGGCAAATCCCTGATAATCCCAGCCAAAGTAGGTGATCTTGAGCAGCACATGTCGACGATGTGCACTGAAAAATACGGATTTCATTGGATGCTCGGCTTTCTCACTACTGCCTCGCCCACTCACCTGCTCCAGTCAAACTTACGTTGTTTCTGCGACTTGCCGGACACCCTCTCCTCCTTGGAGACCCTCTCCGAATCTGCATCCTTTCCGAGTAACACCGCATATTCCTCATCGTTTCTGTCCTGGTCGGTTAGTTTTTTCTGCAACAGGTTTCGCAGCTGAAAGTTGTAGGCCTCCAGCTGGACAATCTTGTCGATCAGCTCCGTTTGGCTCAGCTTTTCCAGGGACTCGCGGGGCAGGCCTTTTAAACGCTTGTTTATCACAACTTTTTTATCATTTGTTGCACTCATTTTAATATTTTTGTGTCGGGAAGAAAAGGTAAACAAAAACTAGTGTGCCTCGCCGCAATTCTCGGCTTTCGGGGCATCTGGGCACACTATAATGATAAAATCGATGAGTGCGTTTATCGATACGCCGTCATCAACAGACGTGCAGCTCTAGAAACGTAGGGTTAATGTTTTTAATTTATTTTGGTTTCCACGAAAATTCGCCATAAATCGTTGGGAGCTCGCTGCCCAGACTCTGTTCCAGTGCAGGGATACCTCCGAACCGGGACAGCACCCACCGCCGCCCCAAAGGCTGCTCTCTGTGCAGCATCTGAAGGTGAAGGACATCTCCGAACGCAAGGAGGAACCTCGAGGCCCTCAAGGACCCGGCCATGGACGCGTGCAGCAGCAGCAGCTACAAGGTCGACGGCGAAAACGACAACACGGCGACCTTGGAGCACACTGTGCCCCTGAACGCGCTGCCCGATGAGATTCTGGAGTTCATCTTCACCTTCCTGCCGCCCTACGGGGACTTGGAGCACTGCAGCCTGGTCTGCAAGCGCTGGCAGGGCATTGTCAAGAGTAAGTGGTGGCTTGTGTGGCATCGAATCCTTGTAATTAAGGCTCCTCCGCTCCCCACAGATCTCGTTCGTCGCTCCAAGCTGAACCTGGAGAAGGGACTCACCGACTTCCGGCTGCGCTGGGAGGTGTTCTCGCAGCAAAGGTCCAATGGCCTGGTGGGGACCCCGCCGCTCTCCTTTATCGCCGGACGCTTTGCGCACTCGGCGGTGCGCCAGGGCAACTCAATGTACGTGTTCGGCGGCGGCTCCTCCTCGGACACCACTTTCAACGATCTCTGGCGCTTCGATTTGACGCACATGCGCTGGGCGCGCCCCGTGGCCACGGGCACCTATCCCTCGCCCAAGGGCAGCGCCTCGATGGTGGCGTGGCGCGACCAGCTTGTGCTCTTCGGGGGCTGGCGCTATCCCTCGCTGCATCCGCCATACCAGCCGTGGTGCCTGTTCGACGAGCTGCACTACTACGATCTCGGTAAGAATCGCTGGCTGCTGCGCAATACCCTGACCTGCCCGCCACCCATGGCCGGGCACTCGGCCACCGTCCACGGCGATCGCATGGTCATCTTCGGCGGCTACCAGATCAAGGATGACGTCAATGTGAACTCAAATGATACCTGGGTGCTGGATCTGCCCGAGCAGCGCTGGTGGCAACCGCTCTTCATGGGCAACACTCGGCCTAGTCCGCGCTATGGCCAGATTCAGGTGGAGCTGGACAAGAACCACCTGCTGGTCGTCGGCGGATGTGGCGGAGCCAATCGCGTTTACACAGACGCTTGGCTACTGGACATGACGCGGGATGTGTGGTGCTGGAAGGCGCTAAATGTGCGCAACAAGCGCTTCGGAGCCGTCCACATGTGGTGTAATCCCGGCTGCAAGGTCAACAACTATCTGGTGGTCGTCGGGCCCTCGCCCAACATGCCACAGGACTTCCAGCTGATGAAACAGAGCCGGGTGCCGGTCGTCGGAGGCCGGGGACCTCCGCCCCCGAATCCCCTGCAGAATCTGCCGCAACGCGGACACCGAATACCGATGCCGGAACGCCGCCTGGGTGGTGCACTAGGCGGGGGACCCAATCGTGGCGGCAACATACGCCCGGGAGCTGCGGGCGGAGCGGCTGCCTTGGGACCCCAGGAGCAGTATTTGGCCAACAGGCGCGCCATCCTTAACCAGCACATGCAGCAGGCTCAGCAGTTCCTCCACAACAGCAATGTGAACAATAACAACAACAACTACCAGCCCCGCTCGGGCAGGCTCAGCGATCTGCACGCCCCGCCAGCTCCAGCTCCTCCTGTTCTTGCCCCAGCACCCGCAGCACCCTCGCCTCCAGTGCGTCCAAATGGTCCGCCCTCGCCAGCGGATGGTGATGTAGACGCTGCCCAGCGCCTGCAACGAAATCTGGCCCTTCGATGTAGGGACAATGAGCCCCGGCTCCCCAAGCGCTTCGATGAGCTGTACGAGGTGAGGTGTCCACGGAAAATGCTCCCCAGAATCAGCTTATAATCTCTTCTCTCCCCTCACAGGATCCCTTTCGCATGGCCGCCTTCAATGTGCCCACGCGTTCGAGGAGCGCTTCGCGGGACCACAACGAGCGCATTCGGCGTATGGAGGAGAAGATGAACGCCATACGGAATTCGCGACGCAGTGCACCCGCCGCAGCCGCCGCTGCTGCCCAAGCGGAGCCCCCGCAACAACAGCCGCTGCGTGCTCCCTCGCCCAAGCGGCTACGCTGCAATGTCCAGTCCCTGTTCGTGTGCGACATCTCGGGCATCCTGGGCAGCAGCGAACCCGCACTCGAGTGGGTAGAGTACAAGAACTTCGGGGTGCTCAAGGGGGCACCGGATCGCCTAATCCTCTCGAGCCTGATTGCCGGCAACGGGGAGCTCATCCTGTTCGGGGGCGTGCACAAGGAGACGCTAACGGACATCACACACCATGTGTCCAATTCCATACACTTTCTGAGTGTGCCACGTGATATTATCTAAGTTATTCCCCTCCATCCTCCGCCAATCCTTCCGAGAAGTGCGGCCACCGTTCATTTAGAGAGTAAATTGAGTGTCCTGGATGTGTGTTGTATGATTATAAACGATTCTATTCGATCTCCAATCCCCGCCGAGTCTCCTCCAGCAGCTTGATCAAGTCGTAGGCGACTTGGAAGCGCATATCACATTGGTCGTCTGGGCATCGGACACACTGATCCAGGAGCAGTTCCAGTGTGTCGTTGGGACGGAGGAAATCCCTAAGGAGCAGGCACGCCTGGTACACGTTCGCATCCAGCTGCTGGCCCGAGCACAGCATGGAGACGTCAAAGGTGAAGCCCTCGCCGGGCAAAGGTTCATACTTTTGGGCATGTCCCATGCTGCTGGCAGCGTCCACCAGCACCAGGGAGTCCACATCGATAAGGGTAACCTTCCCGGTGGCTTCATCGTAGGCCAGATTATCGGCGGTCAAGTCAGTCAGATAAAGGCGAAAGTCCGCAAACCCAAAGGTAAGCTTCAGCGACAATTCCAGCACCTGGCGAGCCAGCTCCAGGCGGACAGCTTCCTCCTTTTCAGCATAATGGGTCAGTGTGCGTCCTGCATGGGCCTGGAAGTGGGTGAGGCCGCAGGAGCCATAAGGACGAGGCACTGGAAAGTCCAGCGAGTGCAGTTCCCGGAGCAAAAGCGGGCTGACATCGTAGGTTAAATAGAACCAGATGCTGGGGAAGCAATGCCCGCGCTCCTTCAGATAAGTCACAAATCGGGGAGGCTCTTCCCTGGTGCGACAGAGATGGAAGCCACCTGGACGCTCCTCTCGCTGCAGAAACTCCTCTTTCAAGTTATTTACTTGAAGGGTATAAGGATTAAGAGCTTTCCTTTTGGCCACCAGTGGCGTTCTCCGATCTTTCTTCTCCCTCAGCTCCAGCCAATATATTTGCCTTTGGTCAAAAAGCTGGGATATCGCTTTCAGGAGTCTGCTCCAGCTCGAGGGCTCTGCAATGGCTTCGAAGATCGCCTGGCACTGCTCACGCTGGCCGGCAAAGCAGGCGGGACACAGCAGCAGATCCTTCTCGAACTGATCTCGGAGTATATCCCCTTGGGGCCTCACCTGCAGCTCCTGGAGCAGGGCCAGAATGAGAACGACTCTTAGGTGTCCCGGCGACAGGTGCATCACAGGGAGCTGTAAAGGGAAGATCGGAAAGGTTGGCATGGGTAAGTTCAAGGCATGAATAAGAAGGGGGCTTGCCCACACGTGTGTGCTTGGTGTGTGTGAGTATTGGTAGCTGTATAAGTCTGTAGCTGCGTGAGGGCCCAGCCTCCAGAGCAGCGGCCGCTTGACCACCATTACCTGTTTGCCAGCCACACACGCTAGAGCCCAAGAAGCAGAACTTCGAGCCAAAGCAGCAGCAGCTGCATGGTAGTTTTCCCTCAAGCCGAAGTCATAATTCTCTTTCTTTATATTTAAATAACAGTTTAAGATTATAATAAAATTACAATTATGATGTAAAAATGGTTGTTGTATTCAAAAAACAAAGGCTTTACTTATTGGTATAAAGTAGCATCTCACTTGCCACCACATTAAGTACAAACTTTGGAAAATGATTAAAATTATATTCTCCTGCAAGGGTTCACCCCCAACACCTTCAACCTTCTGTGTGATAAGCTCAATAAAAATATTTGGCATTTTAATTCAATGTCTCCGTTTAGTTATGATTAGATTACACGCATTTCTTATCGTAAAAATCTTTTGCTTTTTGAATAAAACAGAGATATACCCCAGAGAGTGGGCAGAGTATCGGAGGCGACAGAAATAACTTTGGTGCTTTGGCGCGCTGCTTGGCTTCCCAACCTGAACTGAAGAAGAGGCAACTCGACAAAGGGTTCAAGGTTGGCCAGGCAGACGTTTAATTTGTAATCTTTGGCGAGGTGGGAGAGCAGCCATTATGAAGGAGATACCAGTCGTGGCTTCCTTCGGGAACAAGACCTTTTTTTGCGATGACTTTTGCTTCAGAATTAATTGTGGCTGAAGGGGAATCTGGAAGAAGAATTTAGGGAAGGAGCATAAGGATATCTTGAAGAAGGGTTTGGCACCACTGAAGTTTTCCGGACCTAAAGTAGATAGACTCCATTCAATCCTTTCTAGAATTACCTAACGGAAAAGCGAATAAGCCCTTGGGTCTTGGGTCATCTTAGCTACTTGCGATGGGGATGCCTTGGATGATGAGCTGAATCAAACTCCAACATCGTTCGAGTTCTTTTCAGGACAACCGCTGGGAGCATAATTTCTGCCACGAAAGAGTGCCGAGAGCGCGGAGAGAATCAGCGAGAGACCATAACAGATTGGACGACCGACGACCGGTTGGTTAGAGAACAGTGTTCCCCCCAAGTAAGATCAGTTGAATGTGGCGCGTCGCGCTCGACGGTCGTCGTTATTCTGGTTCCCGCACGAGTCCCGGTTCCGTTCAAGACTTTGCTTCTTTACAACAGCTGGGTGTCGTGATATCGGTCAAGTTCAGGCGGCGACGAGGCCATCACTCAATTAGTCGAGCCAAGGAGGAGCGCCGCGTGAAATTCACTTTTCCCCGAGAAGCCCATTTAAAACGATTCTTTCGTGTGTTCTTATTCGAAATTGGAATTTGTCACGGTGCCAAAAGGTGTGTGTTGTATTCTCTTGGAAGTGTCCACTTGAATTTTTTTTTGTTTTTCTGATTTTCCAATGTTCTAAAATCTCATAAATTAGGTGCCAAGTAAGGTCGGTCGAGTACCTTGATCAGGTACTTTGGAAGGCTTTATGCATCCGGCAACTGCGCCGCCTTTTAGAAATTTGAATAAACAATTTGCGCAGCAGAGATTGCCAGATATAATTGATTGAATATGTGCTTAGTCCGGGACTTATTTCACTACTATAAATTGTGGATTCGCTCACCCTGCATGGGATGTTATTGGATACTATTACCTAGCAGCCACCCTTAGCCATAAATATTTAATGGGAGTCATTGCAGGGGCAATTGCACACTAGATAAGACCCCTAGAAGTCGCCTAGCTAGAATAAAATCTGTAAAAACAGGTTATATACATATATATACACATTTACCCCCCGAGCCGGCTATTGACTGAGCAAACAAACGCGTCGCAGTATTATTTCGGCATATTGGTAAACAAAACACTGCTGGCCTAGCGTGTGTTTGAGTGCCTCTATATACTTGGATATATTCGCGTGTAGCTGAGAGCGCGTTCTTGGCCATGACTAAGAAAATCTAAAGCTCTGCGGTAATTGATACCTATTATTCAATTCAAGTTACGTCGACGAACGCCCTTCACTTCAGTGGAAAGGCCGTGATTTAGTTTCTTATCGCTCATGCAGATTATGGCACACGCCCTTCTGCTAATTATAAGCACCATAAAATGGCAAATGTAAAATATACGTGTAATGAGTTGATTAGATTCGCTTTAGTATTAGGAAAAATCTGTTTGAGGAGGTTTTAAGGTGACGTATGCCAAGTGGGACTTTTGGTTTTGAAATGGGAACCACTTTCAGGTGTAATTGAAAGAAGAACATCCCATAGTACCTACACTCAGCGTCATATCTCTGCGTACAGGGCAAATATTTTTAAACTTGTCACTTTGACAGATACAATCTTAGGCTAGACGTGATATAAAAACATTATGATTTTTGTTACGGATAGTCGTAGCAATTACCTTCATATTCCATATTTTAGAAAATTTTTATCTTCTTTGGTACCCCTATAATTCGTGTTTCGCCAAAACCCTCTAAAATAACATGCTTTCAAAAGTTTGCGTACAGCTGAATATAGTTGCATTTATTGGCCATTTTATCGCAATTTAATATGAGGTTGGATAACCTTTCCGTTTTAGGACTTCGGCGAGACGTCTTGGCATAGAATTAACCAACTTCTCAGTCTCAGCTTCGGCTATTTGGTCCCATTCCTGCTGCAATATGGTTTTTAGCATTGCTTTGGATGTAATTGAGTGCTGCCTAATTCTGCGTTCCAATAAATCCCACAGGTGCTCGATGGGGTTCAGGTCTGGAGACTGTGGCGGTGTTTTCAGTTGATTTTTCACGTTATACAGCAACCAGAGCTTGACATTTTGAGCTGTATGCTTGGGATCGTTATCTTGTTGAAAGATAAACTTGTTCTGGAGCCCCAGTTTGGTTGCACTTTGGACCAAATTATCCTTTAACAGTTGGATATATATCTTATGGTCCATAATACCATCGATGAAGTGCAGATTTCCAACGCCGTTAGCTGCCATACAACCCCATATCATTATTCCACCTCCTCCATGTTTTACAGTTGGAAGTAAATTCTGCTTTTTAAGGGCTTCTCCGCTCTTGCGCCAGATTAACTTTTTTCCTTTTATACCAAATATGCAAAACTTGCTTTCATCGGAAAAAATCACAGACTTCCAGAACTCTGGAGGCTTGGAAATATGGTCCTTTGCAAATTGAATTCGTTTCTCTCGATTTGTTTTGGAAATGTAGGGCTTCTTTCTGGCCACGCAGCTCATAAATCCGGATTTTTTTATAATTCTTCGGATAGTCGAGTACGAAACGGTTTTAGAAAACCGACTTTCCACCTCTTGCTGCACTTCTCTGGAAGTCAATTTCGGATTGTTTTGGACCATGAAAACTACTTTCCTTTTTTCCCTTTTTGTTAATCGACATGGGCGGCCTTCTCGGAGCTTGGGAAGTATAGAACCGGTCGAAATATAATTACTTATGACTCTCTGCACTGAAGAGTGTGCGCGACCTAAGATTCCGCCAATATCTCCATAGCTTTTTCCTTCCAAATGCAATTTTAAGATGATTTTCCTTTCAGAGTCTTGAATTTGCTTTCCTTTGCCGTCCATAATTAAAAATGCATTGACAAATCGTTTGACAATTGCATCTTTGCCTATCTTGATAATGCAATTCAAATCGGACTACTAACTTACCAATAAATGCAACTATATTCAGCTGTACGCAAACTTTTGAAAGCATGTTATTTTAGAGGGTTTTGGCGAAATACGAATTATAGGGGTACCAAAGAAGATAAAAATTTTCTAAAATATGGAATATGAAGGTAATTGCTACGACTATCCGTAACAAAAATCATAATGTTTTTATATCACGTCTAGCCTAAGATTTTATCTGTCAAAGTGACAAGTTTAAAAATATTTGCCCTGTACGCAGAGATATGACGCTGAGTGTATAAGAAAGTCTCTCATGTAACGAATCTATCTTTGCTGTGGTCTTAGGAAGCGCAGTCTAGGGAAGCGCTTATTGGTCTTAATCCCTTGAGAAAGTCACCCATTTTCATTGATTTTTAAGTCAATTTCTAATCCTACAAAAGTCGTAGAACCTTCTCCAAAGACTCTCTTCTTCAGAGACTCGTGTTTGCGATCAAACAAAAAGTGTGCAAAAACTCGTTTCGGTTTCTTTCTTTCCTCCCTTTACCAAATATTAAGCATCTACTTCTTGAGGGGCTCTTCTCGCTTTCTAGTTTCCAAAAAATCATCGTCATTATCTCCCGTAAATGATTGATGAGGGGCCCCCCAAGTGACGCGGCCAAATTGGAAACTGGTTCTCGAATTCTGAACTCATTAACATAGATCTACACACCTTTCTCTGTGACCCTCAGACATGAGCATCTCGGCGTTGGACCGCAAGGAGCAGCAGGCTGGCAATAGTTTCCTGGGCAGGCGCTATGGACAGCTGCTGCGCGGTGGCAAGCACACGGACTGCGTGTTCCACGTGTGCGAGGAGCAGGTGAAGGGCCACAAGCTGATTTTGGCCGCCGCCAGTCCAGTGTTCGAGGCCATGTTCTTTGGGCCGCTGCAGGACAATGAGCCGGAGCCAGAGATCGAGATCCATGACATCAGTGCGGCCATCTTCAAGGTGATGGTGGAGTACATTTACACGGGCACCGTGGACTACAACGGACTGGAGCTGGTGGCCTGCATCGAGCTGTACTATGCGGCGGAGAAGTATCTACTGGAGGAGCTGATCGCCGACTCCTTGCTGGCCATTACGCGGAAGCTACGCTTCGCCAACATCCTGCCCGCCTTGGAGCTAAGCGTCTGCATGGGCCTCGACGCCCTCCTGGACGTCTGCATGACCTTCTTCATGCGCTGCTGTGCCAACAATGGCCAGTACATGAGCCACCTCAAGGAGCACTATGTGCACGTGTCCAAGGAGTGCGTAAAGGCAATAATTGCCGCCTGCAAGGAGCCGCACAAGCTGCTCATCTGGTACGTTTACGAGTGGACGCGGCAGGAGTGCGAGCAGCTGGGCCTGGGACCCAGCGATGCCGATCTGGTGGTGCACGGCCTGGGCGGTGAATCTACCGGCCATTGGTCGTCCGTGACAGCAGCTGTGGCGGAGCCAACTCCTGCTCCAGGCCCTGTGTTGTCCGTGGAACGCTGCTATTACAAGGCCTGCCGACCCTTCACTGTAGACGCAGAGACTCCGGTGTTCCGCCTGCGCCTAAAGTGCTCTCGTTTTATCTCGCTGATGGGCCTGGTACTCAACAGCCGGCTGACGCCCAATCGCTTGGGCCACGTGCTGCAGCCCGAGTACCGTGAATGCCTGCGCCTGCATCTCTGCGAGCTGTCTGTCGAGGGCGAAGGCAATCCGCCGCCCACGGAACCCGTGTGGAGCCATGTCGTCCAAAACCAGAGCACCAAGTACAATTGCGATCTGCACCTTGCCTGGCGACGGGAGGAGGCCTGCGTTCTCAATCCGGAGCTCTCCTACGAGCTCCAGATCCACTGGGACAGCAGCGCCTACGGCGCGGAGTATCCGTGCAGCCTGCAGTCGTGCCAGGCGGACGGGATCCGCTTCACCGACGGTGACAGCTTCAGCGGGAGCCTCGTCAAGGGTCTGCGCTACGCCAACCTGGTGTAGGGCTCGAGGGCACCCGATGTTCCCCTCCCCGATTAGTTTAGTTCGTAAGAAGTGTGTATTTATTGCCCTAAGTTAATGTACGCCGTCGCCAGAGTTCAATAAACTGTGAGCGCCAGAAGCCGGTTTGCCTTTTTACGCCGCCCGTCGAACTCAACCGATCGGACTTGGACAGGGGAGACATGTTACTCACATGATGCTGGGGCCGCCGCTGAACAAATCACCCGCCTCGAAATGACGACACATCGCCAGGTAATTAATTAATTTAAAGTATTTCCGACGTAAACAAAGCGAGCGGAGGAAGGTGTGACCGGTTCGAGAAAGAAGATTGGTCTCGTAACGACTGGTCTTACTTTTATATCGATGTGAACTCCAATCGATAACACACAGCAATTTTGTAATAAAAATGCCAAAGTTGGCAACTCTGGAGAAAAATAATAAATAATACGCGGCTTTGGGATTGTTTTTTGTTTACGCTGCGAAAATGACGATTTTATACAAAGTCGAGGGCAAGGACTTTAGCAAGGACAGTGTCTTCCCGCAGAAAGTGGTCCTCTGCTCCGTGTCTGCTCGTAACATCGTAGCGTTCAGCGCCCTGCAGAGTGGCATCGTATCCTCGTCGCACGGCGGTGGAGATGCCGGCGACGCCTCTGCGCCAAGAACAAGCCTGGATGTGGCCGCCAGCAACGTGTACGTGTGCGACATCGTGACGCCGTGGGAGTACTACAAAGTGTGCTCCTCCAAGTCGCTAATCAGCGTGCTCCAGTGGAGTCCCAACGGCGAGCAGCTGCTTCTAGGCTACATCGGCGGGCGCGTAGAGATCTGGCAGCCGCGCAACCAATCGATCAACCTCTGGGTGCTCCAGTACCACGCCACCGTGCCCAGCGAGGACATTGTGCTGGCACAGTTCTTCCATAACGGCAAGGGCGTATCCTTCAATCCGCAGAAGAAGGAGCACACTTACTATGCGGAGAAGTTTGAGCGTCTAGACGATCGGCCGACGCTCTGCGGCTTTGGCGGGGTGGCCAGCGAGGGCTGCATCCTGCTGACCTCCTCGGGGCTGCTCGCCGCCTTCTGCCTGCCCATGTTGCAGAAGGCAGCCGCCGCTGGCGGTGCCGAGGGTCCCACCCACGAGGTCCTAGAGCTCACGCCCACCCTGCACAGCATCGGCGTCTCGCGCAGTTTTATCGAGCACTGCAGTCTGACGCCAAGCCCCAAGGGGGCGCTTAGCGTGGCCTTCAGCTGCGGCTGGCAGCAGCAGCTGGTGCAGTGCTTCAAGGTCTCGCTGTCCCTTGAGGGAGAACTGGGTCTAGAGCAGCACCTGGCCATAAAGTCGGAGTCGCAGACCAGCATCTTTCTGGGTCCACTGGACGGGCGTAGGATCAGCCACCTGAAATGGACGCGGGTGGCCAACGAGGATGTGATCTTCATAGCCTACGCCTGTCCGGATGGCGCCGGCAGCCAGCTGGAGCAATGGACACTGACGCGTCGCCACCAGACGGTCCATGCATTGCTGCAAGGTGGAGGCGGCGGCGGTGGAGGATCCAACACCAAGCCCAACGAGTTCGTGCAATCGGAGAGCTGGGAGCAGGTGGGCAAGGTACATTTGAACGCTGCTCTGGCGGATATCTGTGTGACGCTTTTTCCTTCCAAATGCAATTTTAAGATGATTTTCCTTTCGGAGTCTTGAATTTGCTTTCCTTTGCCGTCCATAATTAAAAATGCATTGACAAATCGTTTGACAATTGCATCTTTGCCTATCTTGATAATGCAATTCAAATCGGACTACTAACTTACCAATAAATGCAACTATATTCAGCTGTACGCAAACTTTTGAAAGCATGTTATTTTAGAGGGTTTTGGCGAAATACGAATTATAGGGGTACCAAAGAAGATAAAAATTTTCTAAAATATGGAATATGAAGGTAATTGCTACGACTATCCGTAACAAAAATCATAATGTTTTTATATCACGTCTAGCCTAAGATTTTATCTGTCAAAGTGACAAGTTTAAAAATATTTGCCCTGTACGCAGAGATATGACGCTGAGTGTATAAGAAAGTCTCTCATGTAACGAATCTATCTTTGCTGTGGTCTTAGGAAGCGCAGTCTAGGGAAGCGCTTATTGGTCTTAATCCCTTGAGAAAGTCACCCATTTTCATTGATTTTTAAGTCAATTTCTAATCCTACAAAAGTCGTAGAACCTTCTCCAAAGACTCTCTTCTTCAGAGACTCGTGTTTGCGATCAAACAAAAAGTGTGCAAAAACTCGTTTCGGTTTCTTTCTTTCCTCCCTTTACCAAATATTAAGCATCTACTTCTTGAGGGGCTCTTCTCGCTTTCTAGTTTCCAAAAAATCATCGTCATTATCTCCCGTAAATGATTGATGAGGGGCCCCCCAAGTGACGCGGCCAAATTGGAAACTGGTTCTCGAATTCTGAACTCATTAACATAGATCTACACACCTTTCTCTGTGACCCTCAGGCATGAGCATCTCGGCGTTGGACCGCAAGGAGCAGCAGGCTGGCAATAGTTTCCTGGGCAGGCGCTATGGACAGCTGCTGCGCGGTGGCAAGCACACGGACTGCGTGTTCCACGTGTGCGAGGAGCAGGTGAAGGGCCACAAGCTGATTTTGGCCGCCGCCAGTCCAGTGTTCGAGGCCATGTTCTTTGGGCCGCTGCAGGACAATGAGCCGGAGCCAGAGATCGAGATCCATGACATCAGTGCGGCCATCTTCAAGGTGATGGTGGAGTACATTTACACGGGCACCGTGGACTACAACGGACTGGAGCTGGTGGCCTGCATCGAGCTGTACTATGCGGCGGAGAAGTATCTACTGGAGGAGCTGATCGCCGACTCCTTGCTGGCCATTACGCGGAAGCTACGCTTCGCCAACATCCTGCCCGCCTTGGAGCTAAGCGTCTGCATGGGCCTCGACGCCCTCCTGGACGTCTGCATGACCTTCTTCATGCGCTGCTGTGCCAACAATGGCCAGTACATGAGCCACCTCAAGGAGCACTATGTGCACGTGTCCAAGGAGTGCGTAAAGGCAATAATTGCCGCCTGCAAGGAGCCGCACAAGCTGCTCATCTGGTACGTTTACGAGTGGACGCGGCAGGAGTGCGAGCAGCTGGGCCTGGGACCCAGCGATGCCGATCTGGTGGTGCACGGCCTGGGCGGTGAATCTACCGGCCATTGGTCGTCCGTGACAGCAGCTGTGGCGGAGCCAACTCCTGCTCCAGGCCCTGTGTTGTCCGTGGAACGCTGCTATTACAAGGCCTGCCGACCCTTCACTGTAGACGCAGAGACTCCGGTGTTCCGCCTGCGCCTAAAGTGCTCTCGTTTTATCTCGCTGATGGGCCTGGTACTCAACAGCCGGCTGACGCCCAATCGCTTGGGCCACGTGCTGCAGCCCGAGTACCGTGAATGCCTGCGCCTGCATCTCTGCGAGCTGTCTGTCGAGGGCGAAGGCAATCCGCCGCCCACGGAACCCGTGTGGAGCCATGTCGTCCAAAACCAGAGCACCAAGTACAATTGCGATCTGCACCTTGCCTGGCGACGGGAGGAGGCCTGCGTTCTCAATCCGGAGCTCTCCTACGAGCTCCAGATCCACTGGGACAGCAGCGCCTACGGCGCGGAGTATCCGTGCAGCCTGCAGTCGTGCCAGGCGGACGGGATCCGCTTCACCGACGGTGACAGCTTCAGCGGGAGCCTCGTCAAGGGTCTGCGCTACGCCAACCTGGTGTAGGGCTCGAGGGCACCCGATGTTCCCCTCCCCGATTAGTTTAGTTCGTAAGAAGTGTGTATTTATTGCCCTAAGTTAATGTACGCCGTCGCCAGAGTTCAATAAACTGTGAGCGCCAGAAGCCGGTTTGCCTTTTTACGCCGCCCGTCGAACTCAACCGATCGGACTTGGACAGGGGAGACATGTTACTCACATGATGCTGGGGCCGCCGCTGAACAAATCACCCGCCTCGAAATGACGACACATCGCCAGGTAATTAATTAATTTAAAGTATTTCCGACGTAAACAAAGCGAGCGGAGGAAGGTGTGACCGGTTCGAGAAAGAAGATTGGTCTCGTAACGACTGGTCTTACTTTTATATCGATGTGAACTCCAATCGATAACACACAGCAATTTTGTAATAAAAATGCCAAAGTTGGCAACTCTGGAGAAAAATAATAAATAATACGCGGCTTTGGGATTGTTTTTTGTTTACGCTGCGAAAATGACGATTTTATACAAAGTCGAGGGCAAGGACTTTAGCAAGGACAGTGTCTTCCCGCAGAAAGTGGTCCTCTGCTCCGTGTCTGCTCGTAACATCGTAGCGTTCAGCGCCCTGCAGAGTGGCATCGTATCCTCGTCGCACGGCGGTGGAGATGCCGGCGACGCCTCTGCGCCAAGAACAAGCCTGGATGTGGCCGCCAGCAACGTGTACGTGTGCGACATCGTGACGCCGTGGGAGTACTACAAAGTGTGCTCCTCCAAGTCGCTAATCAGCGTGCTCCAGTGGAGTCCCAACGGCGAGCAGCTGCTTCTAGGCTACATCGGCGGGCGCGTAGAGATCTGGCAGCCGCGCAACCAATCGATCAACCTCTGGGTGCTCCAGTACCACGCCACCGTGCCCAGCGAGGACATTGTGCTGGCACAGTTCTTCCATAACGGCAAGGGCGTATCCTTCAATCCGCAGAAGAAGGAGCACACTTACTATGCGGAGAAGTTTGAGCGTCTAGACGATCGGCCGACGCTCTGCGGCTTTGGCGGGGTGGCCAGCGAGGGCTGCATCCTGCTGACCTCCTCGGGGCTGCTCGCCGCCTTCTGCCTGCCCATGTTGCAGAAGGCAGCCGCCGCTGGCGGTGCCGAGGGTCCCACCCACGAGGTCCTAGAGCTCACGCCCACCCTGCACAGCATCGGCGTCTCGCGCAGTTTTATCGAGCACTGCAGTCTGACGCCAAGCCCCAAGGGGGCGCTTAGCGTGGCCTTCAGCTGCGGCTGGCAGCAGCAGCTGGTGCAGTGCTTCAAGGTCTCGCTGTCCCTTGAGGGAGAACTGGGTCTAGAGCAGCACCTGGCCATAAAGTCGGAGTCGCAGACCAGCATCTTTCTGGGTCCACTGGACGGGCGTAGGATCAGCCACCTGAAATGGACGCGGGTGGCCAACGAGGATGTGATCTTCATAGCCTACGCCTGTCCGGATGGCGCCGGCAGCCAGCTGGAGCAATGGACACTGACGCGTCGCCACCAGACGGTCCATGCATTGCTGCAAGGTGGAGGCGGCGGCGGTGGAGGATCCAACACCAAGCCCAACGAGTTCGTGCAATCGGAGAGCTGGGAGCAGGTGGGCAAGGTACATTTGAACGCTGCTCTGGCGGATATCTGTGTGACGCGGCTGAACGTTTCCTCGGCGGACTGCTGCCAGGTGTACGCCATCCTGCAAGACAACAGCGTCCAGGTGCTCGAGCCCAACACGCTGAAGCAGCTCACCCACACTCAGTTTGAGAAGGTTTCCGACGCCAGCGGCGGCGTGCGATTCGTCAGCGGCGATCTGACGCCCACCGGCCAGATGCTGCTCATCTTCGACAGCTATGCCCAGCTGCACGCCATGCAGGCGCCGTTGCTGAAGCAGGCCTCGGGATCCGCGTCGGTACTGCTCCTGCTGATGCTGTTGGAGTACTGCATTGTCACTGGCTGCGATGCCAGCGACGTGCTGCTTCTGAACCTGGGCAGCCTGGAGGCGCTGGTGGAGAAGCTAACGGACAACTTCACGCGGCAGCCCTCGTATGTGCGGCACTACTACTACGCCAACTTCCTGGCCCTCAAATCCAACCTGTGCCGCGTCCAGCAGCAGGAGTTCGACAACCTGATTATTCTGCACGCCATATCCACCACGTTTAAGAGCCTCTTGCGCCCCTCCGATCTCGGGTGCCAGGACAAGGGGCCCGCCGACAATCTGGCCATGAAGCTGGCCGAATCCATACCCGATGTGGACACCGTGATGCTGAATCTGGACGCCAAGGACTTCACCGTGGAGCCGGTAATGCTGCAGAGCCTCCAGCAGCTGATCCAATGGGTGACCGACCTGGCCCTTAACATGCTGCACCGCCTACCCGAGGAGGTGATGAAGAGCAAGCTGTCGGGGAAGCGACCCAGCTACGACATCAGCCGGGACATCGTGGCCATCGGCAGTATGCGCGAGCTGCTGGTCATGATCCGCATCTGGGGCCTGCTGAACACTCAGTGCCTGCCCGTCTACACCAAGACGATGGACAACATCGATGTGCTGGTGATCCTGTTCCGCTTGCTCACTCGCTTGGCCCAGAATCCCGCCGAGCCGGACGAGGTGCTGCTGGACGAGTGCAGCCTGCTGTCCAAACAGCTGCTGATCCCTCAGCCGACCAGGTTCAGTCCCACCACCCTGCTCAGTGCCCAGGGATTTGCGGCTGTAAAATCGGGTCAGCTGCAGTTCACATCGCTGGTGGAGCCCTCTTGCCTGCAGGACATGGAGACGGAAGACGTGGTGTTCGCTAAATCGGTGAAGGACGGCGTTAGTAATCTGCAGCTGGGCGCCCGGCCCAGCACCATCCGAAGGTGCGCCCGCTGCGGTTTTGTGTTCGTCAACAATGCCAGCAAGGTGGCCAAGACGTCGGCGCTGAAGGCGTGGTTTAGCAAGTGGCAGCACTGCCACTGCGGCGGCTTCTGGAAGCAGATTCACTAAGCTGAAGTAACCCTCTAGCAGTATCCCGTAGGACTTAAGTGTATTTCTTAGCCATCAATAAAAGTAGAGACAAAAAAAGTTGATTGCTCTGCTGGCAAAGATCCGGCTGCTAAGCTGCTAGGAAAAGATCCGTGCTGGTAAAGTTCGTTCCAAAGAGAGCATTGCAGGCGGCGATGGCCACCATGCGACGAGCTATCTTCTTGGATCTGGCATTGGCCGTGAATGGGCGGTTGTCCACGGTTATGCGTACGCATTTGAGACCATCATCTTGGTCGCCGGAGGCCTCCACATCCAGAAAGGTGATATTTGGACGCATCTGGACGGGGTGTGAGCATAAGTATTGATAGAAAGGGTGGACATCCTGTTATATACATGACTTACCAAGCACAGTACCGAGACCGGATGCATAGTCTCCCAGCCATTGGGCAATTCAGAGCGAGCCATACTCTCTGATGTTCCATCTTTATTATTTTCCGGGAATAGCATGCTGGGAATGGGGAATCCCTTGCTCTCCCACTCCAAGTACAGCTTGTGAAGGGCAAACGATGCCAGATTCAGCATGGACTTGTCGTCTTCGGGATCACCGCTCTCCTCGTTCCCCCCATCCAATGGTATGGGCATCAGCTTGTGGGTCATGTAGTCGCACAAAGCTTTCTCGCAGGCCGCATTTTTGGCGGCCATCTTCGAGTTGCCCTGGCCGACGTACTGAATCCCGTTGATAAGAGCCATGGCTGTGTATTTGCCTTTATCGCTAGTAAAGGAAAACTCTTCGATTTGTATGCCCTTTAACTCGTTGAGGGCCATTAAAGCGTTCCTAGGGAGGATTGCCTTGCGCAGCAGCCGGTTGCCACGAATCTTCCTCTGTCGCTGGAGCTCTATACAATAAATAGATGAGCTTACCTTTTATGCAGTCATTGGGTTTGATTTTAGAGCTTACCGGAGGGCTTCTTGCGTATAGGAACGTTCTCCACATCAATATTCTCGATACTAACCAGAGGTTTATGGTATGAATCTTCCTTTAAGGGGGATTCTTTTACTGAATCTTCCATTAAGGGAGATTCTTCAACTGAATCTCCCATTAAGGGAGATTCTTTTACTGAATCTTCAGCAGTCTCGGTTCCGTTCTTCATCGGCTCATCCTTGATCAAAGGGGGCATGGGCATTTCACCCAGCTCAGTGGACTTCAATGGATCGCCATTTTCTGGAGTTTCTCCCTCAGCTTCAGCATTTTCCTGTGGATTATTTTATAGGCGAAAATAATAATTTTATAAAATATATAGTACATATATGAAAATCATAAGAAACAAGGAATTTTAGGTAATATTTTTTATATTAACTTAAAAAAATATGCGATGGCATGGTTTTGGCCCATGGTTTTGTCAATGTTTTAGCAGAATTTTCCGTAAAATAACTTACCTTAAGTAGTGACAAATTATTTTCCATTTTGCAGAGAAAATGTTCAACGTTTTATTCCACAAACACAATTAAAAAGAGTTAATTCACAACGTTGATTTTTGACAGGACGTTAAGGCAACCTTAAACGTATTACACCATGCCTTCTGCGATGATGAAGGTATTCGAAGTAGACATATACGCCGCCGCGCCACGCCGCCGCCGCCGCCGATTTTTGCCTTATTTGACGCGCCGCCGCCAAATTATGAAAATAACGGCGCGCCGCGGCGCGCCGCTGGTGCGGCATCGGCGCAGCTTCAGCGCGGCCTTCAGTGTCATTGTTCTTTATAAAACTTAAAAAAAAATAAATAACTCATTAAAATGGCCTTTTTGCCTTATTTGACGCGCCGCCGCCGCCGGTTCTTTCTGACTACTACGCCGCCGCCGCCGAGTCATTTTGACCTCTACGCCGCCGCCGATGCCTTTAACCATCGGCGTAAACCTCTAATTCGAAGACGTGCGATGTTAGCAGGAATATGTGAATGATTTATTTAAAATAAAATTATTCAAAATTTATGTGATTAATAAGTAAGTATAAAACCAGAATTAAATATTAAATTCATTTAAATTTAATCAAAATTAGCTTTTATTTGTTGTATATTTTTAGTATATTCCAGTTATTGGCACTACCTAAACCTTTCGTATATTCTAACGGCCAGCATACGGTCATATTGGAACTGGGACTGGGAAAAATACAAACAATTTTGGCACTGTGGAATTTTTAAACTGTTAAACTTAAAGTTGGGAAACAAAACACTAAAAAGCACTAAAAATGAACATAAATCTGCCAAATTTCAACGTAAAGAACCTTGTGAAGGAAGCGGGCAGCACGATTTCGCGTGTGGTGCAGGTGAGAGCGGGGCGGCGGACAAATCAATGATTTTGGGTGGGGATGTGGGATGGCCAATGGGGATGCGTATGGAATGGGGGAAATACTCATACCTATGCCCACTCGAAAACTGAAGAACCTTTTGCCCTTTTCTCGTTCTTGCCCGTCTCAAGCTCACGGAGGAGAAGCTGGGCACCACGGAGCGCACAGAGTACGACTTGCACTTCCAGAATCTCGCCGAGCGGGCGGATGTGACCAAGACCTGGACGGAGAAGTTGGTGCGTGACACCGAATCGGTGCTGATACCCAATCCCCAGAATCGCGTCGAGGACTTTATCTTCGAGAAGATCGAGAAGTCCAAGCCCAAGCGTCTGAGCAATCTGGAGCACTTGGCCTTGGATATGATCGAGGCAGGCGGTGACTTTGGACAGGACTTGCCCTACGGCCAGGCGCTGATCAAGGCCGGCCAGGCGGAGCAGAAGCTGGGCCAGTGCGAGCACGACTTCATTGCCACCTCGGGCATCTGTTTCACCCAGCCGCTGCGCAAGTTCCTGGACGGCGAGATGAAGACGATTGGCAAGGAGCGGGGCATTCTCGAGTCCAAGCGGCTGGACCTCGATGCCTGCAAGAATCGTGTGAAAAAGGCGCGCAGCATGCTAGGACAGCAGTCGGTGAGTGTGGGGGGAGATTCGGGGACGGGGATTGTGGGTGGGATTAGGTAATTGTTCGTTATGGATTTCTCACTTTTACTGTGCTTTTGTCTCCCCCTGCTGCCCGGAACCTTGCAGAAAGATGGCATCTCGCCAGAGGCCGTCTTGGAACAGGTATCGCGCAACGCCTTGACCTAGCCAGAGCTTTATGACCCACCATTTGGTTCCATCAAATGCTAATATCCCGTTTTCTCTTTTGCCAGGCGGAGCGCGACTTGCGGGTGGCCCAGGCCGAGTTCGACCGGCAGTCGGAGATCACAAAGCTGCTGCTGGACGGGATCAGCACGTCGCAAGCGTCGCATCTACGCCACCTGCATGCCTTCATCCAGACACAGGTGCGCTACTACAAGCAGTGTGGCGATGTCATGGAGCAGCTGCAGCGCGAGCTGGCCAAGTGAGTGTGGATAGTTGATGTCTTGACCTTTATCCCTCGAGTAGGCACCGAATGACCCCTCCCCGCACACGCACCCCGTCCCGGCTCTCGGTTATGTGTTATCCATGTGTTTGTGGTCTTACAGGATGCAGCATCCGAAGCCACGCCTGCGCATCAATAGCGAAGACGTGGATTGTGGGCCTCCCAGCTCTGTGTCGCTGCACTCCTGTGATTCCGATTCCGTAGTGGGCCCAGCCCTAGATAGCGAAGCAGCAGATCCCGCTCACGATCTGTCCCTAGAGAACCTGCTGGAAGACTTTCACATAGAATTCGACACGAGTGCCGTCTCCACAGTTTAGGCGGGTTGAATCCGTATCCGTATCGCTCGCACCAGTTAACATTTAATGCTAAGTTCATACATAATTAGTTAGGCCGTTTTTCAAGTCAGGTTTCCGTCTGGTTCATCCCTCCACAGTCGTACAATTGCTGCCCCAGAGCCGTTATCAAAAACTCATTAAACTCTGCCATCATCTTCCATCAGCTTGGGAGGCCCCACACCGTACATTCCGCTCGATCTCAACGAGGCCAGTGCCGGCAGCAGGTCAGGCAGCTCAAGCGGCCCCACCGGTCGCGGTCCCGGCCACAACAACGCCGCCAATGCGGTCTCATCGGGCCACAGGCCCAGCCAGCCCTTGCACGTCAGCTCGGACCAGATGCAGCGGGCACGCGTCCTCTGCTCGTACGATGCCAAGGATCACACGGAGCTCAATTTGAGTGCGAATGAGGTGAGCAGGCCAAAAGTAGATCAGGCTATAATAAATTGATAAATATCGTAAGTTTAAATTCCGAAATAATCTCTTAACTTGTCTAAAATTACTTTTAAATCGTTTATAATTTCATTTTGAATAACCTTTTAAGTAAATTCAACAGATTATGGTGCGTTTTAGCTTTTACCTCTTGTTTCTCTATTAAGTTCATGTAAAAACAAGAAAGAAAGCTAACTTTGGCCAGCCAAAGTTTGTATACCCTTGCAGGTAACAATTAAAATATATCATAACTAAGCCAAAAATGCATTAATTTCGATTCGGAAAGCAGTTTTGTGTTAGTTTTTATTAATTTAAAAAAACTGCATACCAAATTTAAAATATTAAGAAATCAAAAATTTCGGCCATTTTTGCTCATTTTAATGATGTAACCCCTTATCAAATTTCGCAAAATTGGCCAAAAAATCGTTTTCTTCCGGACATGTCTAGAAAGATTCGCATGTTAATGCTGATCAAGAATATATATGGTTTATGGGGTCGGAAATGATTTCTTGACTTAGAAAAATATTATTTTGTATTATAGAATCGGATTTTTTATATTAAAAAACTTCTTAAATTTTTTTAAAATTAAAAATATCATTACTCGGGCAAAAGAGCATTAATTTTAAATCGGAAAACTGTTCTGTGCAAGATTTTCTACAATTAATAAATCTGCATACTTCATTTAAAAATTTGGAAAATTCAATTTTTTATCAAAATCAAAAATTTTAATGATGTAACCCCTTATAAAATTTTGCAAAAATGGCCAAAAAATCGATTTCTTCCTGACATATCTAGAACGATTCCCCTGTTGATGCTGATCAAGAATATATATGGTTTATGGGGTCGGAAACGTCTCCTTCACTGCGTTACAAACTTCTGACTAAAATTATAATACCCTGCAAGGGTATAATAACATATAACTATAAATATTTTGATTAAAGCCCATTTTCAAACACATTTTAAACAAATAATTCACCATTTCAGGTTATCTTTGTGGCCGAATGCTCGCCGGTTAACGAGGACTATATGTACGGAAAGCAGGGCCTGATGAAGGGCCTGGTGCCGCGGGCCTTTGTGGAAATGCTGGACGAGGAGCACGATGTCACCCTCTAAGTGCGGGCAATAATCATCAAGCAATCAATCAGTAATCTCAACCAAAAAAGCAACCCTACTATGAAGATGAGAAATGCTCCAAGAGAAATGCCACGGAAATACTCATACGTTAAGGAGGAGGCGGGAGGGCAATTGGACAATTACATGATAGCAAGAGAGTACAATAATTTATCAGAATATATTATATACAAGACATATACACACATACGTACGTACATCCATACATGGGCATGTTATAATATAGAGAGCATCGTAGTTTAGGCCCCGAACCTCGCCTCAATAATCAAATGTACTGCAGTACATATATAAATTTTAAAATATTCTCAAGTTAAATCTATTATTGTTACTACTTATCGCATATCCAGGGGCTCCACACTCCACACTCAACAAAGTATTATATATTTGTGTTACGTCTATGTCTGTATCTTGGTTAACAAAAAGAAGACATTATCTGTGCTTTACTATATCCTATATCTCCTTATATTTAGAGATTGTTAATCCTCAGCTATGGCGTTCCAATTTAAGCTATGTAACTAGTATTAGGTATACTTCCTGCTGCTATATTTATTATGTTAAAATCTTTTTGTGCAATTTGGAAAGTCAATTAAATGATTGTTGCTGCTTGTTAAGCGTAAGACAAAGAAAACCCTGAAGAAAACACCAAGCCGATTAGCTAATTAGCGCTTAAAGTGACGCAAATCATTTGCAAAAAGCTAAGAAAAACGTACAATACAGCAATTACAAAAACAAACAACGATGTTTTTAGGTTTTCAACTAAGAGAAATGTTGTAGAGGTGAATTTTAACAATACATCAATTGAAAATAAATAAATACAAATATATTATAAAGCCTAAGAGGTTTTTCAATTTTATATTAGATTTATTTTTGTAATAATTAAAATGGTTTAAAAAAGGGAATATTTTAGGTCTTCTTGAGGTCATAAGTTGCCTAAAAAACCAGTAAGTGCAAAAAGTCGAATATATTATGCGGTTTTCAGTTAAAATTCGAATTAATTATTGATAAAATATTAATTTTTTTCAAAACTTTAAAGGCGTTAAATCATTAAAATTGTCAAAATTTAGGAAAAACTTTAATTTTTAAAAGTGTTAATTCAGGTAAGCTTTTCCGTTTTAAAAATAACGCCTAATAAAAATATCATCAAATATAACTTTAAAGAAAGCGAATAGTTGCCCATAAGGTCTGTGATCGCCAAAGTCATATATTATATATTCAAATTTTCCATTAAAATCTAATTAATTTTAATTAATTAATTAATATTAAAATTAAGAACAAACGAACGAAGACGAGGAGAACAAAATACTAGAACGAAAAAAACACTCTTTGTATTTTATCGATGTTATCGATGGATTTTTTAGCTTGGCTGAACTGGTCCTACTAGCCACTACAAATTTTGCGCAAAATGTTTTCGTACAAGTTCCCCTGCGGGGATTTCCAAACCTTGACAACCATGACTGAGGACAACTTTGTTTTCGATCCGCCGGTGTACGAGCAACGTTACTGTGCCGCCATCCAGATCCTGGAGGACCCACGCTGGACGCAGCAGATCAAGAAGGTGGTGGAGTTCGGATGTGCGGAGATGCGCCTTTTCCACCTAATGCGCCGCATCGAGACGATAGAAACCATTGTGCTGGTGAGCTTGGATTTGGGAAACCTTTAGCCGAAAGCTTTGTTTAGAGAAACGCCTGGGGAAGTAATTTTTAAGGAAATACACTTCTTATTTATTGATTTCCGCTGGTTTATACACACGCATATCCTAGCTTAGACTTGTATCAATGTTTACGAAATAACATTATCTAGTTATATTAAATACTTGTGGAGGAGAGTATGCACCGTCATTCCTTCGCATGAAATGTTGGCTGAAACGGGGTCCTTACATCTGGGGGCGTTAATAATAACCTAACGAACTAACATACAATTTGCAAAGTAGTTAAAATCGAAATTAAAACTCCAAGGATTTGCTATTATCAAGGCCAATTGTAACCTACTGGGTGGGCACTTCTCCGGCGGCACACCCTTCGAATCACACAAACAGGGGGGCTTGGGGGACTGACTACATGCTAGAATGGATAATATATATTTCAACAATAATCTTCATCCTCATCCCTAGGCTGCTGAGCGAGTTTTTCAAATCAAAATGCTTATGAAATCCTAACAAACCGAAAACCTCGAATCGTGACGCAGCTCTCACTCCTGTGGCTCGAGTTTCGGAAGTATCGTAACTTAATTACCACTAAAAATACTTGAAAACGAATTGGGGTGCTTCTGTTCAGCTTTTCTGTTCTTCGCTCGTCTTTTCTCCTACTCCGATCGTCACTAGTTCCTATTCCTAACTGTCATCCTCTGCGGGCCATCACTTGCGACAATGCCTGGACGAGTGGACATTGCGCCCCTTGCCGTAGCTGTTCTCATCGTCATATTCGCCGTACAGGTTTTGCACGTCCAGCAGGCTCGCATTGTTCTCCACATCGTGCCCGCCGCCGAGATGCGATTCAGTCTTATATAGACAGCGGCGTGTCGTCTGCCGCTTCTTACGTTGTTGTTGTGGTGGCTGCTGTTTCTCCAGATTCTCCGCCGACCGGCTCGGCTTCAGTTTCAGTTTCCGCTCGCCCTCGCCGGTGGCGGAGGCACACACAGTGCCAGTGCCGTTCTCCTTGCGTGTGGCGCAGCCACGTTTGTTACTGGCCACGGCCGATAGCGGCGTTGACCGGTTCTTGCTCACAGCAGCTCCGGTGGTGGTGGCTAATCTCATGGCACCCGGATTCTTGGGTGGTCGCCCCACGCGATTGCTCTTAGCCGGCTGCTTGCGGGCCTTGCCCTTGGGTCGACCACGCTTGGCTTGCTCGGAATGGTCAGAGCAGTCACTCTCTGATGCTCTGGCACCATCCGCTTCATCCTAGTCGCAAGAGAATACAAATAATTGTTAATAAAATATAAAAGAATCCTTTTTTCAGGGGCTACTCACCTCGCCATCGACGCTATCTATAGCCTCTTCCTCATCCTCCTCCTCCTCTTCGTCGTCTTCTTCCTCATCACCTTGTGCCTCCAGATTCTCCTCCTCCTCCTCCTCTTCTTCATCTTCATCCTCCTCTTCCTCGTCTTCGTCCTCGTCTTCATTTTGATTATGCTCTTGAACAACCAAACCCTTGTCGCGACGACTCTGCTCTACGGCCAGTATGGCGTAGGTGGGCTTGCCCTCATAACGCTTAGGAAGACGCGATTGCAGGGGACAGATGGACTCCTCCCGCTCAAACTCCTTGACGGCACGTTCGCGCGCAATTTGATCTGGATCCTGGGAGAGCACCTCCGCCCAGGAGAACTTCTTTTTCGCCGTCTTCTTATTGGACTTGGAGCGCAGGTTCTTGGGCGAGACGCGATTCGTGAGCGAGTGCTCCTGGAAAGGAGTGCTCAGCGCAGAGTTGCGCATCACATTCAGGGGTATCTTGTTGTTCAGCTCGAAGATGTCGCACTTGTTGCCGTCCACCTCGTCCTTGATGGAGACACAGGTGCGCTGGATCTCCTCGCTGCTCAGACGCATCTGGCTAGCATCGAATCCGAGGCGCTGGTACTCACGCAGGAATATCTTGCGGTATCGCTCATAACTGGGTCGCTCCTGATACGCCAGCTGACCGATCTGCTGCAGGAACTCGCCCAAATACTTAGGAACTTGCTTGCCGTAGAACTGGCGCAGCATCTCCGGCACATCCGTCATGAACAGCTCCTTGGCCCGGTGCACCTTCTCCTGCTGCTGCTGCTGGGCCACGTCCTTCCAGGGCAGGTAGCCCTCCGACCAGTACACCAGGTTGTAGCCCAGGCACTCTAGATCGCTGCGTCGCGAGTGGGCGCCGAGGTGGGCGTCGCGCGACGTAAACTCCAGCGTGCCGTCGTGCGCCCGCCGCTGGTCCATGATAAAGGGGCGGTGGACACCGCGATCCTGGTACTTAGACGCCAGCCCAAAGTCGATGAGGAATACATGCTCCTCCTCGACGGGCAAGAACTGGTACTCTGTGGGGTTCGGGTCCAAGTGCTTGCTTACCCGGCTTCCGCGTGTTTTGTAGTCGCCGGAGGACACCATCTTTTGTTTCTCCTGATGCCGGGTGGACCGCGTTGACACCGAACACTTCTTGGCACTCGCAGCCTGAGAGCCTCTGCCTCGCTTGATGGTTGAACGACGAACTTGAACCAATGAGGGCGGGATGAACTCCTCCGAATCATTGTCAGACGACTCGGGCGGTTCTTCGTCACTGTTCTGCTCGCTCGCCTTGATGGGATCGCCCTGCTCGTTGAACTCCTCGCGGTAGCTGATGCGCTTGGTGGGGCGCAAGTAGTGCGACTTCACCATCTCCTCGTACATGGAGTTGCGCTTGTCGCGGCGGCACGAGCGCACTGGATTCGAGCCACTGAACTCAACCGGATTGCGTCCGCGTCGCTTCTTGTTCACCGGCGTGTGGTAGTTGTCCAGGCTGTTGCTGTTGTTGCTGTTCGATGTGGCGCCGTCATCGAAGTCCTCGTCCTCGTCGTCGTCCCGATCAATGTCTGCTATCCGCTTCAGGGCAAACTTCTCGCTCTTCAGGTAGTACTCGTCGTCGTTGGTCTCCTGCTCCGAGCTGTTGCCACTGTCCGTGGTCTGCTGCTTCTCCTCGTAGTGCTCATCGTAACCGTTGCCCTTGCCCTTGGGAATCGCCTGCCTCTTGAGGTACTTGCACTTGGAGACCATCAGATTCTGGGCCTTGATGTCGTTGTGGCAGTAGCCCTTGTCGTGCAGATTCTCCAGCACATTGAGGATGTGAATGGCGAGCACTAGCAGGGACTTTTGCTGCACCCGCGAGTTCTTGATCAGCGAGTGTAGGTCGCGATCGAAGCGGGGCAGCACCAGGAAGCGATAGCGGGCATCTCCGAAGAAGTGCGTACCCGAGGCAATGTAGCTGGGTATCCCGCTAGGCGGACCCTGGCTGAGGCCATGGGTCTGTGGGACCGGTAGGTTGGCGCCAGCTTCCTCCGCGCCATCGGATATTTCTATATCAAAATTATGGTTAGCACGAATGCAATGCTAAGGAGAAAACACACAGCTTACCCTTTGCTCGGGAGGTGTTGATCAGACAGTGGATCTCTACGAAAAGGGGTCCATTGGAGTGCGGCTCAATCTTGACTACATACTTGGCGGTATCCGAGCTAGCCGGGCAGACTGTGTCGTCCGAGGCCAAGAAGATTTCGCCAAAGTTGCCTTTGCCTGAGGGAAAAACGTGGGATTACGGATTGTTTTTAAATCCTCCTGGCAAATAATCACCTATGGGTCTTCCCAAGCGCCAGGCCTTTGAAAGCAGATCTCGCAGGATGGTGCCATTCACCACCGAAGGCCGGAGTGTGTAAACTGGACGCGGCGACTCCGTGGCGCTCGAGTTGTTTTGGTCGCTGGCAAAGCTGGCGCCGGTAAGAAGCAGACTGCGTGCCTGTGGTGTATGCATCAGTGTAGGGGTGACGACCACATCCATGCTGGTGGCACCGTCGCCGCAACCTGCCGAGCCCGACGAGGATGAGGACTCCTCGTCATCGTTCTCATGAAAATCGAAGCCATTTGCGCTGTTCGATCCGCCGCTTAGGCGCGGGCACTTTGCGGCGGCCTTGATAGCCGACCGCTTGCGCTTGCGAGCACTGCGGTCCGTGGGCGGGCGTTCCAGTTGAAGGCGCTTGCCCATCTCGGCGCCTGGCGAGAATGAGGATGTGCGAAAGCCTCCTCCTCAGGCCCTCAGTCACTCAGTCTCTTAAGATTTCGAAGCGCGTAGGCAGGAACGTATCTGCTTTAATTTCCAATGTGCGGCCAAGTGGGGTTTGTTTTTGTCCGATTCCTCTTTGAACGCCAGTTCTCTTTCACCTGATGTTCGTAGTTAGTTTTGAAAGAGGTCGAGACAGAGATTAGTAAGTGACTATTTTTGAAAGCTGAGTTCAGCCAGCAGCTATTGTTTTTACAGAGATCCGCCACTCTTATTGTGCTAAGATATTATTAGGCATTTTTGCCTCACAACTTGTTTTTTTTTTTTGTTTTGTTTTAGTATAACGGCCGGGACAAGGTGAAATGGAACATTGTACAAGTGATGATACTCGAGATATCGATAAGTTTTAATTGAAATTAATTAAAGCCACAAGTAACCGTTTTGTATTCATTAATTTTTAATAAGAGTTATTAATGTTTCATTATGTTGGTTAAACACCAACTCACATTTTATATTAATTTTCATTTAATAAAATAAAATAGTTATTTACGCTATAAATTTGAAAATAACGCACGTTTAAAGAAACACTTATCGATATCTTGATTAAACGAAATGAAATGGAACACACCGACAGGCAGCTCTTGCTCACTTGTGTTGGTGTACAACAATTATATACACACAACAAAACAAATAATTCAATTTAACAATTTTGGGAAAATACCCCATGCTTTAGTCACTTGGGTTGACGTTAGCGTTACGCCAGGTGCATATTATCGGCGAAACGAGAATGTTCGGTGCGCGCCCGGGGCCACAAGCACAAATACAAACACAAACAAACGCGGACGCACCATCATGTCTGTGGCAAGCAGACGGACATACATACGGACTCCCGAAAAAAAAATCGATTTTGCTGGCCGGCATTGGGACACAAAGGAGCAAAACGCTCCCATATGTATTTGGCTGCTCCGGGGGCTTCCCCAGACAACACTTTTCACGTGCCAATCGGCTGCTGGGGCACAAAGTCAAATTGATTTTTCAGTATGTGTATTTTTCTCACGTATTACTCGTCTCTTCTTCTTGTTTTCGTCGTTTTCTTTCCCCGTCCCAAGTGCACCACAGATTTTCACGGGCTCGGCCAGCTCCCTAGCCAAGGGGGCAATGCTTACACTTTTCACTTGGTGCGACGGTGCACAGCTGCACTTTCACAAATCGTTTTCCACTATATTTCCGCTTCCATTTGACTCTTCTTTTCGTAATAATTACACATTCTTCCTGCAAGCCAAGCAGCAGGGTTGTTTCGGCCGGACATGCGATAGTTGGCTCGATGTGGTAGTTGGTATCGATATCGTCGGTTATCGATTGTTTTACTAACAATTTCCAATGTTCTGTTTCCATTTGTTCCGATGTCTTGTACGAGGTGGCGGTTAATTTCAAATTTTCTGCATTTGCAGGTGGATATTGACGAGCCTTTATTAAAAAAAACCTGCACTGCAATCAATCCGTTGGTCGCCGACTATTTAAGGCATCGTGCTGGTCCTTTGCGAGCTGAGATCTGGCAGGGAAGCATTGCGGATTCTTCGGAGGAACTGCAGGACACAGATGCAGTTATTGCCCTGGAACTGTGAGTTTTAAGATTGTGTTACTTTTAGTTCTTATAATATTTATTATTTTTAACTTTCAGCATTGAACACGTTTACGACGATGTGTTGTCAAAGATTCCATCAAATGTCTTTGGTTTTATGCAGCCAAAAGTGGTCGTTTTCAGCACACCCAACTCCGACTTTAACGTGGTCTTTACCCGTTTCAAACCTCTTCTACCGAATGGATTCCGTCACGAGGACCACAAGTTCGAGTGGACGCGGGAGGAATTTAAGACTTGGTGCATGGGAATCGTAGAGCAATACCCAAACTATGTGTTCTCTCTGCTGGGAGTGGGCAATCCGCCCAAGGATATGGAATCCGTGGGTCATGTATCGCAGATAGCGATATTCGTCCGTAAAGATATTCTGGAAATGCCGTTGGTGAATCCATTGAGTGTGCTACCAAAACCTTACACAGAGGACTCGGGTTCTTATAAGCTAATCCACGCCGTCGATTATCCTTTCTATGTGGATTCCAGAACCGAAAAGGAAAAGATCTGGGATGAAGTCCAGTGCGAACTGCAGCGTTTCAAGAGGATTGCAAATAGTGCTGAAATTGAACAAGAAATCTACACAGACATCATTAAAATGCCAATAGCACACCTCTTGGAAAGATTACAGATTACAGGAGCCACTGAAGAAATACTCAAGACAGTGCTCCAGGAGAAATCTTTGAAAATAGAGGATGATTGCGTTATAATAGAGGACTCGGAGGAGTCAGGCGAGTCGGAGCCCTACGACTTGTCCGATCACTTCTCCCAGGAGGCTGTATTATCTGATCGAGATGAAGAAGAGGAGTGGGACTTGGCAAACAATTAATTAAAGTTAAGATTACTTTTTTCTAAACTTAGTTTATTAATTTTTAAGTGCATCGTGTCGTTCTTTTGTTGTTGATACTTTGATCTCGATGGTTTTGCAATTTTCGAAGACATTTCCTGAGATTTTTTGACCGGGACAATTAACATTAAAGACTTAACTGCCTTTAACTCGTGTCATTAGGCACACAATGAATGACTTTTCGAATAAACCAACCACTGCTCATGTTTAGTTTACTGACAATCTGTTGACATTTCAATGGGTGGGTTTTTCCAGGCATTCTCCGCTGGCTGGCGGCTATTTCATTCCTCCCCCAACTGACCACTTTCAGTGCAAAAATCGTTGCAGAAATTGGGGTTGCCGCCAAGATGATGACGGTGACGCCGCGTCGTCTGTCTCGCTGTGGCACCCTCACGGAAATTGCTTTTGTTTGCAACAAACCGGGGATGCAGGAAGCGGAAGGCAGACGGCAGGAGGGAGTACGAGGACCTTTAGCATGCAGGCAAGCACACTTGGCGCAATCGCAGCGCGCACCGAATGGTAGCTATTAATACCCCTCCCGGCTCAAACTCCGCCTGTGGTTGCCACAGTTAATGGAGCTGGCGTCAGAACGGAGCCGGAACTCTGAGTACCATCGTCCGTCAGTCGCTAGTCAACCTCGCTCCGGACGACAGCCGCCTGGCAGCCCAATCGAGACCGAAACAAATTGCCATAGCAGCCAATCCTGTCGTGACGAACGAGAATTCATAAACATTCACCTGCCAGCGGTAGGCATTCCACATAGCCTATACTTTTTTGCCTTGACTCGTGTGTCACATGTAAATAGGAATTTAACTCAATTTTTATAACATTAGCTTCAGCTCCGTGCCACCAATTCCTTCGTTCAGTTGTGCCAGTGAATCGCAGACATGGCAGATGAGGCGGAAGGAGGCAAGGAGGGCGAAAAGAAAATCGTACACGTTTATCCACTGGTGAAGGTTAGTTGAGCGTAATTGCTAAAATTGCTTTAATCCTGGTTTATTTAAATCCTTGGTTTCCTTTTTTTTAGCACTCGGACATGAACGAGGAGATGCGAATAGAGGCCATTGAACTGTCCATCACGGCCTGCGAGAAATATGCGTCGAACTATGAGGTAGAATTTAATGGGTTTTAGTTTAGGTTTTACTTCATTAGATATAAGGGTTTATTAATTTAAAAGTTAGTTTATAGATTAGTTATTGGAATTATGAGGTAAAACTTACTATTATTCTTTGAAAAGCTGATTTTTAAGCATAATTAAATTAAAATTTGGTTTAGATTTATTATTATAATTTCAATAGCAATTTAAATACGCATAGAAGATTTTGTATTAGATATACTTTCAGAGACCACATTAACTACAGACCCTTCACTTATCCAAGAACCTTGAAATTCCTTACAGCACGCTGCCAAAATCATCAAGGAAACCATGGACAAGAAGTTCGGCATCTATTGGCATGTGGTGGTGGGCGAGGGATTCGGTTTCGAGGTCTCCTACGAAACGGAGAACATACTCTACTTGTTCTTCGCCGGGAACCTGGCCATTGTGCTGTGGAAGTGCTCCTGAAAAGCGGGTCAAAGCAGCCATCAATCGAACGTACCTAGAAACCGGAACAAAACCCCCAAACCGAACCAAACAGAATTATTTAGCATTAATTTTAGTCATACATACAGACATGCAGGCCTACATACATACCGTTAATGTTGTGAATAGCGAGTCTTGCACTGGTGGATGAGAAATGAATTACCATGGCAACGATGTGTGTGGAAAAAGAATGGTTTTTTTTATTACAAAATGTTGTACCTAGGCTCTAAACACGCTCATAAAATATTTTGTATGCCCTAAACGACGAGAAAACGAAGAAGTAGAAACCCAACACTCTACGCATACACATCCTCGCGATCCGCTCCAGCGCCATCACCGCCATCTTCGAGGTTCGAGAAGAGCAGGAAATGCGAGGTGCGATGGAGTTCGTGGTAGAACTCCTTGGGATTGGCCAGCTGCAGCTCGTACTTCATGTTCGGGTCGTGGCGCACGCCCATAAAGTTGTAGTTCCAACTGCTCTGGGCCGGCACCATGAAGAAGCCGAGGAATTTGTTCGAGAGCAGCATCTGGACGCGCTCGTAGTGGGACGGCAGGTAGCCCTTGGGATTGTTGCCCTTGTCCGTGTTCTTGGAGCCCCACTCGAAGCCCGAGGGCGTCAGCTTGTAGGCGGTCAGTGAGCAGGAACCGGGCGTGAAGGAGCACGTGATCACGATCGTCTTCTCGCCATCCCAGTTCGAGTTCTCCTGCATGATCTTCGCGTGCGTGGTAATATCCTGCGGCGACAGCTGCGGCAGCTCGTTGGGCTGCGTGTGGATCCAGCCCAGGGGCTCCATGTCCTTGAGGTACTGATGCGTGGGCAGGGCATTGGGCAGATTGATCGTCTGGTGGGTGCCCCATTGAGGTGGCATCACGATGCAGCGGATCTCTTTCACCTGCGGGTTGTCCGGCGGACTCACGCCGTACAGATAGCCGGCGATCTGCGCCCTCAGATCGGAGATCGTCACGAACTTCTTGAGTATGTTCTTGGGCAGAATGTATGTGTAGCCGGTCTCCTTGATGTCGTCGGAGCTCACGTAGATGTGGTTCGTTCGCAGGTGCAGATTGGTGGCGGAGATCGCCCTCACTCGCCACTCCGTCTTCGAGCTGAAGGTCTGCGTCTCGTAGTTGGACGTGGTGGAGGTGATGATCTCGTCGCCGTGCTTGTTTGTGGTCCGCGTGGTGGTGGCGGTGAGTTGGTTCTGCTCCTTGGTCTGCTTCTCGATCTCAGCGATCTGTTGGCGCTGAGCCGACGGAGCACTAATCTCCATACCCAAAATGATGTCACGGATCTCCGACTGCGTCAGCGAGGCCACATTCACGTTGTTCTTCTTGCCGTAGTCGGCCAGAATGAGGTCCTTCAGCTGCACCTCCACCTTGATCCACTCCTCGTCCGTCAGCGTGGGCCAAATGTGATGCGCCTCCGTGATGGTGGTCTTATCCGGCTTCAGGATGATCTTTGTTCGCTCCGTATTGACGTGGAGGGCGCGCAGGATCAGGATGAGACGACTGAAGGCCGTGTACGAGGAGATGGTCTTGAGCCAGTCGTCGTACAGGTTGAACAGCACCATCTGGGGCTCGGTGGCCTTGAGGATGAGGTCGCCGAACTTCTCCACCTTGAGGCAGGCCTGGAAGGGCAGCTGCAGCTCCGAGCCCTTGATCACAATGTTGGGGAAGTCGAGCAAGTGCACCTCCAGCGGATCCAACATGCCCTTCCGCGTGACAATGATCTGCTTGGGCTGCTCCTCCACGGGCAGCGACCTAATCAGGGCCGCCACCTCCTCGGCCGTCTTCCACTTGGCCAGCTGGCCCAAACGCTTCTGGCCAGCCCACACCGACGTATGGATGATCTTGAGGAAGAGCTGACCCGTTCGCGGGTTGAAGATGAAGATGGCTCCATTAATCGGCTTCGTGGTCAGATTTCCCTCGAATGTCTTGTGGATGGTCACGCGATACACATTGGTGTCGTCCACGAACCAGATGATCTGGTTGGAGAACAGCTCCCCGTAGTTCTGGGAACTCAGGTAGGGCTCCGTGGGCTCCGAGGAGTATAGCTGCAGTGCCTTGCGGATGCGCTCGCGGAGCACATAGAGCGCGGGATTCGCCTTCATGATCTTGGCCATGGCCTGCTGGATGAGGGTCTTGCAGCCGGGGAACCAGTTGCCATACGCAGAGTGCAGATTGTACGCCAGGTCAATGGCTATCAGCACGCCCGTGGGCGAGGGATAAATTGACATGTTGTCCGTGGTGTAGTCGAGGAACTTGGCTCTCGCATAGCGCTCCACATCGTGCGAATCGTAGTCGCCCCAACGCAGCTGGATGTCCAGCCAGTACTTCTGGGTGGTGGTGTTGTCCATGGTATCCTTGGTATCCGCCAGCAGCGAGGGTCGTGACACGTTCCACTTGTAGGCGGGGAACAGCAGGATGTCCGCGCACGACGAGTTCATCTTGTAGGACTTTCGCGGATGGATCGTCTCCTTCTGCACCGTCTCAATCTCCAGGGCGTCCAGCTCCTGATCAAACACCTGGCACAAATCCATCACAATCGACTCGTGGATCTTCTGCCACAAATGGGCACGGAAGATCTGGATCAGGGAGATCTTCAGCGTTGGAATCTTGCCGTGCATGAAGATGCCCGTCAAATCCAGTTGCACCTGGAAACCAACGTAGACATTGGCTCGATTGATGGTCGGCGACCACCACAGGGTGAAGCGACGGTTCGGAATCTGGTTGAGACCGGATCGCTGGGCATTGGTCAGCTTTTTGTACTTCATAGACTCCTCGAAGCCGGAGGCCTTCTCCCAGAACAGACCCTCCCAGGTGGGGAAGTAGGTGCCCTTGAAGAGTGTGTGCTCCAGAATGCCCTCCACTCCGCCTAAGGCCTGAATCATGTCCGTGCGGTAGTTGTTCAGGTTCCACAGCTTGCCGTCGTGCCGCTGATGCGTCCACCAGAAGGGATTCTGCTTCAGCACCTGGTACTGCTTGAACTCGGTCCGGATGCGCCAGCCCTTGTCGTAGGCCAGAGTGTGTCGGTCCTTCTGGAAGAGCGTATTGATGCGGGGAATACCACGATCCCAGCTGTCCTCCAAATCCTCAAGCGTCAGTCGTCGGTTCTGGGCATTCGCCTCCTGGCGCTTCAAGGCATACTCGGCCCACACACGCTGCGAGTCGATGAACTCGCTCTCCCACGGCTGGATATAGCGATACAAGTTGGGTATGAGTTGATCCTCATCGTGGGACATGCCTGTGGGGGGAATTTATTCATAAGAAACTCTGATTATAGTTTTTAATTCGACTAGAACCCACCTGATCGGAAGTGGGTGATGCCCACATCGGTTTGCTTGGACCAGCGCAGATCCGATTGCGGAATCAGGACGTGGCCCATGCTCAGCATGCCCAGACCGCCCAACTCCTTGGGTGTGTAGAACACCACGGGCGGGAAACGCGAGGGCATCTTGGAGTTCAAACCAATCTTGATGCGCGTCTGGATCTTGTTCTCGCACTTGACCAAAAGATCGAGCAGCTCTTGGGTATTGACCACAGCCTCGCGGAAATAGGTCATCAAGCCAATTAAAGCAGTATTCCATTTGTTTACAATCTACGAAAACCAAAGAAATATTAGTAAAAATCCAAATTGTTCAATTTCATTTCAATTTTACCTTCGTAAAGGTTGTGGATCCGGAGGCCATCAGTATCTGTCTCACTCGATTGTGGAAGCGTCCCAGGGACTCGTCATCCACACGTAGGAAACACTGAGCAGTTCGCTCCTTGGTTATCTCATTCTGCAAGTTCCACACGCCGTCACGATGCGTAAACTCCTCGTTTTGAGTGCGACACTGTAAGGAAAAGTAAATTGATAAACTGATCTTCAAATAAGACTTGGTGTTTTAAGGAACCTTTGGCAAAATGCGGCACTCAAAGCCGCTCATGTTGAACAGCAGATTGGGATTATCCTTGGAATACACAGACACAAATGTGCTCTCCCAACCTATGGTGGTGACAGAGCGCGGCAGACGGTTCTTGATATCCCAGAAGACAGCGCGACCTCTGCAAGTATATAAGAAGTTATTAGGGACTATAAAACTATATAAATTATAAGAAGAAACCTACAGATTGACATCGTGCTTCATCAAACGCATGCGAGCATCTCTCGGCCAGCACTTCTTGTTGTTATAACCCACAATATTCTCGTTGTTCGGATCCGGATGCTCGGTGAGGTAGCGCTGTATAAGATCGCGTGCCTCCTCCGCTGAGAATCTAAAGAACAAGTGGATGCGGTCGACGTAGCGGCAGTACAGGCGAATCGGATGTGCCGTTTCGGTGACCGCATCCTGGAAAGTAAGAAAATCGTTGGGCATTTGAGGCGGCCCCGCCATCTCGCTGGATCGGTGCAGGCCCAAGACCAGGAGATCCAACACCAGGCCATAGTACTGCGTGATGAACGAGGAGAACTGCAGACCGCGAATGATGCCATAGCTGTTGGTGTGGTTCATGTCCTTGTAGTTGATCACCACATTGTTTTTGGCCGTCATATAATCGGCGATATTGTGATCCACAATGAGACGTAAGAGACGATTGAGCAGCGTCAAATCAATCTTTTCGTAGAGCTTTTCGAATCGCGATTCAAGCAGGACATTGCACTCGCCCTCACCCACATCCCACACCTCCTGCAGGTTGTTGATGCCTGTGAAAAAAAAGAATTTTATATAAAATTCGGTAATAAAAGGTTTGTTTTACACTTCACTGGATGCACTTCCTTGATGTGGATAGGATTCCATCTTTGGCGTGAGGTTTGCAACAAGGGGATCATCAAATACATATCACTTTGCCACAAATCACACACCCAAAATGCCCACTTGATAGTCACAAATGCCAAGATTTCAGCTCAGAATAAATCCTTACCCTGACACCACTTGTAGGCCAGCAGTGGCGGTGGCTCTGTATCGCTGGGCTTAATCCAGGGCGGGAACAGACGTCGCTTGTCGGCCTCATACCACAGATACTGGTCCAGATAGGCGTCCGTGATCTTCTCCAGCGGCTCCACCTCATAGACGGGGATCAGATGACTGTACAAGTCCATGAACTCGATGCCAACCTGGAATTCAAGTTGGAAATCTGTAAATTTAAATTGAAATAAAAACAAATTCGCAGAATACAAACCTCTTTGAAGGCTCGCTGCGTAAGCAAATGACGCTTGATGCGGGACAAGGCCTCGTGGGGATTGTCGTAGGCCTGCTCGATGAGACCCAGCTCCTCGCGCTGGCTTTGGTTCAAGCGGGACTTGACACTGTAGGCCTCCTTCAAGCGCTCCAAAGCCAGAATTAACAGCTTGGTGTCATGCTTATAGGAGAGCGGAGGGAAAGGAATGGGCGCAAAGCGACGCGACTCCAGCCAATGGACTGTGGTGGTATAAATGGCCACAGCTTCCTCCGGGGAAATGTACGGGCCATCCTTGAGGTAATTATGCTGCCTCTCCTGCTCCGCCTTCAGATACAGGCGCGTCAATCGCCCCAGATTCTTCTTGCACACCGTCTTGTCCACGGTGGCGCCACGTCGAATACGCTCCCGATTATAGTGAGCCGTGTTTGTCCACCAGTCAGCCTTCATCTTTACGTAACGCAGGATCATATTCTCAATGGGTATGGGCAGACCCGGCACCTTCCACGGTATGTTGGCCTTCCAGCAGCGCCAGGCCTCCGACAGATGCTGCAGAATGGTGCGTGCCTTGTTCTGTTTGATGCCCTCGGGCATCATGTCCACGATATCGTGCATTACGGAGGCACGCAGCTCAAGATCAAAGTGAGACTCAACGCGCTGCTTGGTCACCGTCTTGGCCACGCCCTTGGAGTGTCGTCCCTCGAACTGACGCGACAGCAGATTGCCCAGCCAGCGTTCCAGCAGGGGAGTGATGCCGCGCATAAAGAAGAGCCACACTCGCCAACCGGGCGCCCAGAAACCACAGCCAGGACCCTTGCCAACAGGTCCGGTGTTGAAGCGATAGTAAATCAGATGCTTCAGATCCTTGCACATCCGAATCTGCCTCATCAGCTTGTACTTGTAGCGATACATGCCCGTCAGCTGACCCACATGGGCGAAGATGTACTGCAGTCCGTCGGCCAACTGGAAGGCGTCCACATTGTTCAGCCGATATTGAACGTGCGAGTCAATGATTAGCTTGGTTAAGCGCAAGATCTCACGGCACAAGTGGAATGCTGGAAGAAAACAATGATTTATATAATGATTTAATTTATTAAATAAGAAGCTTACCATTTCCGAAACGTGACTTTTTACGCTCCTTGGTGGTCAAGGTCTTCACGGGCTTCAAATTGAAGTTGTAATCCAAATGCAAATAGTTCAGATTCTTTCGGTGAATCAGGAGGTTAAGCATGTTGTATCCCTGACGGCAAACCTGCAGACCAGCCTCCACCCAGTCCAGGGTGGTGGTCTGGAAGAACTTGGTGGCCTTGAACGAACGGAAGAGGTAGCTACAAAAGACAAAACAATCATCAGAAAATTCTATAAAATATGCTAAATATGCTTATATTCTCACCGTTTCTTTTGCGGCTTGGGCTTGCGATGCTTCAGGGCATTCAAGACATAGTACTTGAGCAGCTTTTGATAGCTCACGCGCACCTTGACCGGATGACCGGGCGGACAGTGCTCCTTGTACCAGCATTTGACCAGCGGTACATCGATGGCTCGGCGCGAGCGACCCGAGCGCATGTTAAAGGGACGCGGAGCCCACAGCAGGGAAATGCCATTGGCGGTGTTGTCAGTGTACAGAGGTGTGTCCTGCAGGAAGGGTTGAACATCGTCCGGCAGCGTGAACTCCTCATCATCATCCGGCAGGGGCTCCTGCACCTTGGAGTTGGCATTGCGATGCGAAATGGGATTGATGAGCGGGTCAAAGTAAAAGGCGGGCAAATCGGGATCTTCGGTCTTGATGTAGACCACGTTGGGAGTGTGATACCTGCAATGGGACAAGTATTTTATTATTGTGAATCCTTTAAGGTGCGTCGAAAATGTATGCAACTATCAGCAGTCACGATCTAATCTCTTCAATCGCCACGAACATTATCATTGCAGCTCCCTTTAATCGCAAAATTGGTAGTAAGCTGGGGAGCAGGACGTTTATCTAACGTGGCATGAAGCCCTTCCAGCGATGCTTTTCACTTGGAAACGTTACTACCACGTAAATGATACTTTAGATGTAATATTTAAGGGGGAAACCTCCACGAGGTCTTACCAGCTCAGGTGCACAAAGTGCGGCATGTTGTTGTACAGGTAGGGAAAGGCAATGCGATACTCCGTGCGGATAGGCTGCCGAATGATGACCTTATTGATGTCATTAAACTCGTTCCAGTCCTCGTCTCTACAGAAACACGAATATATATCACATGCTGATCGGAATATTAGCATTTCGTGGCCACTTACCCCACATTGTGGTCTTTTATAAGTGGCTCAAACTTGGGACCACCAGGTATGGCCATATTCAAGGCCTTGGCGGTGAAGAAACTCTTTGGGTCAAACAGATAGAAAAAGTTGTTGTCCACCAGGTCCGTGAGCAGTTGATTTGCCAGCCTATAAAGCGTGGCCAGCTGGGGCAGGGATAGATTCCACTTGCGGTAGGTAGACCCATTCACAAAACTATCAAAGAACGTTCCATTATTAAAAGAAATTAAACATAAAATGTCAATGTTAAACTCACGGCGTATCCACCAGTGGACGATGATCATAAAACCATTTGTACACGGCATTATCTTCATCGTTGTCCAGCTCTATTTGTATGGCCTCCAGGGGCTCCACATCCAGCACGTTGTCTGCATAGTCTAAAGGAGGCTCCTCATCGTCAAAGGGCGGAAAACGCATACGCTTGAAGTGACGACGATCACGCTTCTCACGACGCATCATGATCCACATGGTTCTGGCAAGAAAATCAACTACTAGAGCACAACTTCCACCAGAAAGAACCCAAGAACTCACCCCCACTGAGCTATGTAGACGGGCTCAATGACCCAGGGAATCTCGTTCACAAAGGTAATGGCCCCCGTGATGTGATACAGCACCTGGACATCCCTGATCTGCTCCCAGGGCATGGGCATGTTCTCCAGCAGCTTGAGCACCGCATGCGGCATGTACTTCAAGGCGCCCAGATACACACGCTTGTCGTGGCGGTATTTGCGCGAGGTCATGTCTCCATGGTCGCGTATAATCTTCCTGATGTGCTCCGGCGGCATGTCCTCCTTCTGGGTATCCACAAAGCCAAACTTTCGCTTCTCGGCAAACCGCTTCGACTGCAAATGCTGCCACTTTAGCGCCTTCTCCTGCATCTTCTCCTCGGTGAGGATGTCTGGCTTTGGTGTGGGAATCTGACCCAGCCCGGGACCCTGGCCCTGTCCTGCCGGGGTGGGAATGCCGTTGGCATGCCCACCGGGCGGGGGTAGAGGAGCACCCGGCGGCGGTATCTGCTGTATCTGGTTGGCCATCTGCTGCTGCGCGTGCAACTGCGCCTGCTGAGCGTGGGCCGCCGCGTAAGCCTGCTGGGCCATCAGCTGGGCGGCCCAGGCGTTCTGCGGTATCATGTACGGCGGAATGGACATCGTTCCGCTGCACTTTTCCTAATCAATAAAAAGAACAATACGCTTTAGGATGACACACAAACACACACATACACTGGAGAGATAAAAACGAATGCCGCCGCCGCCGTCGACGTCGCGGCCTTTTGCAATAGTTTTCACCACGTCAAAAACAGCAATAATCGTATTTCCCACAGGATATATTCGGCGCACTTTGTGTCCCAACAGTTAGTTGGCACTATGTTTACCTAATTTTCACTTTTACTACGTTTCTTCAGCCGCAATTCACAAAATTTTTCCGGTTTTGCACAACGAAAACGTTTTTTTCATGCGGCAGCCATTTCTAGTGGTGGCACAAATTGTCGATAAAAATGCCGCATGCACAATCAAGATAGCACCGGAATCATCCAGTTTTCCAATTTTTAAAATTTTAAAAACTTGTCTTAGAGATGAAAATAAAAAAATGAAATAAAATAAAAAAATGAACATACATTTTCTATTATTTACAGTTAGTTCATAAACTTTAAATATGTACTATGAAAAATTAAATTATGTTTATTTTGGGATTTATTTTTTAAACTCCAATAAGTTTAAAAAAACTAACTTCAAGAGCTAAAATACGCTCTAAGTACCCAATCATTTTATTTATTTTAAAATAAAATGGTAACCAATAGTTTACATGCCAATTTAAAAGTAGTATTTTATTAAATTAATATTAATTTTTAATTTTAGAAAAAATAATGTTAACAAGAAAGAAAGCTAACTTTGGCCAGCCAAAGTTTGTATACCCTTGCAGGTAACAATTAAAATATATCATAACTAAGCCAAAAATGCATTAATTTCGATTCGGAAAGCAATTTTGTGTTAGTTAGTTATTAATTAAAAAAAACTGCATACCAAATTTAAAATTTTAAGAAATCAAAATTTTTGGTCATTTTTGCTAATTTTAATGATGTAACCCCTTATGAAATTTCGCAAAAATGGCATAAAAATCGATTTCTTCCGGACATGTCTAGAAAGATTCCCCTGTTGATGCTGATCAAGAATATATATGGTTTATGGGGTCGGAAATGATTCCTTCACTTAGAAAAATATTATTTTGTATTATAAAATCGGATTTTTTATATTAAAAAACTTCTGGATTTTTTTAAAATTACAAATATCATAACTCGGCCAAAAGAGCATTAATTTTAAATCGGAAAACTGTTCTGTGCAAGATTTTCTACAGTTAATAAATCTGCATACTTCATTTAAACATTTTGAAAATTCAATTTTTTATCAAAATTAAAAATTTTAATGATGTAACCCCTTATAAAATTTTGCAAAAATGGCCAAAAAATCGATTTCTTCCTGACATATCTAGAAAGATTCCCCTGTTGATGCTGATCAAGAATATATATGGCTTATGGGGTCGGAAACGTCTCCTTCACTGCGTTGCAAACTTCTGACTGAAATTATAATACCCTGCAAGGGTATAAAAATTCTATTTATAGAACTCAAAGAAAATATTTTTCACACCCTTGTAATAATCTATTTTTAAAGATATTCTTAAAAATCAAAACATAAACAAAATACGAAATTAACCCAAATGCTATTTAATTATTCTAATTAAATCAAATGATTCAGCTGGTCAACGAATTTGTTAACCGAATTTATTATGAACTTATTCAAGCAAGTGCGTCAATATTAATCTTGTGCTGACTGGTACTGGGGGAATTTCTCCGTTTCCATAGTAGATATTGGATAAATTAAACCTTTTACATTTTAGTTATTTACAAAGTAAATTTACCAACAAATGATCAGACCATAAAAATCCATGAAAATAATATTTTTTGAGCACAATTTATTTTTTTGATAGATCAAATCAATTCATTAATCTGACCCTGATGCAAGACACCTCATTTCCCATGGGGTAACGACATCTCCAGACCCTCAGAATGTTTGCCAAATCAATGATCATGTGCGAAATCGATCTCCGGGATGTTTTGCCCCTATAAATAATGTTGGTCCACCGATGGGGATCACAGTTTACGGACAACAACGCTTCTAACCAAAGCACCGGGAAAAGTTGCTAATTTCAGCGAAATACTGACTAAGTCTCGGTGAATTTTCGCAAATAAAATTAACAACAATGGCAAAGGTAAGGGACTACAAATATAGGTTGAATTTAGCATGATAATCTGCTATTTGTTATGTTTTTCAGTTATTTTCCGTACTCTTTGCACTGGTTATAATTGGCTTTGTAGCAGCGGGGCCCATAGAGGTAGGTTTTTGATTTTTTCTAAATTATTTCTATATTATTAAGCGTTATCTTTCAGAACAAGGAGGCTGTTGCAGATGGAGATCTTTCCACTGCCGATAGCATTGGCTATGGTTATTATGCGGCTCCTTTACCCATTTACTACGGAGGATATGGAGGCGGTGGCTATAAGTATGGCGGCTACTCCGGATATAGTGGCTATGGCGGTTACCGGAGCTATGGAGGTTCATACTACAGACCCAGAATTTACCCAGTTTGGGGTTAAATAATCCAAAATTATAAACAAATCTATGTTCCTACTCAAAATTCCTTAAGTAACCAAAGAAATTATACAAGCTCCCAAAAGCAAGTTAACCCTTTCACTGTCCAACGATGACGTCATTGGAGTTTTTGACCCCTGGCACAATTAACACCGGCTTTAGCGCAATAAAAACAAAAACAAGAAGCACTTTATGTATAAAGTACGCATGTGCGCGGTTTATTATTTTCAAATTTCAAACCGGATTGCGGCGGGGACTTGGCCCGGCTCTTCCAAAGAAATTGAGGCGGCTTCCATGGCCCTGCCTTGCCCTGCCAACGTAACAGAAGAGCAAGACGAGTGGTTGGCCAAGCGTAATTACACATCTGAACCTAACGCCGAACCTGGACTTGGACCCATCTTTAACGATCCACACACATGTCCAATTTTCGGGCTATAAACGGGGTCAGCGAAGAGAGCTGGCCTATAACAGTGGATATCGGTTAAGCGATCAGTCATATTTTGGCAATAACATTTTTTGCATATGGTTTTTATAAGTATTTTTTAACAAGAAACCTAATTATATCATTTAACACATAATTTTGTACAGCCTTTCTTGTATTCTATTTAAATCTTCAAAATGTTTTTGATATTCATCTTTAGGGTTCTTTGTTATGTTTTGGAGTTAAGTAATATTATTTGTGTAGAAAACTAAATTGGATTCTCTTCCATTAAAATATTTTCATTATAATGAAATTATGTAAAATAGTATACCAATATAATTCCTAATAACTAAAGTATAACTTTTAAAAATTCCCAATATTTAGGTTTACATCCATAACTTTAGTTATTTGAGTTTATTGTAAGTTAACGAGTGTTTACTGTATTGCAAATTCGTGTGAGCTTGACTTTTAGAGCTCTGCTTTTATTATTTTTGGCATACGGAAGGGTACAGCTTACATACACATAAGTAAGTAAGGATTTAAATAGGAATCAACTCGGCCGTAAAGCTCCTCTCTCTAGTGGCGACGCGATCCTGCGTGGCGTTTGTGGTGGTGCTTGGAATTGGATCTGGCCTTCCTGCTGGAGGAATGGTGGCTCTTCTGATGCTTTTGATGGTGGCTCTTGCTGTGACCATGCTCCGAATGGGCCTGCCTGCCCTTCCTCTGGGAGGTGGATTTGGCCTGGATTTTGTGAGCTGCCAGGTGGGGTAAATGCTTTCCTGGCTTGTGAGACTCCTTAAGTCCATGATGCTTCTCCTCGAGATGCTTGTGATGGTGCTGCGACAGCTGACGCTTGTGGTTCAGATGATGATTCCGTTGGTTATCCTCGTTTAGGGGCTGCATGGCCAAAGCCACGGCCACGAAAAGTATGGCAAAAACAATAATCTGGAATGACCATCAGGGTTATATCGAGTAAACATAATTGAAGGGGATTGAAAGTGAATTAAATTGAACTGCCTTATCTCACTTCCGACGATAAGATAAGTTTCCGCCCCGTGGAACTAGACTCACCACCTTCAACATGATGATAGCTTCGGGATGGTATAGTGACTTCAAAGCCTTTGTGGTTCGTGTAAACTCAGCGAACTCGAAAACTCGACTGTTTTTCGGTACCACTGCCGCTGCTGGTTATATCGTTATCTGGCTGAAGCCCCCATATATGTATATATATTTCGTTGTCTCTTTCGGAGCGCCAGAGTTTTATCGCCCATAAACTGACTAGACGAACAGACGACGGACACTGAGCAGCAGGGAAGGAACAGCTGTTGGCTGATTTCAAAGCCGAGATTAGCAGAGAAGAGTGTTTGGAAGCCCCAGCTTTACAGTTCGCTGAAAAATGAACTGACATTTCTCATTATTCTATTATATGTATATATATGTTCATAATATATAGAAGCTCTTTCAGCTGAGATAATTTCTGTTAGCTGATAAAAGCTTGGGTCAGCAGTCAATATTTAGTCAATGACTACTTTTTATGGGGAGTACTAAGAGAAGAAACAATAGAGGGCCTTTCAGCCCCGTAAGTTCTTTTCATTTATGTATACTTCTGATCTAGAACCATCCTGCAACTTGTCTCTGACTAGATCTTGGTGATTCTTATACCCTTGCAGGGTATTATAATTTTAGTCAAAAGCTTAAAAGACAATGAAGGAGCCATTTCCGACCCTGTAAATCATATGTATTATTGATCAGCATTAACAGGAGAATCTTGTTGGAGGAAACAAATTTTTTATCAATTTTTTCAAAATTTCATAAGGGGTTACATCATTAAAATTTTAAAAAATTGGCCAAAATTTTGATTTCTTAAAATGTAAAATGTAGTATGCAGATTTATTAATCTAGAAAAAACTAGCACAAAAACACTTTCCAAATTGAATTTGATGCTTTTTTAACTGAGTTATAATATTTTTTAATCTTTGATTTGTTCAAAAAAATAAAATCTATCAAGGATACAAGGTACATTTCCTACGCCATATTTCATATATATTTTTGATAAGCATAAAAATTCAAGTCGATCATGATTGCGGATTCATTAAACTAATTAAAACTAACTCATAGCTAATTTTCGAATTGAATTAGATCCTTTTTGGCTTAAAATTTCATTCTATTTTCATTTGTGAGGTATAAAATCAACCTTGAAACTTTTGAATTCCCACAATTCAATGACGAATTGTGTTTGTTATCAAATAAATAATTTTAATGATGACAGTTTAAAAATTATATAGCCCCTTTCCTTTCTGATAACGCACTGCTTTCTAGGGTCCCTAGAGAACCAAGAAGACACAAACCTATATGGTGCATATATCGGTTTAAAATAATCTATCCACTATCTGTTTATTTATTCATTCAACTAGCCCTTAGGCTGACTTAATTTGCGGAGCACTGGAAATTCCTCGAGAAGCTAGAAAGAAAAGACGATCTTGGCTAGAAATTTAATCAGCAGACCGAGACCCACTCGAGATATTGTTCTTGCAAACAATAATAATAATGCGCATTACCCCTGCGCGTCATAAACACATACTCTTACACATGTTAAAATAAATCAGACCAATACTTGATACATTTTGTTAAGTCATATGTTTTATTATTGGAATCAAAAAAATTAAGCATACAAAAAATATTGGAATAAATAAAAGTGGCTTGCTTGGTGTGGAATCTATTGATTAATAAGTTTATTTATATTGGATATATCGTAAGTAAGTGTATCTGAATTTGCTGGCGTATATAAAGTAGTTGATACGAATATGTGTTTCTCTTCATTTCTGACCTTCTTCCATCTTTCACTCTTTTTTCTTTCCCTTTCTTATCGCTTTAGATGTACAAAAAGTGAATAAAAATATATGGTAAATATATTCTAGTAAGAAACAAATGGGATTACAATTACAAATATATACGTTTGAATATAAAGTATGGAAAAAAACATGAAGAATATTAAGTGAATATAACAAAAAGCGAAAACATAAAGACAAAAAATATTGATTCACGATTAAACTTAGGATTAATACATTTTTTTTAGCATTTTTCTTATTTTTAATTTTTTTTTTACATTTTCTATATTTTTTTTAGGGTTGATTATAGATGTTGTGTATAATAATAATTTACGATCAGGCTCTTAACGTGGCTGGCCATATACATAATTGAAAGACTACCTCCGTGGGCAACTTTAAACGATTTTCGACTACGTAAACACCAAGAGTGAGGATAAAGATTGATTTGCTTGTCAATGAACACATTGTGGGGGCTCAATATGTCAGTTGAAAATGGAGCTACTATATGGATTTGCGGAAACTACAGACTTTGGATTGTTTACTTCGGGTTAGTGATGTTTTTGTATTTTCTGCTGGTAACTAGCTTGCTGGTGTTGTCGCGAAAATCGTCCCCTTTCTGCCGTCGAACTACTCCTCGATGTTGTAGAAGAAATAGTTGTTCTCGTTATCGTTGATGGCGGCCGGCGGAGCCTGCGGTGCCTTCCTGGACAGAGGCTCGAAGCCCATGAAGAGGAATGCCTCAACCAGGCGAGCACGGTCCGGCTGATCCTTGGCCATGGCCATTACGATGCCGTCCACCTCCAGCTTGTCCTCAGCGAACTCCAGCAGCGAAATGAAGGTCTGCTTGGAGCCGGCCGGCGGAAGGTTGTTCGGTAGGGCGACATACAACAAGTTATTGACTGGGTTCAAAATCGTATTCCAATTGGTGTACTGGTCCTCGGTGACATGCAGCTTGATGGAAATCTGCACCGGCTGGTCGTGCTGCAAGATCTGGCGCAGCACCTCCTGGCAGTCATCTTCCGAGCACAGCGAATGGATGTCGGGCTGCGACTCCGAGTCGGAGCAATCCGACGAGGAGGACGACAACGACGACGCCCGGGAGCTGGTCCCGTAAAGGCTGCCACCAGCCGAGTCGACCGAAGACTTACGGCTGTAGCCTGCAACACAAGAGACTTGGTCTTCACAGGAAGGCCTAAAAGGGGGACATCAGATGCTATACTCACCCGTTAAGAGCGATGCCCTATCGTGATCTGTTCTGTGGTGGACAGGGACATCAGGACCACCACAGAGGCCCTACGCCGAGAGAGATGCGGTAGGACTCAGTTGACATGGTCGTGGCGCAAGAAGAAGTGGAGATGGTGCGGAGCTTGCCATCGGCAATACCGCTGTCATTAAACTCTCTTCTAACGAAGCCACTACTAAACACTGGGTCGCTGTGGAGAGATCAATTATTAAATAAGTGCTGTGGACACGGGACAGTGCTAGCTCGATTTTGCAGCGCCTCCTAACCCTTAATATCTTGAGAACCCATGAAATCTACAAGCTTTCCCAGATTATTTACCACATCATGTTGAAACGATTGAATTGTCGGCTGAACGTCGCAATAGCTGTTGGCTAACTGATGGCCACGACGGCAAAGCAGAGATCTTATCAGCAGACATAGCGACAGCGGGACAATTAAATTATTTCGTTTTTTACGACGCTCAATTATTTGTGTTTATTTTTCGAAGCGATAAGATACGCGCGCCCTATCGGCACTGCGATAGATAGTCATCAGAAAACAACCCTGCGCTCACGAGGGAATTTCACCACACCATGGCGGTGCTTGCCAGTTTTTGGTCACATTAACTTTGGGATTTTCAACCGTGCAAAGAAAGCCACTCTCTTATAAAACGCCATTTGCAAAAAAAAATTATTAAGATTTCAAAGCGGCGTGGACGTAAAAAACTATACAATTTCCATAAAACTCACTTAAAAGTGATATAAAATCAGTGAAACATGTCTATTGGAGTGCCCATCAAAGTGCTGCACGAGGCTGAGGGCCACATAATCACTTGCGAGACAATCACCGGCGAGGTGTACCGCGGCAAGCTAATCGAGGCGGAGGACAACATGAACTGCCAGATGACACAGATCACGGTCACCTACCGGGACGGGCGTACGGCCAACCTGGAGAATGTCTACATCCGTGGCTCCAAGATCCGCTTTCTCATTCTGCCGGACATGCTAAAGAATGCCCCGATGTTCAAGAAGCAAACGGGCAAGGGACTGGGTGGGACGGCGGGCAGGGGCAAGGCGGCTATACTACGCGCACAGGGTGAGTCGGGCACTTTTAGCTGTACTTGGCTTAATTTCGTGCAAAAACTGTCGTAATTGAAGGAATAAGAGTTTTGGTTAAATGAGATAAATTAAGAGTGATAATATTATTTTAAAAATGTATCTCATTATTTAAAGATACCTAATTCAAAGATCAGAGTAAATTAAATAAAATATAAGCAATCTTTATTCATTTTCAATTACGACAGTCTTGTGTCAAGTTAGCCTGCAATTTCCTTGCCCCACTGCAAGTACTAAACGTTTATGAACTTTATAGCTCGTGGCAGAGGAAGAGGCGGGCCACCGGGCGGCGGAAGAGGCTCTGGCGGACCGCCGGGAGCTCCGGGCGGCGGCGGTGGACGCGGAGCCTGGCAGGGAGGACCAACCGGCGGACGTGGACGCGGCGGCCTGTAGGAACCAACGTACAGCTCCTGGCCAAGGCATTTTTAATCTCTAAGTTGCGGGCACTATTATATTATTAGCGGGCGGGCTGAGACTTCTCCAGAGTTTTTGTAAAGTATTTAATAGGCGAGAAAGTGCCGTAAATACAAAATGAACTTGAATTTGAAAACGCAGCCTCGTTTCCCTGGGCAAATTTGCAGCTGGAAGGAGGGAAGATTAGTCGCCAAACACCAGAGGACGCTTACAAAGGACTTTTGCCTCATGAACACGGATATTGTCGTCGCCTTTCGAATGTTATACAAAGAGAGCAATTCCATGACAGTATTACAATCTGCTTTAACTTGACTGTCGACGGATAGCTCTCTTCATTTCACTATTCGTGGAGATAGCACCGAAACAGACAGGACAACGGACGTGTTAGGTCAGACGGGAGGACGGGGTTTTGGTTAGTGCGGATTAGTCTGATAGAGCAACGTCGAATATTATACAAAGAGAGCAATTCCATGACAGTATTATTGTGGAACTGGACTGTCGACGGACAGCTCTCTTTATTCACTTATTCGCATTTAAATCTGAATACGTTCTAGGTGTTAATCGAACATACATTCAATTGTGGTGGGGACGGCACAAAAAATAACGGATACGCAAAGCTATATTTACTATATGCTCTCAAGTGTGTGTATATTTGTTGTTTGCCGGCAGAGTTCGGTCGAAATATGCCAGGCATTTTGTTGTTTTCCCTCCTGCCACGCCAATTAAATCAACAAACTGCGCACTTGGCAGCGGCCTGTGAATTGAGCGAAATAGAGGCCTGAATGGGAACAGAGAACAGGCTGCACAAATCGCTCTTAATGGATGCAATTTATGGTAATGGACGGGCAGTAAATATGCAATGTCTACGACATGGCATCATCGATCGAATCGACGGCACGTGCAAACGTTATTGAAAGCGCTTCTGCTCTAGTTGTTTCCATTAATTGGGAAAAGGGATTTGTATCGGACGTACCCCTGGATGTTCGGCTGGCTCTCTGGCAGCGGCATGTCGCTCGATGTCGTCATGGCCAAGTTAAATATTTGTTCGGCTTGAGGATTTATCACAGCTGCAGTTCCACTATCTAATGTACAATTATCTGGGCTTGTCTTGTGTGTGCCTTGCCTATCACAGTTGCGTTGCTTTCGGTCCTGCGCGACGGCGCTTAAAATTCACATCGAAAAGATCTGTATCTGGCCTGGTTTCGTCTCCTTTGCTCTGCCTCTCTCCCTAGTGGGTTTCTCGCTGATCTGTGAGGTGGTGCTGTGCTTTGGGCGTTTGTCTGGCGACTGACGACATGCAAACGGTGGCGGCATCATTTATGTGATTAACTCACCGCCACTAGGAGGAGGCCCCTCCGAGATATACATTCTAGTCACCAGATATACGTATACACAAGGCGGGTACAGTCGGTGGTCGGTCAGATATGGATCTGAATTTTGAATGGGGGTGAATCTTGTTCCAAGGTTAAATAGAGCCCCTCCTGCCTCCACCCCACAGACGGCGCTTGTGTGCATTGTGCTGGCGAATTGCAAACAAGGCGCAAATAATTCGAATTAAAAACGCCGGCGACGGGCCCAACATTTGTATTTACAAAGTTTGGCTGTCTGACTAAATAACACGAGGAACTATGACTAAAAATATCCACAAAATAAATAAGCAAAAAAGAAAAAACTGCGGACTTTCAGTCGAGTTCAAATTTATGGCACGTGTTTGCTGTTTTTTCGGTTAGTTTGATAAACAAAAACAAGAGCTAATCAATATATTAATGTTAACTGGAGCTATAACAATAAAGCTATTAAGATAGCGAGACAACGAAAACGTGAAGGGGTCGATATACCAAAAGGGTAAAAAAATGTGGCGAAAAAAGGCAACGTGACGTACTGTCTGTGCGCCTTATGAATATATGAATGCTTGTATTCAAACAATTGAGGTCAAAGCAATAGCTCTAACGACTACTCTTAATAGGCAAAATAAGTAGGATTTTGTGAGTGCTGATAAGGAGCCAGACTTTTTTGTGCCAAATTCTTTGAAATTAGCTTATCTTGGCAAGACTAATAAATCACTTTTTTATAGGAATGTATAGGGATTTTTAAATAGATTTTACCAGAGTAGAAAATCAAGTTATATATTCTGTTAAAGCTTTGTTATACAATTCCCATTTACATAACTATTTTTGTTTAGATTTCAAAGAAAAAAGGGGATTAGTAGCAATGCTCATTAAAATATTGTTATAGAAAACTGAGCCAAGCGGTGTTATTTTTATATCCTTTACTGTTTCAATGAAAACGTGTGTGTCATTGCGTCTTTTTGTTGACTTATGAAAGTATTTGTTTCTACATCTTTCAGCGCTGATCACGTGTCGCCGGCAAGAAATACAAAACCTATCTGTAAACTCTTACACAACAGATTTTTGAGGGGGAAACCTTGGGGGCTATAGCTCCTCTGGCAGTCGAAATTAGGTAAAGACAGAACAAAGGATGTCATATAGATTGTATCCAGATAAAGAGGCAGGTGATAAGCGTAACGTAAATGGATGCCTTGTGTAACCACATCACAAAGTAACGTACTAACCGTACAAATATTAGGGGGATCAAGCCACTCACTATCTTTAGACAAGGGAAAACAGCAGTAAAAAGTGTACAAACAGTGAGCGAGATTTGAGGCAAACTCTGGGGGTAGAAGATGTCATAAAACAAACACGGGCAGTGGAATATGTACAATATGTGCTATAACAATAGAGCCTCCGATAAGAGATACGATCTCTGATAAGATTAATGCAAACGAGGGGGAGTGAGGCGGATGCGAAAGGAGGGCAAAGCGGATGCGGCGAAAGAAGCTGCTAGAAGCGATGACCCAATATCTGTCGTATACAGTTGTCTCTCTCCCACCACCATGTATCTCGCTTGCCACATACAAAAACAAAGCAAAATGCATTGGCGAGTGGAATTTTCCCTTGTTTACCACAATTACTCTCCCGGGTGTGAGTGTGTTTTCTGTGTATATATGACATAATGATGCATGCAGAAATGAAAAGGGAAGCATTTTCTAGGCACTTCCAAACTTGGACCCAATGGCGAAAAACCGTAAAACAACGGTAAAGACCAGTTTGTTGCAGCGAACTTAATCCAATTTGATTGCATAAGGCATAAGACTCGCTTGGGTAAATGCCAAATTCCAATAAGAAGCGAACCTGGTAAACAAAGAATAGAGAAACACACACACACATGTTTGGGGTTCTCCACTTGGATGGGGTCAAACTGTAAATAAAAGAGCGCAGCGTTGCCAGATTTCACAGCGTGATGTGTCTCTGGCGCTAATTAATTAATTAAACAATGCCTGCAAACAAAGAGATTAATAAGATTTTATGCCGAGCGGATGCTCTTCAAGAGTGTCTTGTTATTTGTTTGTGTTTACAATCAACAAAAGAAATCAGAATCTGCCGCCAGGGTGGCAACGCAGAGCGCCATCTTGGCCCGAAAAACAACAAATAATAACGCAAAAATAAAGTAAAAAATTAAATTTCACTGTGTTGGTTGAAATCAATTGTTTACTTTACTTACGACGTGCCACCACACACGGGGGCACAGATTTCATTGTTTTCTCAGTTCCTTTAGTAGATTTTTTCTGTGTGCGTCACAGATTGCCAGAAAAAATTAACGCACACAGCTGCACGCGCACGACTGTGTGTGCATGTAGGTGAAAAAAAAACCAACACCGATTAGCGGGATACACTTAAATTTACACTACAAACCACTACAACCAAGACCAGCCACCAATTGGAAAGGGGTCGAGCACTGCGACTCCACACACTATTTTTGATTTTTCATTTCTTCGCACTACAAAATCGACTTGCACTTTTTCTCTTGTGTGTGGCGACCAGTAGGAAGCCACTACTTACAGTTTATTATTCATATTGGATGGCATTTTCACTTTTAATGGTTGCAATTTAACGCACGAAAACAAGTTGAACTCAGTTGGTGTTTTGAAGAAAACTGGCGAAAATTCCCAACTGCGGCTGTGACGAAAACTGGCAAAAATCCCAACTGATGTCATTCCGGCTTTTTTCCGTCAAATTTAGCTTCTAGCTTTTTTAGAAAATTAGCTTACTTCGAAAAAATAGCTGCGATCCATTGTATCGTCTTACGACCACTTTTTCGAGGCTTATTGACCACTGTATCATGAGAGCAGAGAACATTTTTTTATTTCTACTCTTATTCGAATGCATAGAGCGCTATATAGTCGACTTTAATGAAGTCTCTAATTAATGCGCCAGTGTCATACGGCTATTAGAGCGCCATATAGTCGTCCTGCTCGCACTTGTGTAAAACGCTATTGCGCTGTAAAATTATTTTATAGCTAATACTTATAGCTACTTTTTCTAGTTCTAGCTATCGGAGCATACAAAAAACTCCAACGAACTATACAACACTACCGTTAGGTTTGACGTTTTTTAGTACTGCCGTATCGTTTTGAAAGCCAGAAAAAAACTCGGGAAATAATCTTGGAAAAACGTGCGAATCCTCAGTCTTTTAAGCCCGAAAACCATGAGCGCCTTTCCCGGAACGTTCGCCTTCGACGAATATGGTCGCCCTTTCATCATCCTGCGCGACCAGGAGCGCCAGAAGCGCATCACAGGAACAGATGCCATAAAGGTAAATGAAAAAGGGCCCTCTTGTCTGCAAGCGAGTGAATTCCGAGTCCTTGAGGAGACCAGGATCAGGGGATATCTTGGAAAAGGCATTCCGTGACGCCGTTCTCCGCTGTGAGCCCCAATAATGACGCATCGTCTGTAGAATGTTCCAGATGTTCCCCGAAGCCGGTCTAGAAGTGGCTGGCGGTAGTTGATTATAATGGATATATCAGGAATATCCTGTCTGAAGTGTGAGCCAAGAGTTAAAATGTGTGTTTATCCACCAACTGCACTGTGCAGTTTAAATTTAAACAAACCTGACGTCACTTGGCGATTTTGAGGTTAAAATGCCGCACAGATGTTTTGCTGCGTCTTGCCGGCTGAGTCACGCGCCCTGTGAAAATTGTTGATTTTAAGGGGAAGCGGGGAGGGAACTCGCTTGCAGGCTTTAAATTCCCTTTAAAAAGACAATGTACTCGCCATGACCCGTTAGATTCCAGACTAATAACTCCCCCTTCTCTCTCCCCCGCAGACGCACATTATGGCCGCCCGCCAGATCGCCTCCACCCTGAAGACCTCGCTGGGTCCCAAGGGTCTGGACAAGATCATGGTCAGCTCCGATGGCGACGTGACCGTCACCAACGACGGCGCCACCATCATGAAGCTGATGGAGGTGGAGCACGAGATCGCCAAGCTGATGGTGCAGCTGTCGCAGTCGCAGGACGACGAGATCGGCGACGGAACCACCGGCGTTGTGGTCTTGGCCGGAGCTCTGCTGGAGCAGGCAGAGGGTCTGATCGATAGGGGCATCCATCCCATTCGCATCGCCGATGGCTTCGAGTTGGCCGCCCAGTGCGCCATTAAGCAGTTGGATGCGATTGCCCAGCCCTTCCCCGTGGACCCCAACAACAAGGAGCCCCTGGTTCAGATCGCCATGACAACCCTGGGCAGCAAGATTGTGAACAAGTGCCACCGCCAGATGGCCGAGATGGCTGTGGATGCCGTGCTGAATGTGGCCGACATCGAGAAGAAGGACGTGAACTTCGAGCTCATCAAGATCGAGACCAAGGTCGGCGGTCGCATGGAGGACTCGATGCTGGTGAAGGGCGTCATTGTGGACAAGACCCTCAGCCACTCGCAGATGCCCAAGGAGCTGAAGAACGTCAAGCTGGCCATCCTCACATGCCCGTTCGAGCCCCCGAAGCCCAAGACCAAGCATAAGCTCGATGTCACCTCCGCGGAGGATTACAGGGCGCTGCGCGAATACGAGCAGGAGAAGTTCACGCAGATGGTGAAGCAGGTTAAGGACGCCGGCGCCACCCTGGCCATCTGCCAGTGGGGCTTTGACGACGAGGCCAACCATCTGTTGCTGCAGCAGGAACTGCCAGCTGTGCGCTGGGTTGGTGGTCCGGAGATCGAACTGATTGCCATCGCCACCGGCGGTCGCATTGTGCCGCGCTTCGAGGAACTTACCCCTGAGAAACTGGGCAGCGCCGGTCTCGTCCGGGAGATGGGTGAGTGTCTGCTTTGGCTAAAATCAAGGGAAAGGAATTTAATTTGTATTTCTTCCTTCCAGCCTTTGGCACATCCAAGGACAAGATGCTGGTCATCGAGGAGTGCAAGAACTCCAAGGCTGTGACCATCTTCTTGCGCGGCGGCAATGCCATGATCATCGCTGAGGCCAAGCGCTCCATCCACGATGCCATCTGCGTGGTGCGTTCGCTGGTCAAGGATTCGCGCATCGTCTACGGCGGCGGAGCGGCCGAGATTAGCTGCTCTCTGGCCGTGGCCAAGGAGGCCGACCAACTGTCGACACTGGAGCAGTACGCATTCCGCGCCTTCTCCGTGGCCCTGGAGAGCATTCCCCTGGCCCTGGCCGAGAACAGCGGCCTGCATCCGGTCGAGACTCTGTCGGAGCTGAAGGCCAGCCAGGTGGCCGAGAAGAAGCCCAGCCTGGGGGTGGACTGCATGCTGACGGGTGATTCGGACATGAAGAGCCACAACGTGGTGGAGTCGCTGCACTCGAAGAAGCAGCAGATCCTGCTCTCCACGCAGCTCGTCAAGATGATACTCAAGATCGACGACGTGCGTTCCAAGAACGAGGGCGGCATGTAAATGCAGAGTCCTCGATCCACTAACACCGCACATCAGCCTGCACCCGACAGATTTCAGATTCACATCCCCCTCGCCTTGCTATCTCTCCTCACGAGCAACACCCGCGCAGCGCCTCATCTCTATGTATATCTGTATTACTTGTTTACTTTTATTAATCCACAAGTTCTTTGGAAAAGAAGAAAAATTACATTAATCGAGGGGCTATCCCTGGTCAAATACACTAAAACCAAACTAAGACTCTCCGGCTAGACCTTCTTGCCATTGATGGTGGCCAGTTGCTTGCGGTTGATCTGGTCGAAGAAGAGCAGCCCCGCGGAGCGTTCCACCGTCTCCGGGGGCACCTGGAACACGCTGATGGGGGTATCGTTGCTGATCACTTGGTTGGGCATCACATAGGCTTCCATGTGGAGCTTGTGGTCGGAGGACTCGCCCACCACCACCTTGTAGAAATGAGTGGGCACGGCCACCGTGTTGGAGCCGATGACCTCGTACTTGACGTACATCTTGCCGTCGTCCTCCTTGCGTGGCAGGTACAGTGGACCCGTGCAGACGTACACGTTGGCATAGATCTTTGTCAGTTTGCGGACGTGCATCTCGAGAGTGTTCCATGCGTCGCGGTTGAATCCCTGACCCACCTGGGGCGCCATGTTGGACAGGTAGAAGGTCTCCTCGCAGTGCTTCTGGTGCAGCCGGTGGTTACCCGCGGCAGCCATGTGTCCGCGATCGTAGCCGGATCGCCGGTAATCCGTGTTCTGCGACCGGAAGAAGGGGTGTATGCTCTCGTCCTGCTTGAAATCGCACTTGGCGCGGTCCACGGCATCGTTTTTGGCCACGGATTCGGCGGTGAGGTGCTCGAACACCCAGTGAGGCACTCGGTTGCGACGATCATAGGACAACACGTAGTCGGAGTGGGAGCGCACGTGGTCCAGTCCAGGGAAGCCGTATTTCATGATCTGACCAATCCGGGATGGAGTCGCCGCCAAGCTCACATTTCCCTCCTGGGCAGGAATCAAGCTGGCCGCCGAAACGGTTCCAAATGTGGGCAATCCCGGCAGGCGAGAATGACTTGTGCTGCAGTCGTCGTTGTTATGCTTCTGCCGCTCCACCTGGGCGCCCAGGTAAAAGGCGCCCATGGCAGTGGCACTTAGGGCTAACCACCTGCCCACTTGACGCCCGCTCATTTTTATTTTAATTTAAATTTTAAATCTAATTAATAAATTTAAAAAAAATTTGGCCAAGGCAAAAAATAACGACAGCTATTGCACAATTCAGGTACAGTGTGGCCAGAGTCGCAGACAATTAAACAATATTTAGTTATCGATTTGCTTATTGAATAAATTAATTTATCAAAATTAAAATAAAAATAAAAAGTGAACACTTAAGGCCTGAGACATCAGTTGTTTGGGTTAAAAAAAAAGATTTGTTTATTGAAGAAATTAAAAAGTTGAAGACTAAGAATTCCAAGTCCAAGAACCTCATCTTTTCGAGTTAAAAAAACAATATATAAATATAAATTATTGAAGAAATTAATTAATCAAAAAATAAATAAAAGTATATACTATTGAAGCCCGCTCATTAAATTTAACAAAATTTACCCAAAGAGTGTATCGTGACCGAAGCCGAAGCCAAGAGCTAAGGACACCAGTTGCTCAGGGTTAAAAATAAAATTAAAAAATTGAATTCTTTGTTGAAGAAATTAATTAATGAAAATAAAAACTAAAAGTAAGTAAAACGAATCACAAGGTTACAAGAACAACATCAAGATCAGAAAGTTTAAATTTTTGACATGATAAAACATAAAATAAAGCATTTTTGAATTTAAAATAAGAACCTTTCCTATTAAAACAAATAAATAAACAAAAATAAGATATGACTAGAGAGACTAATGAGCTATATATGAAAAGGGAGCTGCTATTTATACTTAAATCGGGTAAAAGTAGACACTTAAGGCATGGCAAGCTGTATGTTTGAAAGCAGCCAGAATTGGGGCAGGCTTGTTCTTTTCTTTGTAAACCCTTACAGGATATTATAATTTAAGTCAGATGTTAAAAATCTTAAAAATTAACAACAGTTTTTATTTAAAAAAAAGGTCCAAATTACTGAATTTCGGTCTAGTTATTATGTTTAAAAATTTTAATTTTCCCAAAAATTATGGATAAATATTTAGATTTAAATGCTCCCTTGAGGGTAATATAATTTCAGCCAGAAGCTAGTAACACAGTGAATCATTATTAATCATAAATATTCTTTATCAGCATAAAACATTTTAATTAAAATTAAAAAATAAAACGTTTCCTATGTAATTAGTCTTTTTTTTTTTTAACTGTTTTACTTTCGCTGTTTATAATTTAATTGTAATAAATTGTAAATATCCTCTTTAAGAGTATATATTAAATACAAAATGTTTATTCGAATTATAATTTTAAATTATATTCTTTTGTGGTAGGTCACAGCAGCTAAAGCTCCTATATAAACCATTAGCTAACTTTCTTTAACTAAAAAATAAATAGTATATATTTTTTATTGATATTTCTTACACTCCCCTCTGTCACCTGCACTCGCTCTCCGTTTCCAGCTTAAAGCTCTCCGATCCGTGACTCGATTCCACATTGTTCCACTGCAAGGCGGCTTTGGTTTCGACGAGGTTATCTGGTGGCGGGCTTGTTTACGTTGGGATTGCAGCTGATTAGAATAAACCCGGACCGGAGCCACTGCGTGATCATTCGGTCGTTTGCTTAGTTGAAAGTGAAACCTCATAACGAGGATGCTGGACGTGGTGGCTCTCCTACTGATCGCCCTGGCCGTGGGCTTTTGGTTTGTGCGCACGCGCTTCAGTTACTGGACCCGTCGAGGGATCAACAATGTTCCCGGCCACTTTCCCGTGGGCAACATGGAGGGTTACAGGAAGACGAAGCACTTCATTGACATCGTGACGCCGCTATACGAGAGATTCAGGGATTGTGGAGCACCGTTTGCGGGCTTCTTCCTGATGCTGCGCCCAGTGGTGCTGATCCTGGACCTGGAACTGGCCAAGCAGATTCTGATAAGGGACTTTGCCAACTTCGAGGATCGTGGGATGTACCACAATGAGCGCGATGACCCGCTGACGGGCCACCTGTTCCGCATCGATGGACCCAAGTGGCGTCCGTTGCGCCAGAAGATGTCGCCCACCTTCAGTTCCGCCAAGATGAAGTACATGTTCTCCACGGTGTGCGAAGTGGGCGTGGAGTTGGGCCAGGTGTGCGGCGAGCTGGCGGACAATGCCATGTGCGGCATCCTCGAGATCTCTGACCTGATGGGCCGCTATACCTCCGACGTCATTGGGCGCTGTGCCTTTGGGGTGGAATGCAACGGCCTGAGGAATCCGGAGGCGGAGTTTGCCGTTATGGGCAGGAGAGCCTTTGCGGAGCGACGGCACTGCAAGCTAATCGATGGCTTTATCGAGAGCTTTCCCGATCTGGCCAGGATGCTGCGCATGTGCCAGATCCATCAGGATATCACGGACTTTTATGTGGGCATCGTTCGGGAAACGGTGCGCCAAAGGGAGGAGCAGGGCATAGTGAGGAATGATTTCATGAACCTGCTCATCGAAATGAAGCAGCGGGGTGAGCTCACCCTGGAGGAGATGGCCGCCCAGGCGTTTATCTTCTTTGCAGCAGGCTTCGATACCTCCGCTAACACCTTGAGCTTTGCCCTTTACGAGTTGGCCAAACAGCCGGAGCTGCAGGAGAAGCTTCGCCTGGAAATTGATGAGGCCTTGAGGCTGCATCAGGGGGAATTCACCTACGAGTCGATGCAGGAACTGCGCTACATGGAGCTGGTCATAGCAGGTGGGTCATCATTATATTGAAAATAAGCACAAAGTATAAGCTAATCTTTGGTGTTTCCAACAACAAATAACTTCTTGAAATCCATTGTTTGCTTTGCTAATTTGTTTATCTAATTTGCAATAGTAAGTAGGTTTCCCTTAAAAATCTAGAAAACTTGAAAGCTCTAAAAGATGTTAGACTTTTTCATAAGATTTTTACTTTTAAATTGAAATTCTACACTGATAAATTTATTTGCCTTAAATCGCCCTAAAAAACTCGTATATTTCCTATATTTTGTAAAGATTTTCTTAGGTTTAGGGCTATTTATTTATTAAACAAAATCAATCAATAAATATATTTATGATTCCTTTAGAAACCCTTCGCAAGTACCCCATACTCCCGCAACTCACTCGGATCTCCCGTCATCTGTATGCCGCCAAAGGTGATCGTCACTTCTATATTGAGCCCGGCCAGATGCTGCTGATTCCTGTTTATGGCATCCATCATGATCCTGCCGTGTATCCTGAACCCCACAAGTTTATACCGGAACGCTTTCTGGCCGATCAGCTGGCCCAGCGTCCCACTGCCTCCTGGCTGCCCTTTGGCGATGGACCACGCAACTGCATTGGCATGAGGTTCGGCAAGATGCAGACGACCATTGGGTTGGTTAACCTGCTCAGAAGCTTTCACTTTAGCGTCTGTCCGCGCACTGAGACCAAAATTGAGTTTGTAAAGTCGAATATACTGCTATGCCCGGCCAATGGCATTTATCTGAAGGTCCAGGAGCTGAGCCAAGTGAGGAGATAGTGTTCTTTTGTACATTTTTAACCGATTTAATAAAAAATATAATAGATTTGCTTATCAATCTACGTAGTTGACCTTTTCTTGAGTAATCTAGGTTAGTTATTTGATTATTTGTTGCTCGGTAATGGTGCTATCTACAAGGTGTGAACATGGATTCTCTTGGAAAGCACTCGGGAAACTCGTATTTCACCAGGTGAGAGCCTTATTTCCTGATAATAGTTAAAAGTGTCTGCCAATGATTACTGGCATTTATTTAAACTTACAAACAAACAAAAGCATTGGTTTTTATTTTATTTTTTAAACCTCTAAAATGATCTTAGATTGTTTGAGTGTACATTTTCATGCTTTAGTGAGCACGCAAATATTTATATAAATATTCCAAAATTTTAATTGGAACTGTTCTTGTCTGTGTATAAATACGATTACGTTATTTGTTTTGTTTATCACTAAGTCCGCCAGCTGTTGCTCTTTCTGTAAACCCGAATTTATTTATTTATTATTACTCTCTTTATGTAGACCGAATTCTTTTATATTATATAAATTTTATTATATTGTTCAAGCACCAGAATTACACCGAATTTGCTTTGTAAGCTCTCTCCGGGCGAACACAAACCCGAAATTAACGAGTTTATCAACGATAACTCGTATCAAACAACGCATTTCGCAATTTTCAGTGCAAAAGAGAGTGGTTTCCCCTTATAAACGTCGTAGGTAGCGACTCTGGAACTCAGTTCAGAGCGGAACCTGGTGGAGAAATGTCGCTGTTACTGACGCTGATTGCCATTGCGGTGTCGCTGCTGCTGTTCGCCGCCCGGCGGCGTATGGGCTATTGGCAGCGCCGGGGTATTCCGCACGATGTGCCCCATCCGTTTTTCGGCAACATCAAGGATTGGAGCAAGACCCGACACATTGCCAAGATCTTTCGGGATTATTACCTGAAGTACAAAGGGTCGGATTACCCCTTCGCCGGCTTCTTTTTCTTCTTCACCCGCACGGCCGTGATCACCGACCTGGAGCTGGTGAAGCGGGTGATGATCAAGGACTTTAATCACTTCGAGAACCGTGGCGTCTTCTACAACGAGATCGATGACCCGCTTTCGGCCACGCTGTTCAGCATTGAGGGCCAGAAGTGGCGTCACCTGAGGCACAAGCTCACGCCCACCTTTACATCGGGCAAAATGAAGCACATGTTCCCCATCGTGGTCAAGGTGGGTGAGGAAATGGAGAAGGTTTTCAGCAGCAAAATCAACTCTGGAGCTTCCAGTGGGGGCCAGGTTCTGGAGGTCGTCGATCTGGTGGCACGCTACACCGCTGATGTAATCGGTAATTGCGCCTTTGGGCTGGATTGCAATAGTTTGCACAATCCCCAGGCCGATTTCGTGACGGTGGGCAAGCGGGCGATCACGGAACACGCCTACGGAGGATTATTGGATATATTCCTGTTCGGCTTTCCCAAGCTGTCGCGTCGCCTGCGCCTGAAGCTGAACGTCCAGGATGTGGAGGATTTCTACACAAAGATAGTGAGGGACACCATCGACTACAGGCTGAAGACCAAGGAGAAGCGCAATGACTTCATGGACAGTCTGATCGAGATGTACCAGAAGGAGCAGGCCGGCAACAAGGAGGATGGTCTCTCCTTCAACGAACTGCTGGCCCAGGCCTTCATCTTTTTTGTGGCCGGCTTCGAGACGAGTTCCACCACCATGGGATTTGCCCTGTACGAGCTGGCCCGACACCAGGATGTGCAGGATAAGCTCCGAGCTGAGATCAACAGTGTGCTGGGCAAGCACAACAATGAGTTCACCTACGAGGGCGTCAAGGAGATGAAGTATCTGGAGCAGGTGGTCATGGGTGAGTGTCAAATAAAACTGGTTTTGTTAAGATTTTGTTGAGAGAATTTGGGTTTCTCTTTTGCCAAGAGTTAACTCTCATCAAGATCGCCCAATAAAACCGGTTTCTTTTCACCTTTCCAACAAGAAACCCACAGTAAGACCTACTTTTCCTTGCAGAAACCCTTCGCAAATACCCGGTTCTGGCCCATCTCACGCGTATGACCGAGACGGACTTTGCGCCCGAGGATCCCAAGAATTTCATTGGCAAGGGCACTATTGTTGTGATCCCGGCTCTGGGCATTCACTATGACCCGGACATTTATCCGGAGCCGGAGAAATTCAAGCCGGAGCGTTTCACGGAGGAGGCCATTGCCGCCAGGCCCTCATGCACCTGGCTGCCCTTCGGTGAGGGTCCACGTAACTGTATTGGCCTGCGGTTTGGTCTGATGCAGACCTGCGTGGGCTTGGCCTACCTCATCAGGGGATACAAGATCAGTGTGGCCCCGCAGACGGAGATTCCCATTCAGATCAATGTGAAGAGCATCCTGCTGTCTGCCTTGAATGGCATCCACTTGAATGTGGAGAGGATTTCTAAATAAAAATGAATTCTTGAACTGTGATTCCATGGTTATGATATTAAACAGGTTATCTCGCACTTATTTTTAATACCCTTCTGTTGGTTGGTCAACATTAAAATTAACACCTTGCTATAGGCAGTATAAATAGGCTTGTTAACTTACCCAGATATTTACAAATTAAAATAGTAAGTATTAGGTTCTCTTAATATTTTATTTTGTTAATATTTGGGTTTACAATTTTTCTAATTACCATTTCAAATCATTATATCATAGATCAAACCTTAATTAAAAAATTTCTTACAATTTAAATCAATTTAAATGAGTATTCAACTAATAACCATAACAAACATCGCCTAGTTCGGTATTACATATGACTAATAACTTAAGAGCGTCCCAAGCTCACAGAGTCATTTTTAAGAGAACTTCTTTCGAAGATTACCGGTGGAACCCAAACATTTTGCAGTACCTCTCGCCGTTTTCATCATGGTTAGCGGGTTCCAGGGTTTACATGGAGCAGCGCTGAGCGAAGAGAGTCCAAAGCTCTCTCGGAGCACATTCCATGTAAGCGATGCCTTCGCAGCTGTTTGCTTCTGTATTCTCAAAATGTTTTTCTAATCGCATTGGTGGTCGGTGTCCTCACCCTCGTCGCTTGGTGGGTGCACCAAGCTGACGACCACCTTTACCTCTGGAAAGATGAAGAACATGTTTCCCACGGTACTGAATGTGGGCGAAGAGCTCATCCGTGTGTTCGATGAGAAGATCTCCAGCTCCAGCTCCCCGCAAACCCTGGAGGTCACCAATCTTCTGGCCCGCTTCACCGCCGACGTGATCGGAGTCTGCGCCTTTGGCCTTAAGTGCAACAGCCTAAGAAATCCCAATGCGGAATTCGTCAGGATGGGAGAGTCGGCTTTAAACGAGCGTCGCCATGGCAAGCTCGTGGACATGCTCCTCTTCGGGGCACCCAGGCTGTCCGCCAAACTAGGCATCAAGACTCTGCTGCAGCCGGTCGCGGACTTTTACATGAACATCGTCAAGGACACCATCGAGTAGCGCATTAAGAATAAGGTCTCCCGGATCGACTTTATGGACATGCTGATCGAAATGAAGCTGAAGTACGATGGTGGCAACAAGCAGGATGGCCTCACCTTCAACGAGCTGGCCGCCCAGGCCTTTATATTCTTCCTGGCGGGCTTCGAGACCAGCTCCACGACCATGGGATTTGCCCTGTTTGAGTTGGCCTCTAATCCGGATGTACAGGATAAACTGAGGGCAGAAATCGATGGTGTCCTTAAGAGGCACAATGGCAAGCTGGACTACGACAGCATGCGGGAGCTAACCTATCTGGAGAAGGTAATCGATGGTGAGTTACACAAGAAATCTACATATATAGTAGCCCCCGATAAGAAATATATTTCTTTTCTTTAGAAACCCTCAGGAAACATCCCGTGGTGGCCCATTTGGTTCGCATGACAACCAAGCCCTATGTCCATAGTAACCCAAAGTATTCCATTGATCGCGGCATAGGCGTTCTTGTGCCCACCCTTGGCATCCACCACGATCCGGAGTTCTATCCGGAGCCGGAGAAGTTTATCCCTGAGCGCTTCGATGAGGAACAGGTGAAGCAGCGACCCGCCTGCACTTTCCTGCCTTTTGGAGACGGTCCCCGGAACTGCATTGGACTGCGATTTGGAAGGATGCAGGTGATAGTGGGAATGGCTCTGCTCATCCACAACTACAAGTTCGAGCTGCATCCCACCAAAACATCGGTTCCCATTAAGTACAAAGTCAAAAATATTCTGTTGAGCGCCGAGGGCGGAATCATCCTGAATGTCAGCAAGATGGCAAAGAACTAGGGTGATTCACACTGCTGGAGTAAGATATTTTATCCAGTTTAATATAAATACTTATTGATTATGAACATGAATAATGGAAGCTTATTTGATTGTCTTGTATTATTGGTTAGTGATACTACCCATAACAACTGGAATAATCCATTCATAACTTTGCACTCAAACTTCTAGAAATCGTATTTCTAAATGTTGATAAGATTTAGCTATGTACAATAATTATTTATCAGTTAATTGCAAGTCAATGAGTGATAATTACTCGTGTATAAATATAACACAATGTCAATAGATGTACTTCCCTTTTGCTTGTGCAACTCGAAACCACTTTTAATAAATTAATAACTATTTACAAATATAAGAATATGTATCTAGATAATTGTTTTATACTCGGTCAACCTTCAGGAAAATGCCAGTGTCACTCGATATGAGGAAGTGCTTCTTGCTGTATGTCATGGGAATGGTGGTCTTCTCGCAGACGGAGAACTTGAAGTCCTTCAGCAGGAAAGCCAAGCCAATGCGGGTCTGCATTTGGCCAAAGCGCATGCCAATGCAGTTGCGAGGACCTTCGCCAAAGGGCAGCCACTCGATGGAATCTCGCTCCTTGACGCGTTCCGCCGAAAAGTTGTCCGGATTGAAGGTGTTTGGATTGGGGTACAGACGCTCGTCACGATGCATGGCTCCGGCGGGAATGAGAATGGGCATGCCCTTCTTAATCACATACTTGGGATTATCGGGAACCACAAAGTCCTCCAGGCACTCGCGATTCAGGATAGGAAGCACTGTATAAAGGCGTAAGGTCTCTGTAAAAAAAGCAAATATTAGACAGGATTCGAGTAAAGATTTAGCTAAAGCTCACCCGATATAATCTGGTCCAAGTAGACCAGATCCTTCATGCCTTCGTAGGTCAGCTCTCCGTTGTATTTTCCAATCACCTCCTGACACTCTTCCCGGACCCTGTCCTGAATGTCCTGGTGCTGGGCCAGTTCATAGAGGGCAAAGCCCATTGTGGTCGAGGAGGTTTCAAAGCCAGCCCCGAAAAATACAAAAGCCTGGGCAGCCATCTCCTCGATCGTAAGGTTTACACTCTCCCCGGTTTCTAACTTGGTCAGGGGACTGTTCTTCAGGTCGATCAACTGATCCATGAAGTCGTTTCTCCGGATATTATTCTGCTCCCTGAAGGCCACAGTCTCTCTAACAATTCGCAAGAAAAAGTGCTCCGCCTCGTCCAGCGAGATCTTCATGTGCAGCTTGCGGGCCAGATTGGGGAAGCTATTGATAAAGGCGATTCCGAGCGGACCGTGACGCTGCTCGAAGACGGCCCGGCGTCCCATGACCCGGAACTCTGCATCCGGATCTTTGAGGCTGCTGCATTCGATGCCAAAGGCACAGGTGCCTATGACATCGGTGCCGAATCTGGCCAGGATGTCCTTGACCTCGACAATAGGTGACTTTTCCATCGTCTGGCCAAAGACTTCGGTGAACTCATGGGCCACCTTTATTACGGTGGGGAACATGTACTTCATTTTTCCAGAAGTAAACGTCGGCGACAGCTTGTTCCTCATGGAGCGCCACTTGGTGCCGTCCAGCAGAAACAACTGACCCGACAGCGGATCGTCTTCCGTGTTGTGGTAGAAACCTCGGTCCGTGAACTTGTTGAACTCCTTGATCAAGATGGTCTTGGCCAGGGAGGTTTCCAGGACGAAGACTCCCGGCTTCTGGAACCAATAGAAGCCGGCGAAGGGGCCGGATCCCCGGAATTTCTTGTAGTAATCCATCCAGACATCAGTGAAGGTCCGAGTGGTCTGCACTCCCGTGAGGCTGCCCAGCAGGATGTGTGGCTTCTCGCAGGGAATACCCTGGTTCTCCCAGTACTGCAAAGTGCGACGCCATTTCAGCAACAAATATCCCACTAAAACAGCGACGGCTGTTAGCAAATAAACGAGGACTGCCATGACATCAGCTAGGGTGCGGTGAGAAGCCGCCGAAAAAATACAGAACGTTGATTCCCGTCGAGCTTCGGAAATCTACTGAGCACTGCCGGAAAGCTCTACTGGCTAGAACAAACTTGGAGAGCGAGAGTCATCATATCTTCTGATACCCGTTTGTATATAACAAATTTAATCAAAACAATTTGTTTATTTATTTGAAAATCTAGTTCTCTCTTAGGCTTAGAAAGCTCTTTTTTTTTGCTGAGAGTGAGCGTAAACAAAGAGTTTTACCTAAAAAAAAATATATATATAAGAATACCTTCTTTGGATTGGTAGTCAAAACTAATCCAACCTACCTCAATATATTTTTATCAGGGGTAGGTTTTTGGTTATAGGAAACCCCAAAAGAACTAGACTCTCTCTTAAAAGTCTTACTTTTATGTATCTCGAAGGCAATTATATATGTATTCTAAATTTTTTATAGTATTTGCGATCTTGAAAGATATAAATAGAAATTGTTACACACATTACATCAGTAATAAAAGCAGCCCAACCGCAGAATGTGGAAAACTATAAAACGCCATAAAAGTAGCCCCCACAGATAGCTGAGATCGGTAATTAAGAAAGCTTTACGCTTTCCTAAAGTAAACCTAAAAAAAAACCATAATAACGATGACTTGCACTAGTTTTTAAATCCATTGATAAAGAAGTATAGAAAAGACACATGACTGACCGGATCATAAAATGTATAGAATATCGAAAGTATGCAATTTTCTATGGATAACCCAATATCATTTGATAAATGGTATAAAATATTATATGTATGGTTTATAAAACTGGTTTCTGATATTATTTAGATAAAATTAATATTGTACAATATTTTTAATATATCCATTTTATCTAATATCATATATAAAATATATATTTATAAATCGAAAAATATTGAACATCCTTAAATATATACAAAAAATCTGTTTCTTATTTAATTATTTTTTAAATTAGTTAATTTTTCTAAATTAACATAAATATTATTTTGAGTTCAAAGTGTTCTTGACAATTTGTTAAAAACTAAAATGCTATTAAGGATGACTATATAAAAAATAGTACAACGTCATGTCCTGTCATTTCGCCAGATATTGAATCGTTAACTTAGTTTAAAAAGAAGAGGCTGATTAATAGCACGGACTACAAGTTATAGTAAAATTTAAATGCAAGAATAAGCACTTAAATTGCATTAAAAATTAAGAACATATACAAGGCAAACATGAATTAGATATAAAGTAACAAATTTGAAACATGCTTTCCCCCAAAAGTTGATATAATTTCGCTATATAACGCTGACTTGGCATTTTACAATCTCGTTCGGACTTTGTTGCTCTTCAATTAAGAGAAAAAACCTCTATCTAAGAGCATGACGGAATCGGGTAATGAAAACCTGTATAAAAGGGCAAACCTGTCAGAGAAATGGCTCAGTATCATAGCAATGGCAGTTCTAACCGTATTACTGGTCGGTGTCCTTACCCTCGTCGCGTGGTGGGTGCACCAGAACTTCAACTACTGGAAGCGGCGGGGTATTCCCCACGATCCGCCCAAAATTCCATTCGGAAACACCGCCGAATTTATGAAAACCATGCAGATATCGGCGATCTTTAAGCGGACGTACTTCAAGTTCAAGAACAAGACCGACGGTCCTTTCGTGGGATTTTATTTTTATTTGAAACAAATGGCCATAGTCACGGATGTCGATTTTGTGAAAACTGTGTTGATTCGCGAATTCGACAAGTTTCACGATCGTGGCATATTCCACAACGAGCGGGACGATCCTCTCTCCAATAATCTGGTGAACATCGAGGGGCAGAAGTGGAGGACTCTCCGGCAAAAACTGACGCCCACCTTCACCTCCGGCAAAATGAAGAGCATGTTTCCCACCGTGCTGACCGTGGGTGATGAGCTGATCCAGGTATTTAATGAGAAGATCTCCGCCAGCCCCAAGGATTCCCTGGAGCTCCACGATCTGGTGGCACGCTTCACGGCCGACGTGATCGGTAGCTGTGCTTTCGGCCTGGATTGTCACAGCCTGACGGATCCCAAGGCGGAGTTCGTCAAGATGGGAACCGATGCCATCACCAAACGGCGTTGGGGTAAGTCCATGGATCTGTTTCTGTTCGGGGCTCCCAAGCTGGCCGCCAAGCTGCGCATGAAAGGGTTGGTCCAGGAGGTCGAGGACTTCTACATGAATATCATCAAGGACACCATCGAGTATCGCATCAAGAACCAAGTAAAGCGGAATGACTTTATGGACATGCTGATTGACCTGAAGCTGAAGTACGACGGCGGCAACAAGCAGGATGGCCTCACCTTCAACGAGATTGCCGCCCAGGCCTTCATCTTCTTCCTAGCGGGCTTTGAGACCAGCTCTACTACTATGGCATTCGCCTTGTTCGAGCTGGCCTGTAACCAGGATATTCAGGATAAACTGAGGGCAGAAATCGACGGCGTTCTAGAGAAGCACAATGGCAAGCTGGACTATGACAGCATGCGAGAGCTGACGTATCTGGAGAAGATTATTGATGGTGAGGCGCACTGACTCGCAATTGGATGACCCGGATTTTTAATTATATTTTTATGAAAGCAATTAACTCAAATTTGCAACATTCTCGTCCCAGAATCCCTGAGAAAGCATCCAGTGGTTGGCCATTTGATTCGCATCACCACCCAACGCTATGAGCACATCAACCCAAAGTATAACCTGGAGCCGGGCACTGGGGTGATTGTGCCCACTTGGGGCATCCACCACGATCCGGAGTTCTATCCAGAGCCAGAGAAGTTCATACCGGAGCGCTTTGATGAGGAGCAGGTGAAGCAGCGACCCGCTTGCACTTTCCTGCCCTTCGGAGACGGTCCCCGGAATTGTATTGGCTTGCGATTTGGAAGGATGCAAGTCGTGGTGGGTATGACCCTGCTCATCCACAACTTCAAGTTCGAACTGCATCCCACGGGGACAAAGGCTCCGCTAGAGTACCGCAGCGATGACATCCTGCTGAGTCCCAAGGGAGGAATGCATCTTAAAGTGAGCAGGGTGGGAAAGTAATCAAGTTTATTTAAAAGTAATTAAGACTTTGCCTCTGGCAGCTAAGGCGCAGTTGGATAATTAGGGGTTTGTGAGAAATATGCATTCTAGCTACCTGAATGCAGGCTAACTCAGCGTTGGCCTTGTATAGTAATAGAGGAATAATTTATTTAAGCTTTCTGCTTTCTGTTAAACCCTTTTATTAAGATTAAAAATATTGTATTATATTTCGTTGTATTTTATAAATTATATACTTTTGTTTGCAAGAATACAAGAAACTTCTAAGGGTGGCTTTTATCTGTATCTGCATTAAATATGTAAGCTAGTTATTAATTACTGACTTTGCATTTAACAATATCGGTCAGACATTGTGCACTTTAATTGAGAAAATCAACTGATGTCTGCTTCAGATAAAGACGGGTAAATTGGATGAAGAAAACTTGTATAAAAGGGCAAAGTTGTCAGTCAAATGGCTCAGTATCAAAGCAATTGCAGTTCTAATCGCACTACTGGCCGTAGTCCTCACCCTCGTCGCGTGGTGGGTGCACCGGAACTTTAGCTACTGGAAGCGTCGGGATATTCCTCACGATGCTCCAAAAATTCCATTCGGAAACACCGCAGAGTTCATGAAAACCATGCAGATAGCGGAAATTTGCAAGCGGACGTACTTTAAGTTCAAGAACAAGACCGATGGTCCATTCGTGGGATTTTACTTTTATTTGAAAAGGACAGCCGTAGTCACGGACATCGATTTCGTGAAAACTGTGTTGATTCGCGAGTTTGACAAATTCCAGGATCGCGGGTTATTCAACAACGAGCGTGACGATCCGCTCTCCAATCATCTTATTTGCATCGAGGGCCAGAAGTGGAGAACTCTGCGCCAGAAGCTAACGCCCACCTTTACCTCCGGCAAGACGAAGAACATGTTTCCCATGGTACTGAATGTGGTCGATGAGCTGATCCGGGTATTCGATGAGAAGATCTCTGCCAGTTCCAAGGATTCCCTGGAGATCCACGATCTAGTAGCACGCTTCACGGCCGACGTGATCGGTAGCTGTGCCTTCGGCCTGGATTGCCACAGCCTGACGGATCCCAAGGCGGAGTTCGTCAAGATGGGAAAGGATGCCATTAACAAGCGACGTTATGGCAAGGTCATGGATCTGTTTCTGTTCGGGGCTCCCAAGCTGGCAGCCAAGTTGCGGGTGAAGGGCACAGTCCAGGAGGTCGAGGACTTTTACATGAAGATCGTTAGGGACACCATCGAGTATCGCATCAAGAACCAGGTGAAGCGCAAAGACTTTATGGACATGCTGATCGACCTGAAGCTAAAGTATGACAGTGGCAACAAGGAGGAAGGCCTCACCTTCAACGAGATCGCCGCCCAGGCCTTTATCTTCTTCGTGGCGGGCTTTGAAACCAGCTCTACTACTATGGCATTCGCCTTGTTCGAGCTGGCCTGTAACCAGGACATTCAGGATAAACTCAGGGCAGAAATCGATGGTGTTCTGAAGAAGCACAATGGCAAGCTGGACTATGACAGTCTGCGGGAGCTGACGTATCTGGAGAAGGTAATCGATGGTGAGTCATTAACGGTGAGTTGCGCACTGCGCGGTCATTAATACATTATTTTTTTTCTGTATCCAGAGTCCCTGAGAAAACATCCTGCGGTTGGACAGTTGAACCGCGTCACCACCCAACGCTATGAGCACAGCAATCCAAAGTATAGCCTGGAGCCAGGCACTGGGGTGATTGTGCCCACTTTGGGCATCCACCACGATCCGGAGTTCTATCCAGAGCCGGAGAAGTTTATCCCGGAGCGTTTTGACGAGGATCAGGTGAGGCAGCGACCTGCCTGCACATTCCTGCCCTTCGGAGACGGTCCCCGTAACTGCATTGGCATAAAATTTGGTCGAATGCAGGTCGCGGTGGGAATGACTCTGCTCATCCACAACTTCAAGTTTGAACTGCATCCCGCGGGGACAAAAGCTCCGATGGAGTATCGCTGCAATGACATTCTGCTGAGTCCCAAGGGAGGAGTGCATCTTAAAGTTACCAGGGTTGGGTTGATAGTTATAAGGGCTCTGTATTAATTTGTGGGAAGCATTTAGGTAATTAGGAGTTGGTGAGATATCTTTATCAGCATTGTGCAGTCTATTTACATGAAATTAAAATGGATCTAACAGCATTTCAAGCTAGTAACTAGCTTTACTCAACTCTTACTTTACTCTTCGAATTTTATTATAATAAAGGAATGATTTACGGTATTGATTTATTTATTTGATTTTCTCGTTTTTTAAACCTTTTTAGTATAATAAACAATAAACCAACTAAACTGCTATAAAACGTTGAGTATTACAAAGGAAGAATAACTTGACTGTTTGTATTATCTTCCGATAAGAAGTTAGCATTATTAGGTCGTGTTATTTGTTATAATGGAGTGTTTAGCCATAGATTGTGAACTAGACAAGTAAGAAACTAAGACAAGTAAGAAACTAAGACATTGCCTAATTTTAGGCCTCTTCAGCACTTGTAAGTTTGATTTTTCGTTTAAAATTATTTAATAAATTCATTTTTAATATTTCTTCATCACTTTAATTTATTTCCTCCTAAAAAACAAAGCTACTTGACCTCAACTAACTTCAACCTCATCATGGACTTAAAACCAGAACCCATAGCAAGTTCTATAAACTTTGTATGATGCAATCAAAACTCTTTATTTATTACCTGTTAAATTTCAAGTGGCGCCACACATTTATATACATTTATATGGTCGTAATCAATGACTAAGCTCACACACGTTCCGCTTTGAGGTAGATTCCAGACTCGCTGGCTACGAGGAACATCTCCTTGTGGTACTTCATGGGAATGGTGGTCTTCTCGCAGACGGAGAACTTGAAGTCCTTCATCAGGAGAGCCAAACCAATGCGAGTCTGCATTTGGCCAAAGCGCATGCCAATGCAGTTGCGAGGACCATCGCCAAACGGCAGCCACTCGATAGAATCCCGCTCTTTGACGCGTTCCGGCGAAAAGTTGTCCGGATTGAAGGTGTTTGGATTGGGGTACAGACGCTCGTCACGATGCATGGCTCCAGCGGGAATGAGAATGGGCATGCCCTTCTTGATCACATACTTGGGATTATCGGGAACCACAAAGTCCTCAAGACACTCGCGATTAAGGACAGGAAGCACGGTATAAAGGCGAAGGGTTTCTGTAAGGTAAAAACTAATGTTAAGTAGGATTTATGGTAGATAGAATTCCTTTAGACACTCACCAGATATCACTTGATCGACGTAGACCAGCTCCTTGACGCTTTCATAGGACAACTCGCCGCCATATTTTTCACTTACCCTAAGGACCTCCTCCCTCACTCGGCTCTGTATCTCCTGATTCTGGGCCAACTCGTACAGGGCAAAGCCCATTGTGGTCGACGAGGTCTCAAAGCCGGCGGAGAAGAACACAAACGCCTGAGCGGCAATCTGCTCGATCGTCAAATTAACATTCTCTCCCTTTTCGGAGGTAATTAGGGGTTTGTTTTTCAAATCGATCAACTGATCCATGAAATCGTTGCGGCGGATGTTGTTCTGCTCCCTGAAGCTCACCGTTTCCCTGACGATGCGCATGAAGAACTTCTCGATAGGCTCCGCCGTCATTTTCATGTGCAGGCGACGTGCCAGGTTGGGGAAGCTATTGACGAACATAATACCGAGGGTTCCCAAGCGCTGCTCGGTCAAGGATCTTTTGCCCATAACACGGAACTCAGCCTCGGGATCCTTGAGGCTGCTGCACTCGATGCCAAAGGCACAGGTTCCGATCACGTCCGTGGTGAACCTGGCCAAGAGCTCGCGCACCTCTATGGCTGGGGGAGCCTTGTCCACCATTTGGCCAAAGACGTCAGTGAATTCACCTTTACTACCGTGGGGAACATGTACTTCATTTTGCCGGATGTAAACGTGGATGACAACTTGTTCCTCATGGAGCGCCACTTATGGCCATCCAGCAGGAACAGTTGACCCGACAGCGGATCGTCCTCTTCGTTGTGAAAGAAGCCGCGGTCCGTGAACTTGTTGAACTCCTTGATCAGAATGGTCTTGGCCAGGGAGGTGTCCAGGACGAAGACAGCCGGTCGCCGGAACCAATAGAAGCCGGCGAAGGGGCCAGTTCCTCGGAATTTCTGGTAGTAATCCATCCAGATCTCACCAAACAATTTCTTAGTGCGCACTCCGCTCATGGAACCCATTAGGAGGTGGGGCTCCTCGCAGGGAATGCCCCGATCCTGCCAGTATCTCATGGTATTTCGCCATTTCACCAGCAGGTAGCCAACCAGCGCCAGCAAAGCGGTCAATAAAATACTACCAACGGCCATGATTCACGAGATATAAATACTGCGAAAAGTGAGCTGTACACCTGTTCACTGTTTGTAGCTTACTAAGTAATGCAAAGCTTTGCCTCCGAGTTTAAATAGTAGCCGAGGTAAAAATATTGTTAGTCATTGTGACCAACAAACAACAATCGTACCTTGGTTATCGCAACTTTTTACTGGAATTCTGACAACAGTTTGTAGTGATAACTTGGCTAACACTTTTGAGACTCGATCAACAAGTACCCCTTGGCCATATCATGCAAGGAACAAATCTTGTAATTTATAACATTTTTCATTTAATTTCTGAAAGTCTAGATATACCTTTTGATTTACCCCTTAAAATGAGAGAGAGAGAGAGTTCAGGTAAAATCTAATGATTTAAAAAGCTTGGGCAGCAGAGATTGGGTTTAAAGTCTTCTCTCTCAAAACCCAACCTGCCCCAACGTAAAACTATAAGGGTTTTTTTGTAAATAAAACTAAATAACTATCTGGGATGTCTGTGCAATCTACTTTGGTTTAGATAATGTTAGTTAATGGCCTCTAGCTTCAGGTACAGGCCTCCCTTAATGCTGAGCACAAATGACTTGGGATCGTAGACCAGAGGATTCGGCGTCTTGGAGCAAGTAGAGAACCTGAAGTTCTTGATCAGCAGAGCCAGTCCTATGCGAGCCTGCATCTGTCCAAATCTCAGCCCAATGCAATTCCGAGGACCATCGCCAAAGGGCAGCCAAGCAACCGAAGGACGATTGGCGGATTCCTCAGGAGAAAAACGCTCGGGGCGGAACTCATAGGGATCCGGATAGATGCTGGGATCGTGGTGAATGGCAGATGAGGGAACGATCACCGATTGGCCGGCCTCAATGACGAAATTAGGATGGCCAGGAACCACGAAGCTCTTGCTGGCCTTGCGGTCCAGGTGAGGGACAATGGTATAATGGCGAAGAGTTTCTGCGGAGAGAGTTAGGGATTAGTTGCAGTATTATATATGTAGTAATTTTTGGTCCACTTACCATTGATAACCTGATTGAGGTACTTCAGATCCTTGGTGAACTCGTAGGTAAACTCCTGATCGTGCTGCTCCATAACTTCCTCTATTTCAGCCCTGGCCTTGTCCTGGATATGAGGATTCTTCGCTAATTCGTACAGAGCATATCCCATGGTAGAGGAAGATGTCTCAAAGCCAGCAATAAAGAACACAAAGGCTTGGGCCAAAATCTCATCCATTGTCAGTCCCTTGACCACTTCGCCATTCTCCAGAGTCATTTCCTTTTGGTTTTTCATGTCGATCAACATGTCCATGAAGTCATTCCTTCTGATCTTCTCCTTTTCCCTAACCGCCACAGTTTCGGAAACAATCCGCTTGTAGAATTCCTGGATGTGCGGGGCCGTGCGCACGAGGCCCATTCGCCTGGCCAAATTGGGAAAGCTTCGCATGAAGCCCAAAATCAGGGTTCCATGTCGTTTCTCCACCAAAGCTCGCTTTCCAAAGTCCAGAAACTCCGCCTTCTCGTCCCGCAGACTGTTGCACTGAATTCCGAAGGCACAGGTACCGATTACATCCACCGTGAACCTGGCCACCAGATCGCGAATGTCCACGACAGCGTTTTGGTTCACCTTCTCGTGAATCACCGTGATGAACTCGTTGGCAACGGACACAACGGTGGGAAACATGAACTTCATTTTGCCGGATGTGAAGGTCGAGGATAGTTTATTGCGAAGCAAACGCCACTGGGGACCGTCTAGGTTGAAGAGATGCGCTGATATGGGGTCGTCCTTCTCGTTGTAAAATATTCCCTTGTCGGAGAAGTTAGAGAAGTCCTTGATGAGTATGTGCTTGGCCAGGTCCAGGTCCATGATGAATGCCGCGGGCTTTTGGAAGAGGTAGAACCCCACAAAGGGGGCCTTACTCTCACGATATTTATTGTAGTGATCCCTAAGGATTTCGTGGATATTCTTGGTTTTGGCAAACGCAGCCATATTTCCGCGGATAGGATGCGGAGTATCGAAAGGAATCCCACGGCGTTTGAAATATGTAAGGTTCTTGTGGAGGTAGTAGGTAACGATGGCCAGCAGGGCCACCGCCACTTGGAAGAGAACGTATGTCAGCTCCATGCTGCCTCTGATGCTGTCTGGGAACTATTGGATCGGCAACCGGCGGAAGAACTGCTTTTATAAGCTCAAATCTACCTACTTGGCATGACGCTGCAGCATTGGTTCGCCGTCAGTAGAAACTGAGAGTTAATCTCACGGTTTGTTTACGTTTATGCTGGCAACTGTGAGACCGCAACAATTCTACGGTAAGATCAGTTTATAAAGATAGCGAGCCAGCAGACGTCGGAAGAACTTACTCATTGAGGCCAATGGTTTATATATCTACACTGAAAAGTATTTTAAGACGAGCTATAATAATTTTATATTTGCCATAAATATTATGAGGTTTATTTACCTTGCATACTTTCTTTGTAAGCAGTTATTACTGTATAAAATCCGACGTCGCTTATCAGAATTTGACTTTGAATTATTGTTGTGGGTCCGTCGTCATCGTTCATTTCATTTACTTTGTATTTGCATAAAAACTTGATCACTGCATTATCTTTAAATTTTCTAGTCTTTGTTTTTCTGTCTCCCCAAGAACCTAACCTGCCCCAAGCCCACGACTGATAATAGTGATATGTCTTTCTTAAAAATATTCCATTGTAGCAGCTATCATCTCAGATCACTTCTACTTTCAATTGGATTCCACCCAAAACGGTGAGTACAAGTGACTTGGGATCGAATACTAGAGGATCTGAGGTCTCGGAACACATAGAGAACCTAAAGTTCTTGATGAGCAGAGCCAGTGCTATGCGCATCTGCATCTGGCCAAATCTCATTCCCAGGCAGTTTCGAGGACCGTCGCCGAAAGGCAGCCAGGCAACCGAAGGACGACTGGCCACTTCTTCGGGTGAAAACCTCTCTGGTTGAAACTCATATGGACTGGGATATATGCTCGGATCGTGGTGTATGCCAGTTGCGGGGATGAAGACCAGCTGGCCCGCTTCGATGACAAAATTAGGATGTCCTGGCACCACGTAGCGCCTGTGGGCTTTTCGAATCAGATGAGATGCAATGGAGTACAGACGAGAGGTTTCTGGGAAAATATAAAAAATTAGCTGAGGTAATATGGACAACTCTTCACAACATACCATCTATAACCATGCTTAGGTATTTGAGTTCTTTAATGCTCTCAAAAGAGAGCTCCTGGCCATGCTTCTCCAGAACTTCCTCCACTTCAGCTCTGACCTTGTCCTGGATGTGAGGATTCTTCGCTAATTCGTACAGAGCATATCCCATGGTAGAGGAGGATGTCTCGAAACCGGCAATAAAGAACACAAAGGCTTGGGCCAGCACCTCGTCCATGGTGAGTCCCTTGACCACTTCTCCATTATCCAAAGTCATTTCCTTTTTGTTTTTCATATCAATCAAGAGATCCATAAAGTCATTCCGCCTGATATTCTCCTTTTCCCTCAGCGCCACAGTTTCATAGACAATCCTTTGGTAGAAGTTCTGGATGTGCTGAGCAGTTCTAACGAACCCTAATCGTCTTGCCAAACCAGGATAGCTGTGCATAAATCCATGCAGCAGAGGACCATGGCGTTTGTCCGTCAAAGAGCGTTTTCCAAAGTGCAGGAACTCGGAGTTCTCATCGCGAAGACTGTTGCACTTAATGCCAAAAGCACAGGTGCCGATCACATCCACCGTAAACCTGGCCATTACGTCCCGTATATCCAGCACAGAATTTCGTTCCACTTTCTCGTGCATCACTGCCAGGAGTTCCTCGGCCACCGAAACCACTGTGGGATACATGAGCTTCATTTTTCCAAAAGCAAAAGCCGAGGATAATTTGCTTCGTAGCAAACGCCACTGAGAACCGTCTAAATTAAAGAGATGGGCCGAGAGGGGATCGTCCTTTTCGTTATGGTACAGTCCCTTGTCGGAGAAGTTTGAAAAGTCCTTGATCATGATGTGCTTCACCAGATCCAGATCCATGATAAAAGCAATGGGTTTCTGGAAGAAGTAGAAGCCCACAAAGGGGGCCTTGGTGTCTCTGTATTTATTATAATAATCCAGGACTATGTCGTTGGCAGTCCTGTTGCTGTTGTACCCCTTGATGTTGCCCTTCAGGACATGCGGAGGATCATGAGGGATGCCGCGACGTTTGAAGTACGTCAGTCTCCGATGGAGGGAGTAGAAGGCGACCGCCAGGAGTGCGACCGCCACTTGGCAGAGAATATAAGTCAAATCCATGGTGCTGTTCTAAAGCGACTGTTTACGCGAAAGGTGACAAGCCGCCTTTTAAACTTCGGACAGCGTTGCTATCTTTTTATTGCGGAGACTTTATTTTCCATGTAGATGCACTAAATACCTGGCATTACGTATAGAAATAGCTTTTGCGATACTATAAATAATTGTGTCTCGACCTTCGGTAAAGACGAGGGGATGAAGGTATATCGGACTGAAGAAAAGAGTCTAGGGGTATGGGAATTAAATAGAGTCAAACCCATATCAGTTATAATTGACCGGTATCCAGTAGTCGAACCCTTTATCGTGTGCCCTTGTTTCCTGTTTACCGAATTTGTTCGCTTGGGCTGTAATAAAAACTTAATTGCAAGAACGAAAATTCGCCGAATTTTTATTTTCCTTTAACAATCAAATTGCAAATTACAGATAACCTATGAGGAATTTTTAATGGGGTTCAAAAGTTACGAAAATTTAGGCTAAGCAGCGCAAATCCATTTCTGTTTACAAGGTCTCAACGTTAAGATGGATTCCAAGAGCACTGAGAGCATTAGATTTGGGATTAAAACAGAGGGGCTCCTGGGTTTCTGGGCATTTGGAAAACCTGAAATTCTTGATGAGCAGAGCCAGTCCAATGCAGGCCTGCATTTGTCCAAATCTTAGCCCAATGCAGTTACGAGGACCATCGCCAAAGGGCAGCCAGGCAACCGAAGGCCTATTGGCAGATTCCTCAGGAGAGAAACGCTCGGGGCGGAACTTGTACGGATCCGGATAGATGCTGGGATCGTGGTGGATGGCTGACGAGGGAATGATCACACACTGACCAGCCTCGATGACAAAATTCGGATTTCCTGGGACCACATAACGCTTGTTGGCCTTTCTGAACAGGCGGGATGCAATGCTATACAGTCGAGAGGTTTCTGGGAAGATTAAAAGTATAAGCTTTGATAATAAATTATAATTATTAAATATTACCATCTATAACCATGTTGAGGTACTTCATATCCTTGATGCTTTCATAGGTGAGTTGATCTCCATGTTTTTTCAGGACCTCAACCACTTCAGCCCTGACCCTGTCCTGGATATGAGGATTCCTCGCCAGTTCGTATAGAGCAAAGCCCATGGTGGAGGAGGAGGTCTCGAAGCCAGCGAGGAAGAACACAAAGGATTGGGCAAGGATCTCCTCAATAGTCAAGCTCTTTACCACCTCACCGTTGTCCAGAATCACTTCCTTTTGATTTTTCATATCAATCAGGAGATCCATAAAGTCATTCCGCCTAATATTCTCCTTTTCCCGCTTCGCCACAGTTTCATACACAATTCTTTGGTAGAAGTTATAGCCTAGTACTCTGACGAGAAAAACCCGCTGTCTAAATTAGACAGCGGAATCGCTGTTTATTTCGCCACCGAGCTAGTGTGACCAAAAAAATTAAGGAAATTCCATGAAAATGTACTTTTTATGGCGTTTAAGGATTTTCCTTGGTCACACTGGACAGCTGTTTGTAAACAAATATTCAAAAAAAATGTTAAAAATATTAATAAATATGGCATTAAAATGTCCTTTGTGGGTTAAATTCCATATTATGGGCTTCCCCTTGACAGCCCCTATCAATGCCACTTTTTTCCTTCAACTTTCCCTCCATTAGGGGTGTCTAAATAAATCAAATGAATTATTTAGACAGCGCGATATCAGCTGTTTACTATCTTGATCTGGCAACGCCATTCAATTTTCGCAGGCTTCATTTTCGTCGTCAGAGTACCGAAAAAAACGACGTGTCTAAAAGTTCTTCTTCTTTTTTTTTCGACACCGTTTTTTTTATATGGAGTTTGGCCGCTGTCTAAATTTATACAGCGGTTTTTTCTCGTCAGAGTACTAGGCTAATGGATGTGTGGAGCTGTTTGTTTGAGGCGCAAGCTTCTCGCCAAATTTGGATAGCTTTCCATTAACCCAAGGAGCAAGGGACCGTGTCGCCTGTCCAGAAAAGACCGCTTTCCGAAGTGAAGAAACTCGGCCTTCTCATCCCGCAGACTGTTACACTGGATGCCGAAGGCACAGGTGCCGATCACATCCACTGTAAACCTGGCCACCAGATCACGGATTTCCAGCACGGGAGATTGTGAAACCTTCTCGTGCATCACAGCCATGAACTCTTCGGCAACGGACACGACTGTGTGATGCATGAACTTCATTTTACCGGAGCTGAAGACCGAGGATAATTTGTTCCTCAGCAAACGCCACTGGGGTCCGTCCAGACTGAAGAGAGTGGCCGACATGGGGTCGTCCTTCTCATTGTAAAAGAGTCCCTTGTCGGCGAAGTTGGAAAAGTCCTTGATCAGTATGTTCTTCACCAGATCCAGATCCATGATGAAGGCACAAGGCTTCTGGAAGAGGTAGAACCCCACAAAGGGCGCCTTGCTATTCCGATACTTGTTGTAGTAGTCCTGCACGATCTGGTGTATAGATCGGTCCGTGATGAATCCCTCCATATTTCCCCTCAGGAGATGCGGCGGATCATGTGGGACTCCTCGACGCTTGAATAACGTCAGTCTGCGGTAGATGGAGTAGCAGGCTATCGCAAGAAGAGCGACTACTCCCTGGAAAAGAATAAATGTCAGCTCCATAATGATTTTCCTGATGGACTGATTTTGTTAGGGGTAAGACAGTAATTTTTAAAGGCAAATCTTAGAAGAACACCTATCTTTTTACTACTTAATGTGCATTATCTTTTATTTTTATCATTACATTGTAAACATTTCATGCTTTTACCATTGGTTATCTAGGAAGATTACCAAAATTAGGCTGATAGTGAGTCTTAACTTCTATTATGGCGCATGTGCCAAAATTTCCTAGATAGCCTCAACATTAAGATTAATTCCAACAGCGCTGAGAGCAACAGACTTGGGGTTGTAAACTAGCGGATCCTGGGTCTGGGAGCATGTGGAGAATCTAAAATTCTTTACCAGCAGAGCCAGACCTATGCGCATCTGCATCTGTCCAAATCTCAGCCCAATGCAGTTCCGAGGACCATCGCCAAAGGGCAGCCAGGCAACCGAAGGACGATTGGCCGACTCCTCAGAAGAGAAACGCTCAGGACGGAACCTATAGGGATCCGGATAGATGCTGGGATCGTGGTGAATAGCAGACGAGGGTATCACCACCGACTGGCCGGCTTCGATAACAAACTTCGGATGCCCAGGAACAACGAATCGCTTGAGAGCCACTCGATCCAGGTTAGGCACAATGGTGTAAAGTCGAGAGGTTTCTGGAGAAATAAAATAATTAGTTGGAATCCTCCTAAGCTTGCCGAATAAATTACCATCTATAACCATGTTTAGGTACTTGAGATCCTTGGTGCTCTCAAAGGTAAGTAACTGATTGTGTTTTTCAAGGAATTCCTCCACTTCTTCCCTAACCTTGTCCTGAATTTGTGGATTTCTTGCCAGCTCGTACAGAGCAAATGCCATGGTAGAAGAAGATGTTTCAAAGCCGGCAATAAAGAACACAAAGGACTGGGCAAGGACTTCCTCCATGGTCAGTCTTTCTTCTTGGTTTTTCATATCAATTAGTAGATCCATAAAGTCATTCCGTTTTATATTTTCCTTCTCCCGCAGTGCCACTGTTTCGTAAACAATTCGTTGGTAGAATTTCTGGATGTGAGGAGCCGTTCGTATGAGGCCCAAACGTTTTGCAAATTTGGGATAACTGAACATTAAACTGAAGAGCAAGGGACCATGCCGCTTATCCACCAGAGATCTCTTGCCAAAGTGCAGAAACTCCGCCTTCTCATCCCGCAGACTGTTGCACTGAATGCCGAAGGCACAGGTGCCGATTACATCCACGGTGAACCTGGCCACCAGCTCACGTATCTCCAGGACTGAAGACCTCTTGGCTTTCTCGTGCATCACAGCCATTAACTCATCGGCCACAGAGACAACTGCCGGAAGCATGGCCCTGATTTTGCTAGTCGTAAAGGTGGAGGATAGCTTGCTTCGGAGCGATCGCCAAGGAGGTCCATCCAGATGGAAGAGATGTGCAGAAATGGGGTCGTCTTTCTCATTATAAAACTGGCCCTTGTCGGAGAAGTTTGAGAAATCCTTGATCAGTATGTGTTTTACCAGTTCCAGATCCATAATGAAGGCGCAAGGCTTTTGGAAGAAGTAAAAGCCCACAAAGGGCACCTTGCTCTCCCTATATTTGTTGTAGTATTCCTGCATGATCTCCTGAATGGTGCGGCTGCTGTTGAATCCCTCCATGTTGCCCCTCAGCAGATGTGGAGCATCATGTGGGGTTCCTTGGCGCTGGAAGTAGGTCAGTCTGCGATGAATAAAGTAGGAAGCCAACGCCAGCAAGGCCACAGCTACTTGGAAGAGAATATAGGTGAGTTCCATGACTAGGTTCCAGAGCGACTGTTACTAGAAATTAATTTCTGACTACTTTAAAGAAATTTCATAGCTAAAAGTGGGACCTATATAAAATATCTTTCATTACGTGGATATTGCACGTATAGTGTAACATTGGAAAAACTTCTGTCTCGTTTCTTGTGAATGCGGGATTCCCAAAGTATTGCACGTGCGACCAAGTGCTACTTATCATGAATATTTGTAGTATAATGTAGTTGGCAAAATATTATTCACAAAGGAATTTTCAGTAATTCATTCATATATGAAGCCTGACCTAGCAGAAATATTTTTAAATTGTTTATATTTTTTTATATGAATATTTATTTGTCTTTGATGTCTACTTTTACACAGTCTCAACTCTGAGAGGAATTCCATTTAAAACAGTGAATGTCACGGACCTGGGATCAAATATCAGTGGATCCGGGGTCTCAGAGCTCATAGAGAACTTGAAGTTCTTGATTAGCAAAGCCAGTCCTATGCGAACCTGCATCTGACCAAATCTCAGCCCAATGCAGTTACGAGGACCATCGCCAAAGGGCAGCCAGGCAACCGAAGTTCGCTTGGCAGTTTCCTCGGGAGAGAAGCGCTCGGGTCGAAACTCAAACGGATCTGGATAGATGCTAGGATCGTGGTGAATGGCAGATGAGGGAATGAAGATCATTTGACCAGCTTCTATGACAAAGTTCGAATGTCCTGGAACCACAAAGCGTTTGTGGGCCTTTCGTATCAGATGCGATGCAATAGGGTAAAGTCGAGAGGTTTCTAAAAAGACATAATCAAATTAAAATGGTCAAATTAAATTAAATCCTGCGTAGTAACCCACCATCAACCACCATACTGAGGTACTTGAGATCCTTAAGGCACTCATAGGTGAGCTCCTGATCATGCCTTTCCAGGACCTCCTCCACTTCACACCTAACCCTGTCTTGGATGTCCTGGTTCTTCGTCAGTTCGTACAGAGCGTATTGTATGGTGGCGGAAGATGGATCAGAGCCTGCAATAAAGAACACAAAGCACTGGGCGAGCACTTCATCGATGGTCAGTCCCTTAACCACATCGCCGTTGTCCAGTATTATTTCCTTTTTGTTCTTTAAATCTATCAGGAGGTCCATAAAGTCATTCCGTCTGATGTTCTCCTTCTCGCGCACGGCCACAGTTTCGTAGACAATCCTTTGGTAGAACTTATGGATATGCGAAGGGGTCAGCATGAAGCCCAATCTCTTGGCTAGCTTGGGATAGCTGTACTTGAATCCGTGCAGCAGAGGACCATGGCGTTTGTCCAGTAAAACCCGATTGCCGTAGTAGAGAAATTCTGCCTTCTCATCCCGCAGACTATTGCACTGGATTCCAAAGGCGCAGGTACCGATCACATCCACCGTAAACCTAGATATTAGGTTGCGGATTTCCAGGACAGATTCATATTCTACCTTCTCATGAATAAATGAAATTAATTCGTTGGCCACGGACACAACTGTGGGAAACATGAACTTCATTTTTCCGGATGTAAAAATCGAAGATAATTTGCTTCTCAGCAAACGCCATTGAGGTCCGTCCAAGTTGAAGAGATGGGCCGACATGGGATCGTCCTTCTCATTGTAGAAAAGTCCGCGATCGGAGAAGTTCGAGAAGTCCTTGATCAGTATGTGTTTGACCAGCTCCAGATCCATGATGAAAGCCACGGGCTTCTGGAAAAAGTAGAAGCCCACGAAAGGAGCCCTGGTGCCCAGGAATCGATCGTAGTGGTCCTGCATGATCTGATTGACGGTGCGATCTTCGTTGAATCCCCTCATATTGCCCAGCCACAAATGCGGCGGATCGTGGGGGATGGCTCGACGCTTGAAGTAGGTCATTGTGCGGTAATAGGAGTATCCGGCGATAGCCAGAAGAGCCACCACCACTTGGAGGAGAACATAAGTCAGCTCCATGTTGCTGTTCTGGAGAGACTTACTTTGTGAGGAGCTTATGAATTTATATGAAAACTGTATTTATGGCAGCAATTATGCTGGCTTGATAAAGAAACTTATCTACACTTGGCTTGTAATTTAATGAAACCAAATATTTTTTAATAAGGTTTCATCTGAGTTTATTAGAGGTTCAAAGAAGACTGAGCTCTAGGAGCGGAAAATATCTCGAAACAACCCTCATCTGGAGTTTGGAGTACCACATAAGCACAGTGTCAGATCTCTGTACAAACACAAGAGAGAAAAAGAGCAGGTTTGGTGCTAAAGATAATGGAATACTATGTATATCTTATCTTGCTTGAATTTCGGAGAAATATTAAGACTGGTTCTCTAGGTAAGCAGGTAGTCTTGCATTTTTAAAAATATTTTAAACATGCAGACCCATCTCTCAGTGTGAATTTGATTATACTAAAATTATAAGATTATACTACATGGTGGATGGCAGAAGAAGGAACAACAATTGACTGACCAGCCTCGATCACAAAGTTCGGGTGTCCGGGAAGCCTTTAACATAAGCAGGAAGGGTTCTGTAAGCTAAGTTATGTATGTATCTTTTAAGATACATTTTGAATGAGGAAAAAAATATTTAATAAATTTATATTTAAATAGTTTTTTCTTTTAACTTATTTGTTTATAAATTAATATAGATAAATTGATTTCCCTTAAGCGTTTACCACTGTACCACGACGAGCCCTCGCTTATCATTTAAATGACGAGCCATTGGACGATCCCCCATGGCGAGCGTCACTTCATCATGGAAGCCTCGCCGGAACATGATATGGGTATTAACTGGCATAGTATTATTTGACGGATCTGGCAACTATATTGTTTACCTTTTCGGTCATAGAAGTACGCTCCGTTCGACAGTTGATTAGTTTTCAAGTGCGGATGTTGCCAGCAACAACAAACAATTAAAGCGAACAGCTTTCGGTGATTATATGTACATATATTTGTTTGGGTTTTGTTTCAGCTTTGTGGCTGAGCTTTTCTTTTGTTCTTTTTGTTTTTTTTTTATTTTTTTTTTTGCTATCATGCCTTTTAAACGCTAATTGGGCGTAAAATTTATCAGGTTGCGTGCAAAAACACACAGCGTTACAATGATTTACTGCTGGGAATAGGTTCATGAAAGGAAGTAAAAGGGTTTTATTTGTAGGGGGTTTATTAAGCTTTTTCCGAAGCTAATTTAGAGAAATTTCCCACAAAAAATTCTTGAAATTCATAAAGAATTCTACCCAAAAAAGCAGATAACAAGAAACGAACTTTAAAGAGCTGAAATATAGATAAGAATAATTAAACCCACCAAGGTGATCAGCTGAATGTCCTACTAAGGTCGGGAATTAATTAAATGAAGTGAATATAGTTTTATAAAATTTATTGATACGTTTCCAAAGGGGAGACCTTAGTATTGTGCTTTAATAAATTAATATACAATATAATCAAATAAATAGCATTGAGTTTTTAAAAATATAATAGAATAATATTATTAAATAAATAATATATTATAATAATTTTATAAATTTTAATTTATCATCATGATTTTATTAAAGTTATAAATAGCCAATTTGAGATTTATCTATTAAGAAATTTAAAAAATGTATACAATATAAGTAAAATAAATGAATTAATAGTTAATTAATAAATAAAAAAAAAACAAGAAAGGAAGTTAACTTTGGAAAGCCAAAATTAGTATCGTCAATCGATCATAACTAAGCCAAAATGCATTAATTTCAATTCGACTGTTCTATGTTGGTTAATAAATCTGCATACTTAATTTAAATACTTGTATAGTTAAAATTTTAGCAAATTCCGAAAGAATTCTTATGTTATTTTTTAAAAGGACCGCTTCCAACCGATTTTAGTCGAGCGATCAAAAGCACTGGAATGGTATCGAATGTTTTCCTAGCTATCGACTTGACCTATCGATAGCGCGCTGAATGCAACTTGCAAAATCTAAAGGACTCGCGATCGGCGCCAGAAAAATGGAGAATTTTCCAATTGCAAACAGTTTTTTGAAGAAATCATACCTTCAAAATGATGAAATTAAGGCCCTTCTGACGGAGTTTGAGGAGGCGCTCGATGGGAATCGTAAAGTGCGTCAGGAATTATCAGGTGAGTGTCGCAATTACCTCTGGTGCATCGACATGTTGCTACAGGTGCACTCTTGCCACAGCTATTCGCGTCGAGTTAGAGAGACTGCAGTTCGAGTCATCTTTATTTAATCAAGTGATACATGTTTCGGCGGATGAGAAAAACACGGCGACGATGATGTACGAATCTGTAACGGCTTGCTATGGCAAGATTGTCCAAATTGAGAAACTGTTTCACCAGGTGGGAATGAAGAATATCCTTCATTATGCAGTCATTACCAAGGAGGAACAAACACGTCGCGAGATTAATGCTATAAAAGAGGCGTTTGCTAAGGAGTCGAAGCAGCTAGACGCTCTCGAAAGCCGCAGCGCGGGTAAGAATCTGTGCATATATTAATATATATTTAATTATAAAATATAAAATATTCGCCTTCAGTGAAGAAGTTCCGGCAGCTGCAGATCACCCTGAAGAGCAGCCAAAATAACCTGGCCGTGCTGCAACAGGAAGTGGATAACATGGAGCGTCAAATGCGGAACAAAATGAAAAAGGCCACGGATTACCGGAACCAGAAGATAGTTCACATATTGCAAACCAGAAAGTTGATCATTCAATTGGAGTCAAAGGTTGTACCTCTTTTTTGCTTTGCTTAATTAATAAATTGACATCATTTGCTTCTTATAGTCTCCAGGTCTTGCAGGTAGCCAACCACGCCTAGATTTGAATCGCATAAAGCGTCCCTCGACAACACCGATCGGTTCGCCCGCCATTTCAATCCTTCAGCCGGCCTTGGACTTCTTAAGCAAATTTATGCATACGAGCGACGACGATACAAATTCCGATCCAGAGAATGATGCGGATCGACGCATTAGCGCCCCATCCCCATCCAAACATGTCCGATTTGTGCCTTCGCCCGACTTGGAAAGCATTCACATTGTAGACAGACTTTCTTCAATGTCGACTGATGACGATTCAGTGGAAAGAGCAGATCCCAAGCCGGACTCGGGGAACGGATCGAAGAAGTTAAGGCAGATGACTGAAGACGTCCAGAACAGTATGGAGTTCAAAGATTGTGAGGAATTGGAATTAGAATCAGAGGACGATGCAGAGGAAGCCCAAGGAGATGAGGATTTAGAAATGGATTCCGATGAACAGGAATCATCCAGTGACGATAAATCGGATGCAGAAGTCGACTTTAAAGCAGATGAAGCCCAAGGAGATGAAGATTTAAAAATGGATTCCGATGAACAGGAATCATCCAGTGACGATAAATCGGATGCAGAAGGAACAAAGAAGAATGGATCAACCCAACCAAAGATGGTGCTACAATGGGAAGAATCAGAGAAGGAGGATGAATCAGACGGCTCCTGGGACGAAAAAGACAAGGAATCGCAATCGGTCAACAATAGCAAGGTTGAAGCAACACCATCGGGAGCCACAGCAAAGTTCACTTTTACCCCAGAGGACAGTGCCTCAAAATATAGCAGATTCAAGCTGACAGCGAGCCAAAAGATCAGCCACGATGCCATGGATGTCGATTGTCAAGAGGCATCGGATGAGAATGAGATATTTGCGATTCCAATGGCACAGCCCAAGCCCACCCAGTCTAAGCGTCAAGACTCGGAATCGCCGCGGTCCAGCGATCGGGCCGATTCCATGCTTAATTTCTCTGAACCAAACTGTGAGTTTAACGATGATTTCTGGCCGACCAAACATACAAATGCTGGCCAATTCTACAATCTATAAATTGAAAAATGAAACATAATCTAACTACGTTTTTCAATCAAAATCTAAGCTCCGCCAACTGAAGGCTACACATAGTATTATTTTAATTTTCAACATTCCAATAAATATGAGTTTATTTTGTAATATTTTCAATTAAAATGTAAGCTCCGCCAACTGAAGGCTTCATACTATGTGAATTTTAATTTTCAATATTCCAATAAATATGAGTTTATTTTGTAAAATTGAGGTAAAGCTCAACTATTTGCAATTTTTTAGCAGACCTCTCTGTCACTCCAACATTGAAACTAAAGTAATAATAATCATGTCTCCCCGTCTGGCCTCAATGGGACGCCCACCTGATGAATCTGACGATCCGCGAGCTTCGGTGTAGCGCACTCGACAAAAAAAGCGGTAAGTAAAAGCTCATGGGCTCGGGCTCACCTGGCGTGCTCACCTGGAGCAAGTAGTTACTTTTCTCCGACTCTCAGTCGAACCGCGAACTTTGCTAATGAACGTAGCTGGTTGAGAACGCCGCGATAGCTCCGGAGTCCGGACGATGCATTAGATCATAGCCGTAGGTGACACTCTCAACCCGTTGACGAGAGTGAAAGGGTGGCAAGATAGCGCGGCGGAAGGAAGCTCGCTCGGGGCGTGATTTTAGCCATACCTACGTGCATGTGATTCAGAGTAAACAGAACAAAATATAAAAGAAAACTATACAAAATGCATAACATGTGGATAATTTTCCTGATCATCGGCCTGCTGGTCTTGGGGCTGCTGGTTCTGCTAATTATGGCGGCGCGGTATCAGCGCGATTACTGGCGCTTTCGGGGTATTCCGCACGAGAGACCGAAAAAGCTGTGGCCCGTCATCAGGCAGATAATGACGCAGACGCTCAGCACGGAGGCGATGAAGGCGTCTCACTACACGGCGCTCTACGCCAAGTTCAAGGGCAGCGGTCCCTTCTGCGGCTTCTATGCTTTGCTGCAGCCGCGAGCCCTGATCCTGGACCGGGAGCTCATCCGTCAGATCATGATCAAGGACTTTTGGAACTTCAACGATCGGGGCATGTACTGTAACCAGAAATCGGATCCCTTGTCGGGGGATCTGTATGCTTTGAGGGGCGAGAGCTGGAAGGAGATGCGCCAGAAGTTGGATCCCAGCCTCGAGGGCGATCGCATGGCCTGGCTGTATGGCTGCCTGTACGAGGAGGCAGAGCAGCTGCTCCTGGTCGTGAGTACCACGCTGATGAAGCAGCCACACTCCACTTTGCATATCCAGAAGATCATGCGGCGCTATGTCCTGTCAGCCCTGGCCAAGTCGGTTTTTGGCCTGGATACGCAGCAGAGACTCAAGTATCCCTTGGAGGACTTTGAGCAGATGACAGAGATGGCCCTGAATAGCTACAAGCATGGCTATCTTATGAACCTGATGATGATAAGGTTTCCCAACTTTTGCCGGTTGCTTCGAATGCGTCGCACGCCCAAGCAAGCGGAGACCTACTTCCTGGGTCTCCTCAATGACATCGTGGAACAGAGGGAGAATTCGGGCGTTCGCCAGCAGGACTATCTGCAGCTTTTGATAGAGGTCAAGGCTCTGGAGCAGATCACGCATCAGTACGAGGCGGACAAGGAGCTGAAGATGCATCTGCAGAACGAACTGGCTGCCCATGCGATGGTCTTCCTCAAGGCTGGCTACGAGCAGACAGCCAATACTTTGTCCTACGTCCTCTACGAGCTGGCCTCGCACACGGATCTGCAGGTGCGGGTCCGTGAGGAGGTCAAAAAGGCCATGGAGCGTTTCGAGGGCAACCTGAGCTACGAGTGCATCCAGTCGCTGACCTTCATGGGTCAGGTGATCAGCGAAACCCTGCGCATGCATCCCATCACACCATACATCCTGCGGCGCACCTTGAATGACTATCCTGTGCCGGATCACCCCAAGTATATGCTGGTGAAGGAGCTGTTCCTGATCATACCCACGCATGCCATACACCATGATCCGGACATCTATCCGGAGCCGGAGGAGTTCAAGCCCGACCGCTGGGGCGGACCTAGGGACTCGCTGAAGGAGCAGGGCACCTGGTTTGGCTTTGGCGTTGGAGCACGCAGCTGCATTGGCATCCAGTTTGCCCAGCTGCAGCTTCGCCTGGCCTTGGCTTTGCTTCTGTCGGAGTATGAGTTCACATTGAACTCCAGGAAGCCGCTGGTTAACCTGGAAGATGGCATAGCGCTTACCCTGACGCCGCTGGGAGTCATAGAGCCGGGCACGGAGGAGAGGGCGGTATAGGCTGCGGAACTGACATAAGTTTAATCTTTGAGATAGGTAGAGTACATTCATCAGATACAAAAGTATCTTTTGTGGAAGAATTGTAAATCTTCAGATACAAAAGTATCTTTTACAGCAGAAATTCAATTATTTAAAGTTGTTGTGAACCTTCTTATGATTTTAAAAGATACATAAGTAACTTTTAAAAAGTAAATTTAAATTATTTGCATAGTCTGAAATCAATTTAACCCAATTTAACTGACAAACCCTCATTAAATCTTATAAAATAATTTGATTCCAATTGAGAAACAAGTTAAGAAACACAAAAGAAAAATATTTGACAACAAAACACTTCCGCTAAAACTCCATCAAAAAATCTTTTAAATTCAATTAAAAGTGCACACCAAATGTGGCTAAGGCAGCGCTCATTTTGGTTATGGAAAAACCCCTATCTGGCCAAAAGAGATTAAGCTTGTGTCGGTATACACAAGAGCTTTAGCGCAATGACAAAGAATTTACTCCATGAACAAAGTCTAGAAAGCAATACAAAACTCAGAGAGCCAGGCAACTAACCAAATATAAATTAACAAAAACTAGAGGTCAGCTTAAAATAGTTAATTTTACAACAAAAAAAAAACCAAGTTTTTTTCTATTTAAGAGTTTATTTATTTTACATACACTTCTCTTGCTAAAATAGCTTTCGATTTAAATTCTATTAAATACATTCCTTTTGATCTGTTTAAATAATTGTCAATTTGATTCATTTTCATTGTTAATTGTTAATTGTTTTGTTAGTTATAGTATATATAGCTTGTTGCATTGTCGTTTGCTGATATGGTTGGTTTTTGTGTTCACATATGTGTAGTTTATATATATCGAGGTGGCTCTTGGCCAGTATTTCAGTTAAAAGTTGCAAGTTGCATGTTGCAATGCTGCTGCTGCCTTCGTTGATTGATCGAAAATCGAAATTAGAGTTATATATTAGAAACGATTCTACTACAGATATTAGCACTAAATTAGAATTACAAAATAAATAAAAACGTACGACAAACGAGGTCTAATTATACAATTATACAATTTATGTAAGTGTTGTGTTGGCTGCTACTGGGTGTCTGCCTTGGCCATGGAATGTGTGTGCTGGCAGCTCGACTTCCGGAAACGGAAGCTGTTCATTTGTTCGTTTCGTTATGGCTTTGTGGACTTCCTTTTTCCCTTTACTGGGATGGCTGTCGCTTGTGCCGCTGGGAAGGTATCAGAGAGGTCCTTGTGGGCTCTCCACGATTGGGCAGCTTGCTGCGCAGCATCTGCTCGTGGACGTACAAGAGCAAGCCCACATCCCGGTGCCCGGCCTGCCAGGCAATCTTGAAGGCTGTGCTGCCATCCTAAAAAGAAAATATAATTTAATTTTAAATTTCTAAGATAAATATATGTGTTATTCCCCACTCACCACATCGTTGACCAGCGAATCGCAGTCCGGATGGGAGAGCAAATGCTTCACCACATCCACTCGTCCATGCTCGGCGGCACACATCAGTGCCGTGGAGCCATCCTCATCCTGTATATTGATGTCTGCTCCGGCATCCAGGAGCATATTGACCATGTCCACATTACCATGCGACACAGCGAGCATCAGGGCGGTCTGGCAGTGCTGTCAAGACAAATAAATACAGGGCGGGATTAGGGTTAGTAGGGGAGTAAGTAGTACATCCAGGGATCAGTTTTCAATGGGCATCTATGGAGGAGCTTTGTGGCTGGCCCCTTACCTACCTTCTTGGCCCGTATGTTGACATCGGCCATCTTGAACAGTCGCTCGACGACTGTGCGATGGGACGGCTGCTGCAGCTTGGCCAACGATACGAGCATCACGCAGGTGTATCCGGCGTTATTCGTTTGGTTTACGTCGCAAACCTTGGAATCCAGCAGAATGGACACTACGTCAAAGTTGCCGTGCGAGACCGCATAGTGCATGGCTGTGTTGCCCTGTGGGAAATATAATATTAGATAAAATAAAATAGAGGAATAGTTGGAAAATAAATAATCATAATCATAATAATTATAGTATAATATATAATATAAAATTATATAGTATAATATATAATTCCAGATAATTCAAAGCTGAGCCGTGGTATGTTTTATATATGTACATACTCTTAATGGGAAATTCTGAGAATTCCTAGGGAAACGTGCCTAAATACTCATCATTAAACAGCTTTAAGAAACGTGTTTTTCTTTACAAATTGTTGTACTCAATTATAGCTGGGTATTTTTTATAAATGGCCAAAAAGCTAGCGGTAATATTGCTGTAAAAAACTGCATTACTTTTAGAAAAATAAATGGAAAATATAGAATTAAGATTTAAGCAGTCATCAATCTAAGGTAAAAACACTCTAGGAACTTTATATTTTAAAACTGCATTAATAAGTATAAATATTATTATTAATAGAATAAATCCCATATCAAAATTCTACTTATAAACTTAATTAATAAATGTAAATATTATATAAAAAACACCCCTACATATTTCTAAAAATAGTACTAAAAAACTCACATTATTGTCGGACAGATTAACACAATACTCCAGCAGCGGCACCGACAAGGACTCAAAGTAGTCCAGGTAATCCTCCACCTGGTGGGGATCCGACTTGCCAGTACTGGAGTTGATGAACCAGTTGTCCTGGATGGTGGCCTTGGCCGACTTGAGGCTGTGCGAGGAGATGGGCTTGGCCCCCAGTTTCTTTAGCAGCGAATCGTTGATGATCTTGAGGGCATCCTGGAAACCCTTGGAGAGTTCGGTTCTGGAAATACATTTAAGTTTTATATTTTAGATAGATGTTAAGTTGAATTGTAGAAAACTCACTTCTTCCTGGGCTCTGTGTCCGCCTGGGCCAGCTGATGGAGCTGGGCCTTGGTGGCCGGTTTCTCGATCACCGTCACCTGAGAGCCCTCGCTCTGACTAGACTTGACTGGCGTGCTGGACTTCTTCCTGGCTCCCTGGGCAATTTGCACATCCAAAGGAGGACTCGAATCGCTGGAGGTACTCATCAGGGCTGGCTCCTGATCGGGTGACTCGGATTTGGTGGTTCCGGAGGAGGTCATGAGCGGCGCTGGGGAGGCATCTCGTGACCAGCTAATGCTCACCCGCTTCTCCTCGCGCACAACCAGCTCATCGTCACCCAGGAGACTCAGGTCCAGACGATCCTTCTGGGGCTGACGGATGAAGCTCTGGATTTCGCTTGAGGGATCAGTTGTCTGGAAACTGGACACAGATGGAGGCTTTTCCTGCAGGGAGCTGGAAGGTACAAGCTTGATTAGTATAGGTCTGGATTGAGATCTATTAACCCACGTCAGGAGCATCGCTGAGCACCCGCTGACCAGCAGCGGGTAGCAGGTGAAGCTGCTCAGGCTGGAAAACATTGGCAGCACCATGCGGAAAACCAAAACCCAAACAAAAAAGCAAAAAAAGCAAGCGCTGCTATGGTGTCAACGGGAAAACCAAAACTCGACTGAAGGTCAAAACTCGTTCAGCCATAAGGACTATATGGATTTTGCGCAAGAGCTAGCCCTGGTTGGAGTCTCTGCTAAAGAGCTTTAAGTGAAACTTGGCTAAGCTTGCACAGTGGGCCAAATCTTGAAAATTACCTCAATCGCGGTTTCCTTTCCACTTGAGGACTGGGCGTGGGCGAGGGCGTGGCCAGCGTGTAGGTGTTCTGCCGCTTAAACTCCCTCCTCACGGGACTGGGACTGGTCAGGTGCTTGGGCCTGGGTATCCGCGAATCCGCCGAGGTGGAGCGACGTCCGGCTCCGCCGGCTCTTGGCGAGCTGGGACTGACCTTGCTGAAGCCTCGGGCCAGATCCTGGATGGCCTCCTTGCAGGAATCACAGTAGTTGGCCGCGCAGGCTATGGAGATGTGGGGCTTGACAATGTCGCCGCAGCCTACGTCCCGCTTACGGACCTCCTCCGTGTTGCAGGAAGAGTGGGTGGTGCGCTTCGGCTCCGGCTTGGGTTCCGGCACCTTGTCCGTGTTGCTAGCCATGTGGCGGGATGAAGGCTTGGCCACCGACTCGGCAACCTGCTCAGCCTTGGTCTCGCTCCGGCTCAGGCGCTGCAGACCTGCGGTATCCGTCTGGCGGGTCACCTGCTTAGCTCCACACTGCACCGACGAATTCTGCTGCTGAGGATTCACCTGGGCGCCGGTGGAACGAACTAGGGGCGTGGTGGTCTGACTCTCAACACTGTGAACCAGAGTGGTGGGCGTCTGGCAAGCTATAGCCTTGTGTACCACCTTCGTTAAAGATTCAGTCTCTCCCAAACTGAAGGTATTGCTGCGTCCAGGCATCTGTGGCGGCGGCGTCGGCTTCACCTTCTCCGGCGGTGTATCCGGTCCGCAGGACACGCTCCTCTTGCTCACCGCACACTTCTCGCAGAGCACATCGTCCAGACGATCCTCGGAGCTACCCACATGACGAACTTCCGGCTTGCAGCTGGTAAAGTTCTCCCGCGTCGCCGGCTTGGCGGAGACTCCCACATGGTGCTTGAGCTTGGGTCGCTCTGGTTGGGTTTGCACTCCCAAATCCCGCTGCTCTCGCTGGGGGACATACATCTGGGTGCCCACCGATATGAGTTTGCGTAGTCGCTGCCTCTGGGCATTGTCCAGTGCCTGCTCCACCTTCTGCTCCAGCTCCACCTTGGAGTAAACTGTCTCCAAAGGCTGCGTGCCGGAATTTCTGGTGCTGGTCTGATGGCTTACACCTACATCCCGTGTGGATGGCGGTCGAACCACCGCCTGGGTGGACACATCCCGCCGCAGGATGCTGGGCGGCGATGGTGAGGCCGAGACGGAACTGCTGCGCATCCGGGAGCCCAGGCTTTCCAGCGACACTGGACTGATTCGCTGAGGGGTGAACTGCACCGGCGAGGCGGCGTTCTTGAGGCCAGGACTCGGAGGCGAAGGTGTCTGTCGTTGGCCACGTAATTGCAGCTCTTCGTTCTTGCGCAGCAAACTCTGCTTCTCGGCACGTAGAGCACTTAGTTCTTGCTCCATCTCCGGTATGGCCTTTACCTGCTCCTCCAGATCCTTGAGTCGCTTGAGGCTCAGAGCCATTTGCTCGCGTATCTGGCAGAGAGCCTGTGCATCGGCCGTGGCCTGGCCAGCCTCGGAGGTGACCGGTGACTGGAGGGAACTACCGGAACTGCCATTCTCCTGCGGCATCTGCTGCTGCTCCTTGGGTGTGCTGGCCAGTAGATGATGACGCCTGGGGGGTGGCGGAGGAGCCAAACCCGGGGACTTGAGGGACTCCAGCTGCTCCACCGGAGACTTGGCATTGGCCGCCACCGTGGCCTGGACATAGCTCTCGTACTGCACCTCCGCGGGGCTGGGACGCTGCTGCAAGGGCAGAGTGTTGGAACGCAGAAAGGGGCGTGGCGTGTCCGTGGGCGATCGATTGCCCGCAATGCAGGAGTCTGAAAAATATCGAAAAATAAGGATTAACTTTGGGATTAACTAGGTTTTTTTTAGATCTCCCTCAAAGGTTACTTGGTCTGCCGCTCC